GGCAGCCACCTTGAAGGCTGATGGCACCTTTCGACGAAAAGCATTTATTATCAATGGACCATCACGCTGGTGCGAGTCTGCGAAAAGAAGGATATCCAGAAGAGCCCCGCGATACCCCTTTTCGATAATTCATACCTCTGATACCTGCTATTAGCTTATCTCACCTGAGAAATGGAGCAAATCCTCATTTTCGCGGAGATATTTTGGCTGACTCTTGTCGATTCCAAGGATGAAGTTCACGCAGAATGTTAGAGGAGTTTGTATTTGCTCGCGGTATGCTAATTCGGTGGTGTCACTTCAAGCACAAGAAGCACTTTCGGCTCGCGACCGTCTTTCGTCAGACCAATCCTCATCCCTGCGCTTTTACATGAGTTGTCTGGTGCCCAGTCTCATCACAAGATAGTTTGTCGTTGGAAACCCGGCGAAATTTGATAATGAGGACAATCCATGTTCGTTACCTTACTAGCCAGATGGGGACATGCAGCTTCAAGACCTATAGCTGCCGGCAAAGACGTGTTCCGCGCCCCTAAGCCAATTTAGTAGTATTTGCGGAGTGGCAGCATCAGCGGTCAGCCTCCTCCTGCTTGCAGCTATCTGTTTGCTGACAGTACGCTAACAGCCCATTCAATTCGATCCGATGCTCTTCGATCCTTCGGCATGTGGACGACCCGCACAACCTGCCGACGCGGCGCGCGAGATGCATTGAGCAGTGGCAGTCGGTGCATGTGCATGAGCATGAGCATGTGCGTGCTGAACACGTCCTGGCCAGTGCTGCCATAGCGCCGGGACGTCTACGGGTCACCCAAACACCGGAATTTGGAGCCGAATCCCAGCCAATAAAGGGGAAAGAAACACTCGGCAACTCTTGTTTCCGTTCCCTTAGTCTGGGATGGATCTCCCATCTAACCTACAACCCACCGAACCATAACTCAACGGACCAGAATAATAAGGGGAATTATTGGAAACGGCATGCATTCGGGGCAGGCTGCATCGTAGAAGGCGAGAAAGCCTGCATGCCATGTGGGAACGGATTGTCGCTTTGTTTCTCCATGTGACGGTCGTTGAAACGAGCCAGTACGGAGGTAGTGCTGGTGTCAATCTTGTCTTCCCACAGACTGAATTTCCCCAGTCTTACATCGCTGCCATCCTTCTCATTTCGCTGCTCACCCAAGATTGCCCTGTCACCATGGACAGCCCTGTCGTGCACTTTCCCGTCTTGTACGATTATCATCAAGGGTCTGATCGTTGAACAGCGGTAAATACTTGGTGGTCAGCATGCTGCGATCGCCTTATTTCTACTCTGTGTCCCCTTTGGAGTCTGAGCTTTGCAGGTGGATATACTCGAGCCAAATTCTTTGGTCCAAAATGCCCAGCGCCTCTCTTTTCCAGCTGTGCACGATAGCAGTGCTATTGGTGTCATCTTTGCTCTTCGGGGCGACGGCTCAGGGTGACACCTGTCTTACGCAAAGCCAGCCCAATCCCATCGCAGAGCAGTATCCGGACCTGCCCACTGGCACCCTAAATACGACACTTGCGATCATTCCTATTCCTCTCAGGAAGGCAAAATCGATACTACCGCCTCAATGGAGAATAATAGAGCGAGCCTACAGGGAGCTTTTACCAGACTTCCCAAAGGATATGTATCCTGTATTCCTCCAGGCCGGGAGAGATCTTGACATCCGGGTTGCTTCTTTCGACTATCATGGCCCAGACTTTTCGGTAGGTCGCATTGCGCTCCCAAGTATCCATAATGAAGGGTCTAAGTCAATAATCAGAAAATCGGCTTTGGCTTTCCCTTCATTGACCTCCTCGGTGATGGCTATTCATCTTTCACATGGACGCCCGGGCAGATGATATCGGAGGATGTGCAGATCGCACTGGATGGCGCCGCTGATTACGGCGAGGAAGTCTACCCCAGCACGTTCGAGCCGCCGTGCGACGCCTACGGAACCCTTCCCGGCGGCGCAACTTACTTTCGAGCTTCGAGCACGGACGGATCGGGCATTCATGCAGATCTGCACTTCTCGCCGGCAAAGCGAGGCTGCAAGCATTCCTTTCCACTGGAGTTCTTCCAGAACGTCACAAACCAGCCCATCTTTGGCAATGGCACTCAGTGCGACCGGCAAGTGCGGCTGTTCAACTCGTCCTTGTCCGATGCACCGTATGAGCCAAGATATGTAAAAGGCAAGGTATCTACCAATCTTCCCCCATTAGGGGATTCGAAATGGTTGGGAGAGGTTGAAGGAATTCAGATCGATACCGCCTTTATCGAGTACAATTGGCTTGATTGTCAAACTCTGAAGGGCTACTCTGGAACAGGACCGGGTGACTAGAGTCGCGATTATATCTGCATCGTACGCTCAATGATAACCCATATAGAGCAAAATCATCAACGCTCTCAGTGATTTTTAAACATACGTTTGATTATCTCAGGTCGCGGCCATAAATATGCGGTTGGATTTCATCTCAAGCTGCAATTACATCTCGAAACAGACAGAGGCACGCTACGAGAATTGGTCATTCAGATAGACATCGGGAGACCACAAGATATGTCATAGCTGATTTATCACATCGTCGCCAACTAGATCTATCCTACGGCCTAACGTATTAGCTTAGCCGCGAAGAATTAGAAAAAGTTGTCACGCTGATGAATTAGTAAGAGTCAACGATTCAAACTCGCACATACTGAAATCTACAAACCGCGAAGGATACTACCTTGTCTCTGATGATTGACTGGGAATGTCAAACAAACGAGTCCCTTTCTTGTGAATATTCGATAGTGAAGAGAATGTTAGGAAGCCTCCATTGGGACAAGTTAATATGCGGGCCAATACAAGTGGTCAACTTCAACCAATTGGAGCTCTAGACATTTCGTCGAATTTGTAAGCTCCCAGATGAAAGTTGCCAGCTTGCTCGATTTGGATAGGTTTTCTATCAATGAAAGGCATTAGATGAATAGGCTATGAGAAATAGACAGACATTCAAGATTTCTAAGCCCTGTTTCTAGCTCTCAAAATATGCAACACAACATTTGTCTAGTACGATTCTGCTATAAAAGATTTACCGACTCGTCTTCTACATGGAACGTAGGGGTCCAAGTACTCATCCTGAGAGAAGCAAAACACGATACGCCCTAACTTAAAGCTAGTCCCTCCTTATCTAAAATATCCCTTTTGTTGTGGATAATTTCCTTTCAAGATGGCTGATCGTGCACCTGAAGTCATCTGGCGTGCTCCTACGAAAACGTATCATCGAACAACATATCCGAAGATTGATCCTACTCGCCCTGAGCTCTCAACAAAAGGCAAAAACATTGTCATTACGGGTGGTGGTTCTGGGCTCGGCAAGCACATTGCCCGGGCGTTCGGCAACTCAGGAACAACAAACCTTGCGTTGATCAGCCGTACAGAGAGTACATTGCTCAAAACCAAGAACGAAATTGAAAAGGAGAGCCCAAGCACAAGGGTCTGGATTTAGGTTGCTGACATGGTCGATGCAACGTCCATAGAGAAGGCACTAGCAGCGTATGCTCATGATATCAACAGTGCTGTCGACATTCTCGTAGCCAACGCTGCTTTCCTTGCGGATCTAGTGCCAATCGAAGCAGCCGATCCTAAGCAGTGGTGGAAGGCTTATGAGATTAACGTCAAGGGCAACTTCAATCTCATTCGAGCCTTCAGCCCTGTTGCAGCGAGCAATGCCGTTATTGTTGATGTGTCGACTGCTGTTGCCCACCTAGCTCATGCAGTGGACTATTCAAGCTACCAAGGCTCAAAATTAGCAGGAACCAATTTATTTGATCATGTACAAGAGGAGCACCCGGACTGGCATGTGGTGCATTTCCATCCTGGTGTGATCGGCGGCACTGAAATGGACCGAACTACCATCGCTAGCGGTAGGGATCTCCCGCACGACGATCGTATGTTGAACATTTCATCTTCCACTCACAAGATATATTGACTCAAACTACAGCTGCTCTTGCTGCTCACTTTTCTGTCTGGGCTGTCAGTGCTGAGGCAGAGTTTCTCAAGGGCAAGTTTGTCTGGGCTCACTGGGATGTGGATGAGTTACAAGCAATGTCAAATGATTTTGTGGGTAATAGCATTTTTACATTTGGACTTCTCGGCTGGCCGGCCAATGCATGATCCTAATTCCTCAACGCCTTCGGATGTTGTACACTGTAGTACGGTCATTAAAGAAGCATGAGGATGTGGTCTGGGTTCTTCCGCTTGGTCATTATAAATCAAGTCAATGGTAACGTAGAGATCATCCAACGCATCAAATTTCAATAAACCTCTATTCGCCGAATAGTCCCGGGCTTGATCATACTGAGGCGAAGTGTTACCTCGTACGATGAGCCTCAGCTGATACGAGTCTATCTGCAAACTTAGGGCGGAGCTGGTCGTAGTTGAATAAGCCAAATCGGGGGCCGAAATTGTAATCATCTCGCAACAAATTCAGGATTAAGTCCTCTGTATGGCTCCGTCAATTGGCTGATATAATCCCCGCAGGAAATAAATAGCAAGATCGACAGGATTTAAGCTTCATTTCAGAGCCTTGTCAGCATGCTTCGCGGCTTACATCTTAGGCGTTGTGGGGAATGGCAGGGGCAGTGCACCGGTTTACCAGCCGTACGAAGGAAAAGAGCCAAACGATATAAAGCAGGGCAGGACATAATGAAGACTGGTCACTCCGGCAATTCGGAAATTGGCAAGTCAAGGCGGTATGAATCTATCCCAGCTTCTTCGTTATCTGCTTCTAGGCGTACAGGGCTGCATCGCGGCGACGCCCGTTCCTTTTTACGGACAGACCGCTTCGGGAAAGACATCTGCAGCAAGGTAGGTCCTACGAGCCTGCCATCATCTGAAAGGCGAACTAATGATTTCCAATCAGAGGTTGGAACTCCTTTGTGGCACAATCCAATGGCTTTACTTTCAATGTAGCCAATGTCGACCAACAATGCAGCTTCTTCTACGATAATACTGCAGACGGCTTCGACTATGTGTGTGGCTTCGACAGCAACTGGTCAGTAGGTTGCAACGGGGACGACAATGGACGAATCATCCCAAGCTCAGACGTCTTCGACACCATGTCGGTGCAGGACTTCGCGGCGAAGCTGCATGCAAACGGGATGAAACTCGGCTTGTACATGATTCCCGGCGCATTCCAGGCTGATGAGAACAAGACTGTGGCCGGCACAGACTTTGTCATTGGCGACCTGTTCAACAAAACGGTGGACGGACGCACCGGCATCAGCAACACATACAACTGCCGCAACGATTTTGACTACAGTAAGCCAGGCGTGCAGGAGTGGCACGACTCGGTGGTCGAGCAGTTCGCATCGTGGGGTGTCGACTTTATCAAGCTAGACTATGTGACCCCTGGCTCGTCGTTGGGCGACGGCAATGACGATCTGAAGCCCGCCAACGACTCCGGTGCTGTAGCCGCCATGCATAGTGCCATCTCCCGACTTGCACCGAGCATGCGCCTGGACATTAGCTGGAAACTGGACCGAGAGCAGCCCTTCTTTGACCTGTGGAAGCACAACGCCGACGCACTACGCCTCGACCAGGACATCAACTTTGGCAAGAACCCGGTGACCTGGGATGCGATACAGCGAACCGTCGAGCAGTACCGGCAGTTCATCAACCAGCAGGTCCTCGATCCCTCAAGACAGAACCAACCGATCATGATACGACCAGATATGGATAACCTGGTCGTCGCTACCGATGCCTCAGCCAGCTCCTGGTCCGGTTTCAACACTGTCGAACGCTATGGGCAAATGATCCTGTGGCTTGGGGCGGGCGCGAAGCTTGTCGTGGGAAGTGACATGACGCAAATTGACGACCTAGGGCGCACGTTGCTTACCAACGAAGAGGTGCTAGATGTAGCAGCATTCACGGCCAACTGGCCCATGGTGCCAAAGCAGCCTGCGGACAGAGCGGCACAGCTTCAGGCGTGGGTTGCTGGCCCGGATGGCGATGGCACGGCTGCAGTGGTTGTGTTGTCGAACCTAGGTCCGGATCTAGGCCAGAGCGGGTACAGTGATAACCTTCAAGGCGACCAGCTTGTCAACGTGACACTCGATACCCTAGGGATTGAAGGTTCGTCCTGGAATGTGAGGCGAGTGCTGGGGGGTGGGGACAGGGGAGGGGAGGATTTCACGGATATTGGAACAGCCAACTCCTTTTTGGCGAGCTGGTTGAGTGAACACGAGAGCGTTCTGTACAAGTTGACAAAAGCATAAACGTTCGTGAGAAAGGCTCCAGTTAGAAACGGTATGGCGATTCACAAACTAAGGACCAGTTTCCAAATACATGACGAATGCAATGACTTGAATAATTGAGACTCACGACTATCTACAAATCTTCGCCTGCAGATTCAATTCCAAGAGAGAGCAACGCAAGACATGACAAGATGCTTCAGGAATATAATGAGCTCATGAATAGAAATGTAGCAGATGACAGGATGCTATGCAAGGCGAAGGGCACGGCCTGCAAAGTCTAGAAACGAACAAGAGACGCAAAGACCCAACTATAAATGCTGTTCGTCTAGAATTCTAAGATGAAGCCATCTCTACGACACAGGACTTTGTACAATCATGCGAGAAATGCCGAAGGTCTGTCTGTCTAAGCTCAATTACGAGATTCGATCGCTGCTTTCAAAGCTGTGGATGATAATATTAGTGAACTGGCGAACTATGGAGGCAGTGATGAGGGTTTACCATCACAAGTAGATTTGGCATCTCCAAAGAGCATTCGTGTACCAGGCATGTAGAACATTGGATTAGGTACGTCGGCTGTAAGAGCGTGTTAGCGGTCATACATCATCATTTCAGGCATCCAACATACCATATCCGCTAGCCAAACTCCTCTTCATCACAATTGTCTGTTTGCTCTTCCAAGCGTGCAGCACTGGCATTCCTGCAATGGGACTTCCCGGCTCCAGTGCTATAGGGTTGACTGTATCGTTCGCGCCAATTACGAGAGTGAGATCCGTGTCGCCAAAATCATCATTGATTTCGTCCATTTCCAAGACGATGTCATAAGGCACGCTAGCTTCAGCTAGAAGAACATTGCATTGGCCAGGCATGCGTCCGGCGACAGGATGAATGGCAAAACGAACATTGGCGCCCTTGGCTCGTAACATACGAGTGATGTCAGATATGGCATATTGAGCCTTGGCGACTGCCATGCCGTATCCTACCACTATGATGACAGATTCGGCATTTGTGAGGGCTTCTGCTGTTTCTTCGACGTTGGTCTGTGTAACCGATCCTTCGATCTTGTAATCGGATGTCTGTGGTGCAGCTATGCCGCCGAACAAGACATTTGTAAGGGAACGGTTCATCGCAACACACATGATGTATGAGAGGATAGAACCGGAGACTCCAATGAGTGCTCCCACGGTCGTGAGGAGAGGGTTGTCAAGCATGAACCCTTCTGCCACCAAAGCGAAGCCACTGTATGCGTTGAGAACAGTGATAACAACAGGCATATCAGCGCCACCGATAGCTGCTGTTGTAGTGAACCCCTGAGTGAAAGAAAGGACGGTGTTGGCAGCAAGAGCACCGGCAGCAATCATCGGAGAGCCCGGAGCCATGGTAATGAAGGCGCCCATTGTTGCCGCATTAGTTGCCATGAGACTAGAGTTCAGTACGTGTCGTCCTGGAAGGATCAGAGGCTTGGAAGACATTCTGCCAGCAAGTTTCAGGAACGCAACGATGGAGCCGGTGAAAGTAATGCCACCAATTAGTACACCGAGATAAGCCGTGACGAGGTGCAGAGTAGAAACATGCGAGAGATCAGCCATCACACTGCCAATGCTAGTCAAGACTGCAGCCAGACCAACGACGGAGTGGAGAGCAGCAACCGTTTGCGGGAGGTCAGTAGGGGTGATACGTTTGCCAATCACGAAACCTGGGTTTGTCAGTACCTAAAATTAAGAACCAGATGGTTGGTATCAAACACCTACCAAGAATGCTTCCAATGGTAGCAAGGGCACCGAATTGCGTCAGTACTTCAGGTGAGAACCCGACAGCAAGAAGGGATGCAAGAACACCCGAGCCAACACCAAGCATACCAAGCATATTACCCATGCGTGCAGTAGCCTGTGTTGCCAACCCGGAAAGCGAGCTGATACAGAGGACTGAGCTGACGAGATAGCCGGCCTGAACAAGACCAGCAGCTCCAGTCGAAGCGGCGGCCAAAAAGCCTCCACCAAACAGAGCTCCGGGAATCGCATACATCCACGGATACTCAGGGGGATCAGTTGGACGCCGGAACATATCAAGCATTCTCTTGGTGATGACAAAGCCTCCAGCAACATTTACGAACGCAAGGAGAACAGAGGCAGCTCCGAATGCTTGGGGAATCGTCTCGGGCAGGTAGCCACCGCCGAGAATGAAGAAGCCACCGATGCCTACCATACCAGAGATAGCATTTGTGACGCTCATCAGAGGTGAGTGCAGCGCAGGAGCTACACCCCAGACTACACGATATCCAATCAAAGATGCAAGACCAAAGGTAAAAGCATTGCCCATGAACGCGGGTCCAGTCAGCTTGCCTAGAGCGAGAGCCGTAGCCATGCCACCAGTGACAAATCCGACTTCCCGGGAAGTCTTTTGAAATGGTGTCAAGGCCACGACCTCGGCCTCTTTGGCAGCTGCAGGTGCGGCCGCAGGAGCGGGTGGTGGAGCTGGTCGAGGAGCTGGTGGAAGGATATCTCCTTTGCTAGTGACGATGGCTCCACGGACGACCTCATCTGTGAGATCAATACCAAATTCCTTGTCTGCTGGGGCCATGGAGAGCAAGAATTTGGTAATGTTGTTTGAATAAAGTGTTGACGACTGCGTCGGGAGCCTGGATGGAAGGTCGGTATAACCTATACCGACAATCAGCCTGCTCTGTCAACAAATGAGAATTAAACTTACCAATGATTTTCACATCATGGTATGATATGAGTTTGCCAGGTACAGTCTTCTCGCAATTTCCACCAGCTTCAGCAGCCATATCGACAATCACGGAGCCTGGTTTCATGATTTCAACCATAGACTTGGTGATCAGCTTTGGCGCAGGCTTGCCAGGAATGAGGGCGGTGGTGATGATGATGTCTACATCACGGGCTTGCTCGGTGAAGAGCTTCATCTCGGCCTCAATGAACTCCTTGGACATTTCTTTGGCATAGCCTCCAGCACCAGACCCGTCTTCATGCAAATCGACCTCGATGAACTCGGCACCAAGGGACTGCACCTGCTCTCGAGCCGCAGATCGGGTATCAAAGCCCCTGACAATAGCGCCAAGTCTCCTCGCTGTGGCAATGGCACTCAGACCAGCCACACCAGCGCCGATGACTAGCACCTTGCAAGGTGGGATCTTGCCGGCAGCAGTCACCTGTCCAGTCAAGAATCGTCCGAAGTTGTTCGAAGCCTCGAGAACAGCTTTGTATCCGGCAATGTTCGCCATGGAGCTCAGAGCATCAAATACTTGAGCTCGACTGATACGTGGGATCAAATCCATGGCGAAGGCAGTGGCCTTGCGTGATGCGATCTTCTCCACGAGCGGCTTGTTCTGCGCCGGCTGCAAAAAGCTGATGAGAGTCTGGCCGTCACGCAGGCTCTCTGTTTCTGCCTCGGAGGGCCCGCGGACCTTCAGCACGATGTCGGCCTCCTTCCAGACAGAGGCGGCGTCAACAAGGGTCGCGCCGGCCTTCTCGTAAGCTTCATCGAGAAAATCAGCCTCAGCGCCAGCACCACTTTCAACTATGACGCGCGAGAAGCCCTTCTTGAGGAGCAAGGCGACATTTTGCGGAGTCAGAGCCACACGCCGCTCGTTCGGGTACGTCTCGCGAGGCACGCCGACAGTCAGCTTAGCATAGGGCGTGGTGGGAGGCAGAACCACGGTAGAATACGTCGCGCCAGCGGTAGAAACGGGTGGAGAAGGGATGGAAGACAGCACCGAGGCATGGCGGACTAGCTGGAGCGACGGTGCCTTCGCAACCGTCACAGCCAGGCATGTTGATGAGCTCTGCTGCCGGCCGAGGGTATTATGCCACTGTCGACGATTGCCCACAGTGCAGCCGAGGGCCGGAGCTGAGTCTATATGAAAAGGTCAGGCTTGATGACTTCAATTGAGGACTAGACCAGTCGCATTGTTCTGTACAGAGCTACGGCGGCAGGCGGCAGCTTACCAAAGACACGCGACAGAGAGCGGCGGGACAGGCTCTCAAGAGGCGCCGATGATGTGGCATTGTGGGCCAGAGCTGGGCGGAGAAGAGACCACGACATGATGACTGCCTGCAGTCTGCGCGACACAGCGGACGGGTGTTATCATCGATCTCTAGAAGCTGCGTTATATGGGAGTTGAAATGCGATGCGCCTGGAAGATGAAGCTATTCGGATTTGCCGGCCGGTACGGCACCTTAAGGGAGGAAATAAACGCGGTACAGTACTTCGGTCAAGTATGCGCTTTCTACATGCCTTAGCCCTTCCTTAACCTTGGTACGCGCGCACGCCAGTACAGCAATACACCAGAGCAGCACCAAAAGAATCAGCCACTTCACATGTTACTGGATCGTGGCGAGTTGCAGGAAGCAGGTAAGACAGGACGACAGAGAGGGGAAGAAAGGAGGAGAGTGCAAGTATGCAGGTTAAGGAGAGGAATGGTCGGATGGCAGCCTTCGAAACATTCATCCCCCTCATTCGCGGGTTCTCAGGCTCCCAGGCTCTTCACCCCGCATTTCAATCCGCGAGCCGAAGGGGTCTCACCACTCACCAGGGTGTCTCGTGTGTCTGTGCCCTGTGCCTGTTGCCCCCGGGTGTGCCTTGGCGAGCCCGGCGCCAAAACCGGGTGAATCGGATCCCACTTCTAGAGTCAAGGGAGGATTGTCCATCCTCCCTGACGTTAATAACGGCCTCAACGCACATCTTCTACGGTAGGTAACAACGGGTAAGGTGGCCCGTGGGGGGGGGCAGTGGCCCGGGATGTAGTGTGGGGTGAAGTGTGGAGGGGTGCGTCTTGCGGGGGTATCACCAACCCCTAGAGCCTACCAGACTACAGCTTGTCCTCACAAAGCGTTCCCCTTGGTTATCTACTTCGATATTTCCATGCCATGATCGATGTTGAATCAGCTCGGGTCTCACAGTTTTCGTCCGATACGTGTCTAATGGTCTCTCATTTCTCAGTTACAGTTGAGAATGCACTCTGAAAAGACGTGTGGCAGTCCCATGGTTACGAGCAGCTTTACCAGTTTGTGCAAAGCCCAACGCCGAACAGAGACATAATATCTTGACTTGCGGTTTTATTGCGGTTTGGAGAATCCAGTACAAAGTTTGTTATTAGGATCTGCCGTCAACTAAGAATGAAGTTCTCCACGTGGTCATCTTTCAACACAGCTAAACACACGCACTGTGCGTTCAAGGACCTCAAACAAGGCATGATGAGGCAGGTAAGCTGCTTAGAATTAGAAGAGGGAAATCACCTGCATTTTACTACTGAGGAGACTAGTTTCAAATTCACCCGGGTTGTCACGTCTTCTCCTTTGGATATAAGAATATGTTCAGTAAGACATGGACCGAGAACAGGCTTCGATATGCTCATCGAAATCTTCAAGGGAGTAAATAATGGGCTGATCTCTAAGTCCCGAGCAAAATGCTCCGAGGTTATCCTCCTCAAATTTGATAAACGCCGTGTCAAGAGATGCAGAGTAGAAAGATAGTTCTCCAAGCTTTAGAGGTCCTTTTCCATCGAAATCGGGGGCCCGGAGTTTGTTGTCAGTAGTGAGCGTTTGTTGTGTGCTGCCTTGAGTGATACGAGGTCTTTCCTGGTGTCCGAAGAAATACCCAAAAATCACGCTCGTTGTCGGTAGTATTCCTGATGCGGTGCTCGCGAGTATACCGCCGCTCACGAGTATACTGTCCAGTGCTCGTTGAAAGGAGTCATCATAGGCAGTGATATCCCAGTCCCCGGAGATTTCGCCGTCGAGATCATCTTCAGCAGCCTCTTCAACTTCTTGATCGTCCATAATCGCTTGTCCGTGTGAACTTTCCATATTCGAACGCTCATCCATGAGCCAATGGTTTGCCGTAAGTAATAAATACTTTCCTTGGAATGAAAATACTCCCTCGGCTGTCGCAATACGTAGCTTTTCTTCTTCTATTCCATTTTCCCTGAAACATATAAGTCTCAGCCCCTCGAGCCTTTGCTCTGGGGTGGCCAGGATGCTTCGTGGCTCCTGTCCCGTCATGGCAGCTTCCTGTGTGAAGACGTGATCACCATAATCAGGGGAAAGAAGCTGCAAGTCTTCGAAATCTTCCTTCAAAGACATATTTCCAATCTCAAATCCTAGGAAAGCGTTCAAGACATTTTGGGTCGCCATCGTGCTATTTTTCATGACAATGGTATTTGGAATCGTTCAGTGCGTAGAAGGGGCATTTCAAGTTGCTTTTGCATACAAATCTGTTCAGGTATAAGGTCGGTTCAATTTGGTTTGTTACTCTGCGTTCACGAGAACTTTCCAGATACCGCCGCGATATGGGGGCGAGAAGTCGGAGCTAATGTAGGCCGTGTTGATAACATGACAATGATTACGTGCTCTATCACTACACATCTTATAAGATGTGCCTTTGAATGGGCTATCCAAATACATGCACAAATTGAGATATTATTATCATTTCATATACGAAGGAACGAAACCTTTCGTAAACTGGAATGTAAGTACTCCTCCGCCAGGATAGTAAATGTTAGGTCTGTAAAAGGCAATCACCTCCTCAGCGTGGGATTACTACCTTCGTAGTAGTAAATGGGGCTCCAGCAATGAACGGAATCATGGAAGCATCGACAGGTATCATGACTCTCATCGTTGATTACCTCTATCGTGAAGAATTAACAAGTGTTACCCCGGTGGAGGAGTATCACCAGGGAGGTTAGTTCGTATTTAAGGGTTGGCGGCTGAATGTTATAGGCAATAGCATTAGTCGGCAGGTGTGGGGCTGCTGTCACCGCGCGCCGAGGGGTTCGCCGAAATTTGCGAGGTACTGCCATTCTCAAACCGCAACAACGACAGCCCTCTGATCCCCGGACCCTCAAAAGCTCGGTGAAGCTCCAAACCTGCCACAAACACCTCAATTAGTCGCCTGAAGACTAGACCAAGGCAGCAATCCCGAGTTCTGTCTTAATCCTGACATCTGCATCATGGCCACCGCCGACTCCGGCCCCGAGGCGCCGCCCCTCACCGCGGGCTTCACCATCAACCTGGGCACCCGCCGCTCTCCCCTAGCTCTCAAGCAAGCCGAGTTCGTCGTGAACGCCCTGCAGAAGGCCCACCCGCACATCAAGCTCGAGGTGCACGCCATGGCCACCATGGGTGACAAGGACAAGGTGACGCCGCTCCCGGCGCTCGGCAAGGGCCTGTGGACCAACGAGCTGGAGGCGCAGCTCGAGACAGGCGAGCTCGACATAATCGTGCACAGTCTCAAGGACATGCCGACGACGCTGCCGGAGGGCATGATACTGGGGTGCGTGACGGAGCGAGAAGACCCGCGCGACGTCGTGGTGTTCCGGGCGGGCCACGGCGGCAAGTACAAGGCGCTGAAGGACCTGCCGGACGGATGTGTCGTGGGGACGAGCAGTGTGCGGCGAGCTGCCCAGCTGCGCCGCTGGTACCCAGGCTTGAAGTATCGGGATGTTCGTGGGAACATTGACACGCGGTTGAAGAAGTGCGACGACGAGTCACTCGGCTATGACTGCATTATTCTCGCGGCAGCTGGTCTGCTGCGCATGGATTTTGGGGACAGGATAGCGCAGTATCTGGAGTCCAGCACAGAAGGTGGTGGACTCTTACACGCCGTTGGTCAAGGAGCTCTTGGGATCGAGGTCAGGAAGGGAGACGACAAGGTGCTTGGTGCGTTGAAGGCCGTTCAGGATACAGAGACCATGATTGCTTGCTTTGCGGAAAGGAGTGTCATGCGCACGTTGGAGGGAGGCTGCAGTGTGCCAATCGGCGTCGAGACGAAGTGGGTGCCGGGGACAGAAGGCCGGGGGCAGATGCTGCAGCTCAAAGCTACAGTTGTGAGCCTAGATGGTGGAGATGCAATTGACGCAGAGCTTACGGAGGATGTGCCTAGCTTTGAGGCTGCCGATGAGTTCGGGCAGAAGGTCGCCAAGATCCTGCTCGAAAAGGGGGCAAGTAGGATCCTGGAGGCGATCAACAACACACGGAGCGTCACAGAAGGAACAGCAGGCGCCGTAAAGCTGACCTCCTGAGCCCTTGTACTACTAGAAGCATGGAAGCATGGAATGTCTTGCTTATGATTTCGCATTGAGCAGGCCCGGTACTTTGTATGATGAATCAAAAACCCCCTTTGCCGCGCGGACCGTATGATAATTACATGACGCCTTGTATTTGACCGCATTTTCCCTCCAGGTTGAACTGATCTCTCGACTCAGGTATCTATGTGTGAAAGACTCCTTGACGGTATAGCGGATGTAGCAGTTGTAGAGGAGAGCGCTTGTAGAAATCCTCAAAGACGTGTCCGATCACCGAACCCATCCTTAGCTTAATGGTCCTCAGAAGCAGTGAACTCTTTGTACTCCTCAGCACCCATTAAAGCCTCAAAGTCCTTGACGCCCTGCTCGTCGACGGTAACCTTGGCAATCCAGCCGCCACCGGCGCTGTCGTCCTCGGGGACCTTGTTGATAGTGCCTGGCTTCTCCTCCAACTCGAGGTTGATATGGGTGATCTTGCAGCTGATAGGTGCGTTGATGTCGGCAGCAGACTTGACGGACTCAACGGCGCCAATGGCATCACCAGCGCCGGCCTCCTTGCCCTCTTCGGGGAGCTCGACGTAGACAACGTCACCGAGGGCCTCGGCGGCGTACTCTGAGATCCCGATGACGCCGGTCTTGTTGTCCGCAGACAGGTCAATCCACTCGTGGTCCTTAGTGTATTTCCTTACAGGGTCTGTCGTAGCAGGACGATCTGTGTTAGCAATGGTCCACGGCGGCAGAGAGAGATATCGGAGCAGGGGAACCGACTGATAGCTGTGGCAGAGAAAGCTCTAGCGGCGGTAAACCGGGGGGCAGGGCGAGAGACGGTTGCCAGTCGTAGAACCGAGAGGCTGGAGGGGCGAGCAGCCCGCATGCACCGTGCAATTGAAGCCATGGCTAAGGCTGAATTGCTGGTTGTGAGGGAGGGAGTCGGTGTTGATGGTAATTATCTTTCGGTGACGAACGAGTTGCGGCACCGGGCGCATGATTTTCGGGATCGGTTTAGGACGGCCGAGAAGTCCAAGTTACGTACACGGAAGACTTATGTAAGCGCGCTCTTGGGCATGGAAACGGAGGTCATAATCCGCAGCTAACTGAATCTCAAAACTAGCTGCTAATTCGCTTTTTTCTGTTACTTCTTGCAGAGAAAGGGTAGATAGCATATAAACCCGCCTTCTTAAACATGAAAATAGTCAGAATACTATTGAGCGTTGTGCTTGGCTGACTGTCTTTGGTATTTGAATGCACGTGACGGCTACAGGCTAAGCTACGGGCAGTCAATCATGGAGCTAATCTCTATCATCAAGTCACTTGCAGCATCAATCATTCAACAACAAGACCGACGATGTTTCAGCTAAAGTTCGACAAGTCAATAGTCCGAGTCTGCATGAAGTTGACCACGTTGGGCGGCCTGGATCGTGGCCTTTGCATGTGAGGCAAAGTCAATGCTATTCGAACGATGGCCGAGGGTGGGCAGTCGGATTAGGGGTTCCATTCCGGTAAGAAAACAATGGCAGACCAATAGGGACGCATTCAAACAAATGCCCCGCGTTCCAGTCCGGGCTGACGGTCCCATTTTCTTGGAAAACACGCCGGCCACGAGCCACGACAGACACCTACATGTACCTGGAGATTTGATAATTGATGCTGATATCGACAGCCCTTCCTAGCGCAGCTCGATAAAATACCCCATAGGTTGGAGCTGGCCATGTTGCCCTGGAAAAAGAAAGCAATAACGTTAAGGGCAGGCATTGTGGTAAATAGTCGCACAACGCATGACAGGCCAACATTACAATGGCCGAACACGCCTGACATGGGGTCTCTTATCCTACTGTACCTGACTTGGCTTGGGTTTATCTAACTTGATATCAACCACCACCACCACCACCCACACCTGGTCTTCTGCCAGTCTGTCAATATTGAAGAAGTAGTTAGCGAAGATAGTGCTCAGAATTGCTTCCTTTTCCTTTTCCCCACTTCTTCTTTCGTGCCAGTCCTGTGCTGTTCCTGCCTGGACGGGGGCTCCCTGACGCCATTTTTGTCTCACTCTTCTGTCTGGCTCATAAAAAAGTCGCGTCGCGTGTCGCAATTAGCTGCGTCTCATCGCGCTAAGCCTTCACCTAACCTGAGCTTTTGCCCTGACCCCTCAGTGGACAGAGGGCCGATTTGAGCGTTGATTGGACTCGAGCTGTCCGCGCCAAAACCTCATCAAGATCCCAAGAGGCTGTTAGCTTATTACTACATAGTACACTGGCCCATCCGGAAGAACCACTCGTGCCTGATCAAGGCAAGGAGTTAAAGTGCCTACTTTCCTTTAGAATCTGTACGTCAGCGTGGGGTTTTTCTTCTCTCTGGGCTCTGGATCTGCCGGTATCCCGCTCGTACTGACCTGCACCGTACTGCCCTAACACGCCTTCAGGGCTGCTGCATCGTTACTGTGAAACTTCCATTCCGCAATTCTTCCACCTCCGTCCATTCTCCAAGCCAGTGGACGCCGCCGCCGCCTCGACTTCCCCCTAGCCCTCACCTCACCACCAACACCACCACAACCACCCCCCTTCTTCGACCACGACGGCCGACCTCATCAACTCGAATCGTCAATTGCGCAACCTCAGGTGAGTAATTGTGCCGTTGTCACCGCCTGCCTACCCTACACCTGCAGCAGGCTCCCGTCACCTATATGGATACCCTGTCTGACTTCAGCCCTTCCTACAGAGCTCCACCCCCGATGAAGCTGTCCATCGTACTCCTCTGAACCCAGGACAGAGGCAGTGGTGCAGACTTCAACATATTCTTCCCGTTCGCCCGACATTCGCTTCACTGTTGAGCCACGAAGGCGCTCTTTCATGAGGCTGTCATTCGGGCAAGCCTAAGCAGAGCCCCTCCCACCTTCGTCCTTCCAGTCGCTTTGGACCCCTCGACCGAAGAAGATTCACACCCAGGCCGTCAATAGACACGATTACCACCAACCCTTCATCCTGGGTTAGTCTCCCGTATTCTCTATCTTTGTGCTCCGGCGGGCCTCATAGCTGCTCTATCCTCGCGAATGCTCTTTTCGGTTGTATGATAGTCCCTATCCGCAGTGCTGACCTCAATGTGTCAACAGATTCCTCAACACTCTCGGCGGGGTCTCCGGCCCAGTTTCACGACGCCCTCGACACCATGGACCACGATCACGTCCCCCATGATATGCATGATGACACCCTCGGCGGCATCGAGGGTTCGCCGAACATGGCCAACAATGGCTTCGGAGGCGCAAGGTCGGATCGAAACCATCGGCAATCACAGTCCCTAGATCAAGGTCTCACAAACTCCCCGCGAGCCGTCGACGATATGGACCCGACAGCGCGATACACAACTCCCCCCATTCCTCACCCACAAGCATCTTCTATCTCTCGACCGGCATCCGGTCTCTCAGGCCAAGGCTACCCAGACCATGCGTCGCGCACGAGCGGCGGTGCGGCCGAGCAGAGCAATGGGAATGGAAGGAACCACGTGGTGATCAAAGTTGGCATGGTCGGCGATGCGCAAATAGGCAAGACGTCGCTGATGGTCAAGTACGTCGAGGGCAGCTGGGACGAGGACTACATCCAGACACTAGGCGTCAACTTCATGGAGAAGACGATTAGCATCCGGAACACCGAAATCACCTTCAGTATCTGGGACTTGGGTGGCCAGCGAGAATTCGTCAACATGTTACCTCTAGTGTGCAATGATGCCGTTGCGATACTCTTCATGTTCGATTTGACGAGGAAAAGCACCCTAAACAGCATCAAGGAGTGGTACCGCCAAGGACGAGGCTTCAACAAGACGGCCATACCAATATTAGTCGGCACCAAATACGACCATTTCGTGAACTTTCCGCGGGAAGACCAAGAGGAGATTTCGAATCAGGTATGGCACATCAGGTCGCTCAAAGGAAAAGCAGAGTGTTAACAAGTTTCTAGGCTCGTCGATTTGCAAAGGCGATGCGTGCTGCCCTAATATTTAGCAGCACCAGCCATAGCATCAATGTTCAGAAGGTATGCTTCTGTCTAGCGGGACTTATTTCACAGATACAGCTAACAACCAAAATCCAGATTTTTAAAATTGTACTCTCAAAGGCTTTTGACTTGAAGTGCACAATTCCGGAAATTGAGAATGTCGGCGAGCCACTTCTCCTCTATCAATCCTGCTAGTAAGCGTTGAAGGTCACCACCGCGGCAATGCACCACTGGGAAAGCATCGCTTTCTGGAGAGTTATGAGTATCATCATATCTACAATATGTGGTCCAGATGACAACATACACCATACAGCAGCAAAAGAAAACCATCCGTTGCATAACACTTTTAACCTGGAATCGGACCTTATAATGTCATGAACATAAAGGTCGACCAGAATCCCGATATCACGAGATTAAACCAGTCTTTGAGACTCCACTCTTTCATTTTCTTTTATGTCTTGAGAGAGAAGAAGGGAAGAACGACGAAGCAATATGTAATCCCATCACAACCTACTGGAAGGGAGTTGCTCCAATAAGAGCTCGATCTCCGACGGGGGTGGTTTCGAGGGACCAACAAGCAGCATGAGTTGAGGGTGAAGAAGAAAGCATTAGGGCAAACGGTCGGAAGGCACATGGTGACCCCGGGAAAGGGGTCTTGTCATTTTTGAAAGTTTTGTTGATTTTGTCCCCCATGGTCGTTTAGGCGTGATGAACGAGAAAGATCAACTGGCTATCTGCGAGGTTCTTATGTTCCTCAAATTGAAACTTTTTTTTTCTTTATCTGATGTAATCCTCTCCCTTTTACCACCATTACCTGACCCCTATATTGTCCACTCAACTTCAGGGTTTTGGTTTTCTCAAAGTTCACGCCTTGGGAATATATCCCAGTGGGAAAGGGGGTATGACCATGATACATGGACGGAGATAGAGAGGCTAGTGAATCCATAAAGCTGTTGAAGAGAGAGAATCGCCATTCTTGTCACAGTGAAGCCGCGAGACGAATCTGGATCTGTCAATTTCCATGAGGGTTTGTACAGAGGGGAATCATTATTCTGCTAACCATACTATTAAGCATTACTGACTAAGGATAAGAACGACGATATTGAATCCCACGCAGAGGTTTCTGGTTTTCCGTTGCCATGCTGGCTCCACACGGAGAAAACAATGCAGCAGCACGGCGCGCCATCATATTTCGAGCCCCGAAAGCCTTCCTGTACCATCATCTCTCATCATAAGTTGGTACGACCCCATTCTCTTTGCATGCTCAACAATTGTCGGCTTGTCCCATGCAGGACTCCCCTTGCGAGAAGGCGCCGGTCCTCTGCTATCCTGTCTGCTCTCCCTCGATGGCGGCTGTCGAAACACAGGTACTGGGATCCGGCTCTGGGGTGGCGTGTCTGGCCGACTGCCAGCGCCGTCTCCGCTTGACTGAGAACGGCCAAAGCGGCCCCCGAAGTGATTCGTACGAGCGCTGCCGGCGCCCATGTGTGGCGCCGTCACAGTCTTGGGGATGCCGATCGGGCGGCGTACTTCTTCCTCCGCTGCACGATTGTTAGCTTCTGGCTGTCTCAGAATAGTGCTGGGAGGCGCGCCTACTACTCCGGTGTTCTCAGTGCCAGGCATGGGCGGAGATCGTGGAGGCGAAGCATGCCTATTAATGTCTATGATGGTAGGCTTGTGGCCCTCGTGGATCGGGACGAATTTAGGCGTTTGTCGGACATCTCCCGTCTTAGGTGTCCCAGGCTCTGACGCACCGGGCGGCAGCTCGACTATCATCTCTGGGGGGCTGCGAGAGCGGCCTCGACCGGCAAGAGCCTGGTCCTCGCGGACATGATTTGCCAGGGGTGTGACATATGTAGGAAGGGTAATATCAATTTCCAAATTGTGGGAACCAGGACCAAGACCGGGCGTTACTTCTGAATCTTCTACCCAATCATCGTACAGCCTGTGAGGACTGTGAGCTCTGTGATGAGGCTTTCTCGAGAGCGGATCGTCTACGGATAGCGCATTTGCTGCACCGGTGTGGACTTCATGGGGAAGTAATGACGGGCCAATACGGCCAGGCCCTGGGGATCTGTTTCGGAGGGGAGAGTGCTGATGAGGATGAAATCCTTGAATAGGGGAGTTGGTTCGCGCAGGAGGCACCCTGCGTTCGCAGGACCGGGAAGGCGAAGGCGAGGGGGTGCGAATGCGAACAATGATCTCGTCCATTGGCATCATACGTGGTGAGAGGGCTGGCTGAGGGAGAGGCTCATCAGGGATCAGTTCTGTCTCATGCAAGCCATGTGGCAATGGGGTTGGTAGCCTTGACGGAAGCTCCTCATCCAGAGTTATGCCGACGTCTAATGTCGGTACTGGTGGCATGCCGATTGCCTCAGCCGGACTGCCCGTCAAGTGACTGTCCTGGGTTGCCTCTGACTTCCTCTCAAGTATGCGTGAAAGTGGTCTTCTGAGGTGGTTGAGGGCGTCCGGATGTCGTTGAAGCATTTCTGCGGGATGCAGCAGCTGTGATGCATGCTCAATGATGTCAGCTGCTTTGCCCTTCTTCTTTGGCTTCTTCACCTTGTCCGGAATAGGGTCAATAAGGGGTGAAGTCGCCTCCGGACGAGGCGAGATCTCTTGCATTGGCGGCGAAAGAGGCGGCTGCTGTTTCACCACCCCAGCTCCTCTCTCGTTTTCGCGCTGGCTAACCTCGAGCTGGTCTCTCAGGACGGTGCAATGAGGACAGAAGATGCTCTTGGGATTCTTATTCTTCCGTGGCTCGATGTCATACTCTCCTCTAATACGATTCGTCTCCTTGACAGCCAAAATTCCAGCCACTAATCTCTTCATTAGTTACCGACACCTTCGAATGCAGACAAGGGGTAGCATACGAGGTGGTAAAGTAGCCAGAATCCCGTATTCGACACAGGGTCCGTTGATCTTCTTATACGGCACAAGTGCATCTTCTGGATTCTCTCGGGCTCTCTTGATGCGTTGAAGCTCGTATTGAGTCTTGCCATACGTGATGCAGGGGAGGGCCATAGCGTTCCAGACGGCCGCGGGCCCCAATGCCTTCATCGCTTCGTGCCGGGTCGTTTGCCATTGGTTAGGAGAGCTTTTGCCTGTGTTGAGGACAATGTTGTTGTCGGTAGCCACATAGTTGTGGGTTGGTACAGACGGCATCTCGTTGAGGGCGGCGGCGATGGCTCCGGCTGACGGGACTGCTGAGGCCGAATCAAGGTCGGGAATTCCGTTGCTACTTTCCCCTTTATCTACCGGAGAGGCCATGGAATACTTGAGTTCCGATAAGTAGGCACCCTTCGAAGAGGCCGATGGTGTCTTGGCCGTGGTCTTGAAAAGCCACCCAGGAACGTCAAGTCGCTAGTGACGGCAATATCTTGATGAAATACGGAGGATGCTGCAAAGCAATTGGACACTTCTAATACAGGTGAAGAAACGATACGCACTGCCGAGACAACGAATGACTAAAGTAACTGGGACAAACACAAGATGAGATAATATCGCATGGGAGGGTGGCCATAGGCATCACAACACAAAGAAACCCAAATAGCGAACAAGTCTTGTTGGGTAGTTTCCTTGACAAGGGCCTCGAGTGCCGAGCTCATCGCCACAATAGTTCCTGCCCCTTGAACGTACTTCCCCGGCTGCGTGCCTACCTTGATCATGGCAGTAATTACCTCGTGTATTTCGAGCTTATTTTTGCAAGCCAGCTTACAAATGACAACATACAGGGCTATATCTTAGCATTGGCGGATTGGATTATTATCTGTGTCCTGGTCTGGCTCCTCACTTTGCTGTATCGATGTGCCCCTAATGGAAAGGAAGACTAGATGGGGCTTACATCACTACAACGCCGTTTTCATCGAGCCACAGACAGCACATTGTTCGGCCGAGCAGCGTTATTGTAACTGAGAGCAGTCGGGCTCAATTCGGCAAGAGCCGTATTGAGGCTGAAGCTTGGTTAGCGACGGTAGAGTTAGTGGGGCCAGTAGCCGGGGACAGCGGGGATAGCAAGAGCACGGATCATCTTCACCTCCGTAAGGTAGGCAGGTCAGGCTACCTACCCCACCTGTAGCTCCCACCCCACCATTCCCGCTGTGCGCCTTGAGGTGAGAGCTGCTGCCTTCCTCTCATCAGCATCACTTTTCTTCCCAAGACTTCCATATACCTTCCCTTCTTGCCTTCCCTTTCTCTCTCTCTCTCCTCTACCGAGAACAAGGCGATCCTCCCAGAACTGTCGCGAAAAGGTCGTCCTCTGCGTGTCACACTCAGTGCCAGATTTTACCCCATAGATCCGTCTATGGCACTGTCTGACGCTTCTCCCTCCATCTTTGCCTAGGTATCTGGTGCTTCCCCTTCGAGCACTCATCACAACTCTAACCAAACGCTGGGCGTGAACAGAACAACGCGCAACTCGCCTACTCGAGGTCAAAATACCAAGATGGCGACCAGTATTCCAGCGAATCCGACCACCCAAACTATTAATCAGCTGCTGGTCAAGCTGAATGATAACGATCCCGATTTCCGTTTCATGTCCTTGAGCGACCTGATCACCGTGCTCAACATTGGCAAGCATGACCTCCTCCACCACGACTACAACACAGCTGCCCGCACAATCGACTCGATCGTAAAATCTTTAGATGACCAGAATGGCGAAGTGCAAAATCAAGCCATCAAGTGTCTTGGACCGCTTGTTGCGAAGATTCCACACAACCTCATCGCTCCGCTGATCGAGAAGCTATCCACCCTCAAGCTTCAGAATTCTGTCGACAATTCGGTGCCAGCCTTGGCCCTTCGAAACGTCATCGAGTCACTCCCACGCCCCGTACAAGGTGTGGTTCCTTCAAGAGAGGTTCTCGAATCATATGCCAGCATCAGCCGTGTGTTGATTCCGCGGCTTCTCGGCCGCTCTATCCAGGCGCAGAAAGCTACAGGGAATGTCCGGTTGCCGGCCCCAGGCGATGGTATGATTGACAGCGATCAAGACCTGAACGCGGATGCAGTCGACGTTCTCATTGAGGTCGTTCGCTGTTTTGGGCCTATGCTTCAGCCAGTGGAAATCGAAGCCCTACAAGACGCGGTTATTGGTGTCCTGGAAAACCACAGAGCGACCTCAGTGGTTAGGAAGAGGGCTGTTGTTGCTATTTCCATTCTCGCAGTATACTTGTCGGATGATCTCCTCTTAGGGTTCATCAAGCGTACTGTTGTTGTCCTCGGCAATCCTAAGGTCAATTCTGTTACCAAGCGGTTCTATGTGACAATCATGGGATCAATGGCTCGTTCTGTTCCTTACCGATTCGGCCAGCATATACACACTGTTGTTCCCTTTGTCCTCTCTGCTCTTGGGGAGAATGAGCTACAGCAACATCTGGAGGAAATCAACGATGGAGTGGACTCTGGTCCAGAGTTCAACGAAGTCCGTGAAGCTGCTCTAGTAGCTCTCGAGGCATTCCTCGCCTCCTGTCCCTCTCAGATGCGTGCACAGACTGACGAGGTCATTACATCGTGCCTGCGTTACCTGAAATACGATCCAAACTACGCAGTTGATGACGACGATGAGGACATGGAGGAAGATGAAGAGGACGATGCTGATGAGCTTGAGGATGATGACGAGTTCGAGACTGGAGATGGTTTTGATGACGATGACGACGCAAGCTGGAAAGTCAGACGCTGTGCAGCCAAAGCCCTGTACACACTCGTCTCCACAAGAAGCAGCGGGGATCTTCTTGACAACGGCGTCCTTTACGGTCAAGTTGCTCCTGCACTGATCAAACGATTCGATGAGCGTGAAGAGAATGTTCGCTTAGAGGTTGTCTCGACGCTATCTCTCTTGATTCGCAAGACGGGAGAAGGTGTTATTCCGGATTTTGCCTTGGATAACGGTCAGGCAGAAGACTCGCACCCAGTACCAGTCAGTCGCAAACGCCGGCGCCAGAGCAGTGGTGGTGGTCCATCGGCACTTCATCTGACAGGAACTGGTCTGACCTCTCCGACGTTGGAGAGAATTCCATCGACTGGACCTCGCGCAGACCTTGCACAGCTGACGCCAAATATCATCAAGGGCTCAACTAAGCTGCTGAAGGGCAAATCTGTACCTGCAAAGCAGGCTGCTACCAATCTTCTGGATGATCTGATAACTGTTCAGCAAGGGGGTCTTGCCGACTATTTTGACCAAGTCATCGAGCTCATTATCGAAGCAATCAAACCTTCGAGCGCGTCGTCTACTTCCGTCGCTCTCTCAGGTGCTGGAGGTAATGCATCGGCCACCCCCGCAACCCTGCGAGTTGCAGCCCTGCGACTCATGAGTGACATAGCGAAGACCCACTCATCAAAGCTCCTTCAACCGTACCTCACCAAGATTGTTGCAGGCGTTGTTGCTGTCGTCCATGATCGGTTCTACAAAATATCCAGCCAAGCTATTCAGACTGTCGAGGAAATAGTGAAAGCAATCACACCGCCGCGATCTCGTACTACGGCTCAGAAGTACAAGGCGGAGCTTGCCAAACTCTACGATGTGCTTGTTGACCGAACAGTCGCAAATGACGCAGACGTTGAAGTTCGTCAAAGAGCAATCCATGCCTTGGGAACCCTGCTCTCAAGAACTATCAGTGCCGAGGGTGCTGGCCTGCTGGCTGCCGATAAACGACAAAAGTCTCTTGATATTCTATCTGACAGGCTGAAGAACGAAACAACCCGCATATCTGCTGTTAGAGCCATCGATAGCGTCGCCGCTGTCTCGTCCAGCAATGTTCAGCTTGACCCCGTCTGGGTTCGCGAAGTGGCTCTTGAATTGTCTGGTCAACTTCGTAAGGCCAATCGAGCTCTCAGGGGCTCCAGTGTGCAGGCGTTGAAACATCTGATCCTCTCGCCTGCCAGTGAAGGCGCATTAGACAAGGGTACCGTCAAGAACCTAGTCTTAGCCCTCCAGCCTGTCATCACTAACAATGATGCGCACCTCCTGGGCCCTACTCTCCATATTCTTGCATACATTGTGGAGGGAAATGCCGATACTGTCGTGACATCCACCCTCATCGATTCTCTCTGCCAACTCCTTTTGGTCAATATCGTCGACTCCGTCCTGGATCCTTTGCTGGATCTAGTGACAAAGATTGGTCAGATCGGGGCTGGAGAACCGCTGATGTCTGGATTGCTTAGGAATGTTGGGGTTAGCGGTGATCCTGCGACCGTCGGAAAGGTTATTGGCACTCTACTGGTTGGCAGTGGGGGTTCTGCTGGCGTGACGCTTGATAGTTTCATCTCCGAAGCAGACACAACCGAGGATCCTTTGAGGGCGAGTCTCGCTTTGTCGGTTCTTGGTGAAGCCGGACTTCGACTTGGACAGAAGTCTCCCCTGGAACCTCAGCTGTTTTTGGACAAATTTGGAAAGGAGTATGACAAGGTGTCTTTGTCTGCAGCGCTTGCTTTGGGCCGTGCCGGAGCTGGAAATGTTCCTCAATATTTGCCGATGATTCTCAAGAATCTAGAGAAGACGGGTACGACACAGTATCTTCTCTTGCAATCAATCAAGGAGATTCTTCTTCAAGATGTGGACATTGCTCAGTACTCAAGCAGCATTTGGAGTCAATTGCTTGATGCCGCTGGTGTTGACGACAACAAAGCTGTTTGCGCGGAATGCATTGGCCGTCTCGCAATTATCGACCCTAAGACCTATATTCCCAAGCTTGATGTGAGTGACTACTTCGGATATACAATTTGACTGTGTGCTGACCATTAATCAGGGTCTTTTGAAGGACAATTCGGCAACGCTACGGGCGATTGCGGTCCAAGCATTGCGATATACATTACCTGAAAGCACCGAGCAGTTCGACTCAATTCTGCAGAATTACTTGGTCAGCATGTTGATGACCATGCTGCAAGATTCGGATATGGATATTCGGCGCTTGGCCATGTCTACGCTCAATTCCGCAGCTCATAACAAGCCTGACATGATTCTGGGGCACCTTGGTCAATTGATGCCGTATGTTATGCAAGAGTCTGTCATCAAGCCAGAACTTCGCCGCGAGGTCCAGATGGGTCCCTTCAAACACTTGGTTGATGATGGCCTGGAAGTTCGAAAGGTACGCTACTGTTGTTATCCATCATCTAACTTTTGACTAAAATTTGACATGCAGAGCGCCTACGAGACGTTGTATGCTCTTATGGAGACAGCCTTCTCTCGTATCAGTATCATCGAGCTGTACGATCGCATCATTGCAGGACTTAAGGATGACAATGATATACGGTCTCTCAGCAACCTCATGGTGTCGAAGCTCGTCTACATCGACCCCGATGAGACAGTCCGACGGTTGGATGCCATAGCAGACGCATATCGTACCACTTTGTCAACCAAGTTAAAGGAGAACGCAGTCAAGCAAGAGCATGAGAAACAGGAGGAAGCCAACAAGAGCGTCCTGCGAGTGACTCTTCTGCTTGGCGAGAAGCTCAAGGGATCGGTTGGCTCTTCCAGCACTCAGGGCGCCGCCGGTGCCAATCAAGTGTGGGGGACGTACTGGGATTGGGTCAACAAAGACTTTAATTCCCAGTTGAAGAGTTTGCGTGAGGAAAGCGATAGAATCGGCCACACATATGCCTAGGGCGCACGCAATACCTGCTTCATGTCCCAGATGCAACGCCAACTGGCTCGATTGAAGCTCTGACAACTGACCGATATATACGACCTTCTTCTACGCTACTTGCAAGGAAACAAGCCCGGGTGCCAAAGCATCATTGGCATTGGCAAAGATCGCGAACGGCTATCGAGTTCTGCTTAACAGCATCCTCGAAGACTTCATTGATACAGCTAACATACGCATCTCGCCTTGTCCGCTTACAAAAGATATTTGAGAGTTGATCTCATTCAAGAGATCATGACCAAAATGAGGAGAATTTGGCTCTTATTTGTAGTGCATAGAAGCACCAGGTAGCATGCTAGACTTATGTAATGATATCATGAGCCCCCCAAAAAAACATGGCGCAGCAATCGGCCGTAAGATCAATCGGTAAATTGTGCTTCTAGAAAAGTCAAAACCCTTACAAAAACATGGCACTGTTGCCTTGATCAGGACCAAGAAATGAAATCAACCTCCAACGCTTGTAGTTTATGATAACGAGGGTCCAAGCTTCTCGGAGTTCAGTCATGATCCTATTTAATTAATATAAGAGCAAACAATCATGTGTTTTCGACTCAGGCTTCTCATGGCATATAGAAGAAATCCCTACGAGTCACTGTCGAAGCTACTATTCCATTTCGTTTCATGTTGGCTTAACATGTCATATAAACATGTTAGTCCATTCGGAGTTATGTAATCGAGCTCGGAGACAAACCAGCGCGGAGCGCCCTTTTCCTCCGCACCGGGTCCGTCTCCGTTGGAGAATGCCCTTCCGGACAATGGCGTAGTGTAGTTTGAGCCACCATAACTACAATCTGAATCGGCGCTCGGAGACCAGGAAGAGGACTAACCAAGTGCGCGAGCGTATCTGAGCTCTTAAGGCTGGCTAACGTAATCAGTCAACTACCGGTACTGAGCATCTGAGACCTGTTATAGCGTTATGATCGATGCCGGCCATCTCTCCCGCGAAAGGACACTATCAATTACTGAGAAATCACGGAGAAAATGATAAATGTGCCAGTCCGTTCCCGTCTTAAACATGGCCACAAAGGTATATCTATATGTAGACTGCCCCAAACATCTCATGCCACCGCCATAGAGCTCAACATATGAATCATGTCTTCTAAACCACGAAGCATCTTGATCACAGGCTGTTCAGAAGGAGGATTGGGCGATGCCCTCGCCCAGGCATTCCATGAACGGGGCCAACGCGTCATTGCAACCGCGCGGAATCCAGCCAAGCTCGCTCACTTCAAAGACTTGGGCATCGAGACGCTAACTCTCGATGTCCTCTCGGCAGAGTCGATCTCAGCCTGCGTGGCAGCCGTCTCAGAAAAGACAGGTGGCTCCCTGGATATGCTCATCAACAACTCCGGAGGCGGCTACACAGTTGCCATCCTCGATGCCGGCTTAGATGCCTCACGCAAGCTGTTCGATCTCAACGTGTTTTCCATCATCGCCGTCGTGCAAGCGTTTACGCCCTTGCTCCTCAAGTCCACGCGCAAGCCTCTCATTTGCAACAACACATCCGGTTCCTCGGTGGTCACAACACCCCTCGCAGCGGTCTACGCCGCCAGCAAGGCCGCCGCCGCAATGCTGACTGACGGATTGCGTCTCGAGCTCGAACCGTTCGGTATCAGAGTCGTCGACCTCAAGACCGGCGGCGTGAAAAGCAAGTTCTACGACAACCAGCAGGGCGGTGCGAGGCCGACCTTGCCCGAAGGGAGCCTCTACCGGATAGCAAAGGAGGAAGTCGAGTCAGTCTTAGCCGGCGAGAATTTTGAGGAGGGCAAACCCGAGAGAGAACCCTGGGCGCGGCGCGTGGCAGGCGATCTTCTCAAGAGCTCTCCGCCAGTGCAGATATGGAGAGGAGCTGGCATTGTATCCGCTTACCTCACTACCATGGTGCCGTGGTCGTGGTATGTAGGCACTTTGTTGAAGATGGGAGCTATGGACGTCGTCAAGAAGAAGTGGAACAGCAGGGCGAAGAGCAACTGACGCGGTGCTAGGGGCGACGGAGGAATCAAATGCTCGAGTTAACTTCAAGGAAGCACTTGTTGATGACTATCTCCCTTGAGGTCCTGTATGGTAAGACTTGGCGTTGACATTTCGGCTTATACTAGCCGCTTTTTGTCATATGTGAACTTGGCTTTTTGTGGAGTTTGAAGCATTTATCGCGTACAGCTGACTGAAATGAGTCAACAAGCAATTCAGGGCAACAGATGACACAGCTCTCGGAGTGCGCCAAGGTTCTAGAGGCAAGCTGTTCCGATTCCTTACGAGGCTGAATGCAGTTATGCGGCGCAAGAACCAACGGGCTTAGGACGAGCTGCTGAACATGATGGTAGTACGAAGTATAAAAATAAATAATGTACAAACCCAAGATCAATTTCTTCGCAAGTGTTCAAATTTTCATTGTTTCTCTTTAAGACAATATGGCTATAGCACGAGCATGGTCTTTCATATCCCGAGGCAGGCCTCAAGATGTTTTGCGTCTTAAGAGTTCGCACCCCGTGCCGACCCTCCCACCCCCGGTCCCGCTCCCGAAGACCGCCACCTCGGCGGACGAGTGGATCGTCGTCAAGGTGGCCTATGCCGCCCTCAATCCGGCCGGCCTTTTCCACATAAGTATGCTGCCTCCTTTCGCACGAGCGAAGACCGCTGTGCCAGAAAATGACCTGTCCGGCACGGTTGTTGATGCATGGACCCCCAATGGTTCGGAGAGCAATACAAGGTTCAAAATAGGGGACAAGGTTATTGCGTTCCTGCCTGTGAATTACACGTTCCCCACTGGCGTTGGGGCACTGCAAAGCTACGTACGCATTCCGGCACGGTATGCGGTCCGCAAACCAGACGGTACGTCGCTGCGCGATGCGGCAGGCCTCATGTTGGCAGGGTGCCCAGCAAGTCATGTTATCGAGGCTGCGGAAATAAAGCAGGGAGACCATGTGTTAGTGAATGGCGCCAGCGGAGGCATTGGCACTTTCGCGGTGCAGTTGGCCAGACACATTGTAGGGCCGGAAGGATTCGTTGTCGGTGTTTGCTCAGAACGAAACCTGGCACTAGTGAAGAGTCTAGGAGCAGATGAGGTGAGTTTGTTGTTACATAGTCCTGATACATGATATGGACTGGGCGGCTCACAAGTGTAGGTCATCGACTACACTTCTCACAAATCAACCTCCGCAGAACTGGCAAGCAAATACGGGTCACAGCCCTTCGACGCAGTCCTGGATTGCATTGGTGTACAGGATCTCTATCTGAAAAGTGCACAGTATCTGAAAGAAGGTAGTATATATGCCGCCGTGGGTGTAAAACCACCAAGCATGACATATTGGAACCTCCTGAAGATAGTTTGGCACTTGCAAATGAATAGCATTTGGCCATTATCTCCCTGGCTGTTTGGGACTGGCAGGCCATGGAAAAGCGTCTCGATGTTTGATCCTGGCTTGGAATTAATGGAAAGACTGGCGGCCCTGTTCGGCGAAGGCAAAATAAAGACAGTTGTTGACAGTGTCTGGCCATTTGAAGACGCGCTTAAGGCATATGAGATAATGGCGTCAGGAAGAGCAAGTGGAAAGATTATCGTTCAGGTTGAAGATGATATCGATTGATAGTCTACCATGAACCTTCAACGGCGTGGCCGCCATCTCCACTCCCTAATCGAGATAGGCCTCCTTTTCTCATACAATATGATAACGCAAGTGTACGATATCTTAATTCCACCTAAATAGACTCACACAACACTTCTCGCTCATGTAAGTAGTCAAAGGCTTGCAGTACTGCTTTCGCGTAAGCGACGGCAGCCGTCAACACCATGATGTGCATCAATTGGTGACTCGCACCAAAAAAGTCAAAGGTTCTGGGGAACCATTTCTCGGGGAACTATATCCGATTTTAGAATATGAACAAGGTCCTTCTTCCAGTGTCGACCTTGGTGATTAGTAGGCTGATACTCACCTTCAAAGTGTATGCGGTTGCCCCCAGGGTATTGAATAAGAGTGTCAGTAGAATCCATGGCAGCCCTACCCTTCTGCTCTCCTCCACAATACCACGCACGATCATGCCATGCACGATTGGCACGAGAAACGACCCAACCCCGAATGATCCAAAGAGGGCAGCACGCCATGGTCCCAGATGTGGTCTGCTAAACTGTGGCCAGCAAGTCACAGTGGAGCATAACGCAGCAAGTGCTGTGATCGTGAGCCAGTACGCGGCCTGAAGTTTCGGCTGGCACGGAAAGCTGTAATAGATAAGTGGTACTGTTGAACCCCACATCAGAAGCAAGATGCCCTGAAAATCAAGTTTCATTCCCAGAAGATAGATTGATTCACTGTGCGACATAGTGGTATGGAATCTGTTCCATGGTTGTCGTCAGGATCTTGCAGACGTCTAAATAGAGGCAGAAGGGTTCGAATCCGCTACTAAAGCTTGCTTACATGGTCGAAAAGACAAAGCATATGCCCACTCCAAGAAAGTAAGTGGCGCATACTGTGATATCCCCTTTTGTCGCAATGACATATCGAGGTGGCACCTCGACCTTGAGTAGCAACAAGGGCATGACGAAGAAAGCGACAGCACCGAAGACATGTGAGTAAATATTGACTATCAATGGTCAGTACAGCATGACAGAGGTGGAATGCATATTCAAGAGATACTACCAGTCTCGTTATGAATATAAGTCAAACTATGGATGCAACCGCAGAACGATCCGGACGCCCTTCTTCAATGTTCCTCAGCTGTAGTCTTGGATCTTAGAAACAAGGAAAGACGGGTTTATTATGTACCGATAACCTGTGTGAATCAATTCGCTTCCGTGTCTTTGGGTTTGATTAATTACGCCGGACGGTGCCCAAAAGTCAGAACAGGATTGTAAACTCACTGTTGCCAGCTCGCTGTTTCTCATTGTTAGCCCAAAGGTTGGATTATGCCTTAACTCGGAAGCTCAGTTGCTGCAACGACAACGACTTACGCAAATCTACCCAACATGCCAGTCTAAGTAACTCCTGTTGCCCAGTTGCCTTTACCTCTGAAGCCGTTGCAGACCGAGCCTGATGTTCTACAGGCCAAGTTTGTAGTCGTCTACGTATCGAAAGCTGAAGGAGTGCATCTCGCTGCGAGGTCATCGTCAAATTCACCTGACAGTTATCGCCGCCTTATTTATCTTTCTGTCGACATGAAAGCGGCAAAATTGAATTGAAAAGACGACGTTGTCGCTTTCCTTGAACTGTGGGGAAGAAATGTCCCGAAACCAAAGATCCAATTGAGGTATCCTGCCGCTATGATCTTCGCATAATGCAACGCTTCGCGTCTGAGAGCCGGGATCCACCACCTAACAGGTTTACTTTCACTGTCTAGATATGTTCATTCGAACAAATCGATATGTGAGAACCGAAACCTATAAATTTGGAGACTGGAACATGTGTTGATAGCTAAGAAGAAACGAGAATGATCGCATGCAGGTGTTGAACCTTTCATTCCTGCCAATGCATCTAATGTTGAATACACCAAGGCAGACCCACCCCGTGACAGAAGGAAAGCAATTCGTATCTACTTGCAGTTGCCCTTTAGTTTCTCATCAATAGCATTCCTTACCGGCATGTGAAGGACATCAATTGTCGACTTCTTCAAACTCGTCTACGATCCACTGGCAAAAGCGCTCCCAGTCCACATCCCATTCTCTAAGCCGCTTTGCTTTGAGTCCGTCACCTAATCGGCGAGATGCCACGCCACTATGCCATTCGTCATCAGTCTGATCTTCAAATGCTGCCCATCGTAGACTGCTTTCCGCGAGGGATCCTAGACCAGCGAGGCTCAAACTCTCCCAACCTTGCAGAGCCTGCCAGAAATCGTTTGACAGCCCAACGGTCTCTAGTATTGTTGGATCGTCGTTGGATAATGCACAGGATACACCTCGTGCTAAAAGAGCTGGAAGTGGATGCGACAAAATGGAGCTACAGTATCGAAGAATCTCGTTACTGATAGGACAGCTTTCGATGAGGATTGCCTTCTCACGGACCATATCGACCAACGTTGGGTGCTTATACAAGCTGAAGCCGTGCCCAATACGCCGAGTGCCCATCAATATAGCGTCGAACAGGTTATGATCTGTTTCGCCACCAGTTGAGAGTGTCTCGCCAGCGTGAAAGAAAAAGGGGATGTTAACGCCATTGATCTCGCACTGCTCTCGGAACCATGCGAGCTCCGGAATGAGATCTTTTAATGGCCTTCCAAGATCTTCTGGGCCCACTAGATCATATCCTGCGATCAAGTGAGGAAATTTGAGCTTTATAGCGATGCATTTATTCATATCATCAAGCAAGTTTTCTGTCGGCAGTCCGCGCATTGATGCCCATATCATCCGAAGCCCCCAGAAGTTCTTGCCTTCATCAGTTGCCTTGAACTTTTGAATCTCGTCATCTAGGGCCACGAATAAAGCATCAAGATTCTCCTCTGGACTCTCCGATCCTTCTTTGTAGTAGCTTATGTTGATGAAATGGTCAACTAATTTCTTAGAGTCGGCATCCATCACGCGCCGACGGATTGCAAATGGACCGCTTCGCAGCTCAATCCATCGAACGTTGTCCTTCGCCATTGCAGACATCAGTTGACGTAGGAAAGCACGCCAGATCGGCTCGTACTGAATGAGCATGCTGAGAGTGGTGAAGCATTGTGCAAACTTGCGCCAGATGTGATCAATCCCGTGCCTCTGCTCAGTTGCTTCTTCCAAAGTCACTGTCACGCGCGATCTGAGCCACTGCTGGAAACCTTCCCGGCCACTGTTGGGAAATGTATTTGCTGCGTAAGTCAAGGGGACTGGAGATCCCACATTGTATTCTTCTGACCAGATATTCGTGTTTGCATGCGCTGTTGCTTTAAATCCAATCCAGAAAGGAGCATTTTCGCGGGCCTCATTTGTTGCGAGATGAGAGGCAGAGCCGACGATGTGCATGCCAGGAGTCTCGAGGAGAACGGGGAAGAGATTATCAAAATCAATAGTAGCGCTACAGTGTGCATGCAGAAGGGCCCCCTTGGGCATAGCACGTACGATGCGCCAGAGTTTGGTCTGCTCTGTCAAGTCTTTGGCCAAAGCGTACTTCATGCCTGGGTGAACAACTACACCCGACTTATGCTGGGCCAACTGCTCCTCGGGTGACGGAGTCCATATACTTCTCTGCTCATAATCGCGTATGCGGGAGACAATAGCATTGGCGCGCTTGGCAGTAGGCGAAAGCGACTGCAAAAATAGATAGTCTACCAAAGTGTAAGTCTCGATTGACGACCTTCTTGATATGGTGTAAGTGGCTTATTACCGGTGCGATGTTCATTCTCCTCAGTGATCAGTGCCTGTCGGTCCTTCTCATATCTTTCTAATACAGGCGACTTCGTCGAAGTAAGATCGTGCGCGGCTTCCTTCAATTGCTGTGATGTCAACGCCATTCTGTGACCCTCCACTGCAGTGGCCACAAAGTCCGTCTATTTGCGTTTTAGAGGCGATCGTTTTCCGTTGTCAAAAAAGTTGCGCAAAGGTCATGACCTCACGCCGTTCTCGACCATGAATGATGTTACTCGCCCACTTAACCTATTTGAACTTCGATTAGCATGACGCCTTTGAAGACGAGATACTATTTAGGGTAAGAGTGACTGCATACATAAGATATGCACGAGACTGGATACTTCGTCGTTGCGTTCGGCTTTCCCAATTATGCTCTACCCAATCAGCGCACTGCGAATCCGAACTAATCGGGCTTGTGTCCAGCAGCGTGTTGCCTAACTGCTCGTCATTCGCATCGACAATCAGTATATACCTTGCAGTATGTCGATTTAGTCATATGAGCGAGGTAGCTTCTCACGTTAAGGTGAGTAGTCTTAGTAGTCTACGTACCGCGATCACCATGGCAGAAAGGCCCCCTCTACTACATACAGGTAATGGTCCTCCAAAACGGTGGGGAAGGCAATGACTCACTCACCGACATGTCGAAATGCGCCGAGAAGATGCTTCCATTATGAGATCCTTCTGGATTTTATTAGCCACAGGAGTTTCGGTCCAAACTTATTGAAGTAGAGCTGTCGTAAAAGGTAGTCTCTGTTGCCTGGATGGATCAAAGTAACCGGACGATATCACACTGAAACCATCAGGACCCTCATCATGTACACCTTCCCGCTTTTGAGGAGATCAGTGACACCTCGGATTGCATTTTCCATCCAAAACTGAGTTCCGTTCGGCGTTGCAAGCAACAACGATCAAAGGTGCGCTTGTCATCCTCGGAACGCCAAATCAGAGAAGTACCACACTGGCCACAGAAGCCACGGAAACGGCCGGGTGAAGATTCGTACTCTTTGTAAGTTGTACAAGCATCAAGTTCAGGTTCGAACTGCGCCGGGGACACCACGATGAACTGCGCAATAAGAGAAGACGTCCATTTACGGCACATGGTGCCTAGAGTAGGGTCAAAACGTATCTAGACTGAAACTGATACAGCCTCTGGTTGCTGATCGCACAAAGTAGGCAGGCTTGAAAACTGAACAGGCTGCACAGAGAAACAAGACACTCACATACACTGGCATGTTGAAGACTGTGAAACACGCAAGGTAAGCATATGACAGAAGAACTTGAGCTCCAAGAAAACACACCACTGGTGGCCAAGGGAAGTTGTTGCCGAAAGTGACAGTGTAGTGGATAGCACCACATAAACAGCCGCCTGTAATGAATGTAGGTTGAGAAGACATATCTTGCGGTAGCTGAGAACCTGCAGTCGTTGAAGTTTTTGACATTATTACAAGACCTGTATATGAGATATCGTGGTGATTAGTCTGGTCGGTGAGTTTCGACTCCCACTGACTGGGTGGTTCACATGAGGCAGGTATGAATCAAAGACCAGAGTTGTAGTCAAAAATGGAGAAACGTTCTATGCTAGTGTGGTATAACTCAACTACCAAAACTCCAGGCCTGTGCAACACAGATTGGTATCGCTAATGTAACGTCGCGTTCATCCAAAAAATGCCAAAAAGCAAAGGCATACACAAGCCATAAGCCCATATGGGTAAATCATATACAGCAGGCGCTGAGCCCCTTCAACATCCTTTCGTTATTCATCTTTCATACGATACCCGTGGACTCACTTCTTCAGTGGTAACTCGGTGCTTTGCATCTCTATTGGGCTCTGCACATATGTAGGTTCCGAGGAAGAAGCCATTTCTCCCACCCAGCTTTTTGTTGATACTTCAAGATCCCTAGGCTTGGTTCTTCTATTTTCGGGAGAGGCGGCGTCTTCTCGCTCCTCTGCCGGTGGCGTGAAAGCCCGCGGCGTGAGCTCCATTGACACCCTGCTCCGTCTCTTCGAAGGCGTTTCGAGCTCGACCACCCTCGTCTCGATTACTCCGCTCCGCCGCGAAAGTCGGGTAGTTGCGCTCTTCAATGAAGCCGCATCATCGGCCACCATGGTGACACCACCATTTGGCCCGGCTTCTGCAGCACTAGCCTCGCCACGTTCGGCGGCATGCTCCTTCAACACGTCCATAACGCCAGCACAATGCTCAATCTCTTGCATGAGGTCCTGATCTCGCGGCCAGAAAACTCGTCTGATACCGGTGACTACAAGTTCCAACACCAGAACGGCTAGGAGCGTTAAGAGCACCGTGAGCCACCACGTCGGTTTCTTGCCAAAGTTGTGTAGGAATGCATCGCGAACAATGTAGGGTCCTGGCGCCCGTGCGTAGATCGCAGACAGGAAGATATTCCAGAGGAACCATCCGCCGACAGAGACAATGAGACCGACGAATGGGATGATAGTCTTATTGTGATACTCGAGCACAAGCATCTTGATGTTGATGAAAATGACACAGACGGTGAAAGATAGATCACCCATGGCGTAGAGGCTCGTGTCATCGGTAGAGAGTGCGCGATCGTAGAAGGAGTGTATCATGTAGTAAATAAGGGCAGCCTCAGAGACAGCCATGATCATCCACGCAACATACTTCTTGAAGTTGAAGGCTAAACCCCGCTGTCCATAGGTGTAGAGCTCTGGAACGGCGAGTAAGGTTTCGGCGCGAAGATCCTGCTCGAAGATACCGAGAAGAATGACAGGCAGCGAAGTGAAAAGCGTATTGAAGACGGTCAAACTCGCCGATTCGTACAAGGAAGTACCAGTGTACCCATTGTATCTTTGATACATGGCCTGTGTCAAATAGAAGACAACTTCCTTCCAGAACGTTCCCAGAATGTATTTGCCAGTGCGGATATAGTTCCAGCGGCCATGTACAAAGAGCAGTTTCTGCAGGAAGCGGAACTGCGCGATCGAGTAATCCGAGATACGGGCGGCTTGCAAGCCTTCACGGCCAGAGATTCCGATACCGACATGAGATGCTTGTATCATGGCAATATCATTGGCACCATCTCCTATGGCTAGCGTGAGAGATGAAGGAACTTGAGTGCGGATGCACTTCACCAGAGTCGCCTTCTGGGATGGTGACGCACGACAACAGATGACTGAGTCGACCCGCGACACAAGGTCAAAGAAGAGGATCTTGAGTGATTCGTCATCTTCGACAACGCTCAGAGTGTGACCGTCAATGACTACCACCGAGTGGGGAATCATGCCCCGCCCTACATCGACCAAGCTCGCTGCAATCTTCTCATTCAGGTCCCCTTGTGTGGCGTCGAGTATATATGTCTCTGAGAAAGGCTTGCAAATCCTCGCGGAATGAGCAATATTGATCGCCGTCTCTCTTTTATCGCCAGTAAGCATCCACACCTTGATATTGGCACGGCGTAGCTTGTCGATCGTATCAGGAACACCTTGCTGGAGCTTGTCCTCGATTGCAGTGACACCGGCGAGGTCAAAGTTCTGTTCAATGAGCTCTGCTGCGGACTCTATCCGGTCCTGACGATCGAAAAGGCTTGTGGTAGCCTCGTGATAGATAGTCTTCCACTTCTTGTACTCGTCTTCGTCCAAATAGCGGAAAGCGAACAGTAAGGTGCGAAGACCTTCTGAAGCAAAGTCGTCGATATGCTGGAAACAATGTTCGAACACAGCGCCTTCATTGATCGCCAAGGATTCGTCAACCATGCCATCATAGACATCTTCTACTGGAGACATAATCTGCTCAAAGGAGCGTTGGCGCGCTATTGACGGACGTGGCGACTGATAAGCCTCGTCGTTGATCGATTCAGTCTCAAGGCCTTCAGTTTCACGACTCCTCAGCCAAGTGTCCATTCCATCAGTAACCATACTAGAGCGTTTGATGCTTGTCGAGCGTGCCGCACTCCCTCGTCTAATCATGCTGCGTCTCTGGGTCAGAGTGCTTGAAGCACGTCCTAGATTCATGCTATTGCGTGGGGTCCCTTGCATGCTAAGCCGTCTTAAAGCTCTCTCCTGCTCCATGCTCTTCCGCATGCTAGCTTTCCGCTCAACGGCGGACGCCTTCTTGATAGCTAGCTGGCTGAGTTTCAAGCGCGGGAGGATGACGCTATCCGCGCCTTTACTGAAGATGCAGATTCTACCGTCAGGCATACGGATCACGATAGACATACGCTTCCGCTTGCTGCTGAACTCGATGACATCCAGGACTTCATAAGTCTCCAACATGGGCGAGCCATCAATGTCTTGAAATTGCAAGGTGATGGCCTGCGCCGGACGATCAATGAGCAGGAAGCCAAGGTCTCGTGCTGCTTCTACCAACGCTAGCTCATCTGGAGACGCTGCCTGAAACTCGATATCGCCGTTTTCTTTGGTTTCAGGCAAACAAGTATGACAAAGAGCGATACAGAGGATGAACTGTCGTGCCTTGCGCGAAAATGTGGTGTTGGGCTTTTGCCGAATATATTGGATGAGGTCATCAGTCTTCAGCTCCGGCTGTGCGTGACTAGGTCGAGCCGTCGACTTCCACTGCGAGGAAGACCTTCGAGGGAGTGCCTCGGAAGACTGCCTACCACCTTTTTGAGAAGCATCAGTCGTTTCTGGCTGCATATTAAGGTCGGAAGTCGGAGTGTTCGCACCGCTCGGGTGGCCTAATTGCTTCTCCTTGCCCTTAAGGTACTTCTTAGCTTCCAGCCTCCGCTTCATTGCGTTCTTTTCCTCATCTTCGGCGTCTCGTCTCACGTCCATGTCATGGAGCCAAGCTGTGCCAGCCACGCTCATTTTTCGAAAACGCATGAGGTTTTCCGTAAGTGTCCCGGTCTTGTCTGAAAATACATAGCTGACCTGGCCCAAATTCTCCAAGATTGTCGTGGTGTTCACAACCATAGGTGTGTCTGTCTTCGGGTCATACATTTCAACGTCCTGCATGAGTATGAACTGACCAATCTTGATGATTTCCAGACTGACATAAAGCGAGAGAGGGATCAGAGTATTGAATGCAATGATGAAGGCGACGATGACCTGTCCGAAAGGGACAGCTCCGCCGTCAAGATACCAGGCCGAGTTTTCCACGTCTCCCTTCCAGATCAAGTTGCCAACTGTGCAGCCAAGACTCAGCATGATCACGAAGACTACGAGAATCATGACAATTTTGTTGACGACACTCTGCATAGCAGGAGCTTTGGCGTGAACGTTCTTGTGCGCATTCATGCGAATTTTGCACTCCTCTCCGCTGTTGATGACTAGACCAATTGCTTGGTCTGTGTTTCGCAGCGTTGAGCCTCTGTAGACTACCTGATTTAGCGTTAGGGGCATCGTCTCCTCATTGAGAATAACTTTGCCTTCATAGTTGTACAAGTCGAGATTAGGATCCTCGGAGACTATCTCTGCGGTGCACGATGTCATGTTGGCGTGTGAATGGCAGTGTTTAGCGAGAAGCGGAGAAGCTTGCTTGCTCTTCAGATTCGTCTCTCCATCAAGTGCCATGGTCTCAATGTAAGCAATGCCATTCGGTCCCGTTGCATGCAGAAGGATTATATCGGCAGGAACATCCTCGTCTCGGCGTAGTCGGACTACGTCGCCCACACGAAGGTGTTGCCATTGAACTTTAGACCAGACGTCTGGGTTCCCCTTGGACCACGAATCTAAGTCTTCAGCCGCGTCGTCGGCAGCCGCTAGATCTTCCATGCCCATCTCGCCGCCCACATTCTCTTGTCGCCGCCGGAGCCTATCTCGCACAGCCGCAGTCCGAGTCTTGACATTGCCTTTGACAGTCTTGGCAGGGTCCAAGACCCAGGCGTCACTTCTATTCTCGACCTTGTCCAACTTGTACCGCCTATAGTCGTCCCAACCTTCCTTGCCCATACTCAAGGCGACAAAGGCCATCAATGGACCAATGGTTGTGTATGTGCCCGTCGTGCTGAGCCCAGGTATCATTTGGAGGATACCAATGGTGAGGAAGTAGAAATTGGCGAGTTTACTGAACTGAAAGAACAGCTGTTTTGGGAGGAAATCCCAGAGGGTGTATCTGCTGGATCTGATGAAATTGGAAATATAAGGCTTGCCAGACCGTTCATCGATGAGTCCTTTTCGGCGGACGAGCTCTGGGTTTAATGGGATGTGTCGTCCATCTTTGCTTGGGGGTAACGGTATCTGCCGCAACAGCCCTTCAATAATCCAACTCTTGTAGAGACTTGTCGCAGTCGACTTAAACCTCCCGATCGGCCCCCTTCTCCAACGCTGTTGTCGTTTTCTTTGCCGGACGACCCAGTCTTTGTAATTTGCAAGAGTGATGCTATCGTCACCAGCTGCAGGTCCAGCCTTTACACTCCCGTCTAGACCTCCCAGTCCAAGATTCAGATAACGTCTCCATGAGGGAGAAGTTGCTTGGTCATTGATGGACAGCTGACTGAAAGTGCGGTCCTCCGCACTGATCCTCGGTCTTTGCCCTGATGACGAAGCCTCTCCATCTAAGCCCTCCACGTCGAGTCGATCCTGTCGTAAACCTCGCGCTGAATCGGTGTCGGGTATCTGTGATTCTATCCTGTAAAGGTCGGAGCTCATCCGCACGCTCGGGTTCATCGAGTGCCTGTCATTGTCGCGAATGAGGTCCGCGGAGAAGCGAACATGGCCGCCGGGGTTGCTACTTCCTCCGATTCCCCGGTCAGTCATTGCTCTACGCACAAAAGGCCGGTTTCTGTCGTCGTCGCCTGCGAAGCCGTCCGAGTGTACTCCGTCTCGTAGTCGACCACGGCGGCCTTCGCCAGCCATTGAGGAGCTGCTGTGTCTCGGGAGTCCCATGCTCGGACGGGGCGGCACGAGGAGGTCGGCCTGCTCGAGATGATCCAGCTGCTCGCGCAGGGTCTCAGCGGGATCCCGACCGCTGTGGCTGCCCGCCATTTTGGCGGCTGTGGACTGTGCTCCCTAGGCCTCGGCGGGGGCAATTGTCGAGCGCCTCGGCGTGTATTCTCAGGCCCTCAAGCGAGGAATGGGCGGTCGTAGACGCACGTCTCAACGGGCAGGTTAGCAGCTCGCGGTCATTGGAATGGTGTAATTGGCTTTGTCTCGGCGGTCGGTCGAGCTAAATTGGCGATCAAGGGAGGCGGTTGGCTTAAGTAGCCCAGGAGTCGAGTTGCTGGGCTGGGATTTGCTGGCAAGCAACCAAGCCACAACGGGCAAAGTGTGCAAAACGTTGGCAAGTTTTGTGGTCGTGATGAAGGTTGAGAAGCGACGATCTCGCGATGCGATGGGGAGGCTGGTGGTGGTTGCGGTAGGTCACCGTAGTCGGTTCCCCTCTTGCAACTTTAAGGTGTGACGTACGAGTGGTTTGGACAATTAAGAGCAAGTGCAGGCAGGGGTATGCAGGCCCAGGGGTCTCTCTACCTTGTCTCTCAGGGTGTCTGCTCTCCACGTACTACCTAGACTACAGCAGAGTTCAAACTGGGCATTTGATGCAATATGCGCAGAAGGAGGGAGAGAAAGTGAAAGTGAAGAGCTGGATGAAAGGGCAAGATCAACTTCTTGGACAACTACCTAATTGAAAACGTGAAAGGAAAAACGAAGGCGAGTCAGCGCGCGTCGATGCCAACTGCCTTTGATCCCCCAGCACAGCCCAGTGTCTTACGAGTACAGCGCCGAGAGATCAAGACGACAGGATTCTCGTGTTTCTCCTCCACCTGCCAAGCCTCTTTTCTCTCCCAGCCCACAGCATATAAAGTCTCAAATACACAATACTGGCTTTCTAAGCCACCTCTTCTCTACTGAGCCTCAATTGTTGTTGTTGTGTGATTGATTTCCAACGAGTGTCACGATTACGCCCGAGGTTCGATGCCATGCAAGCAGCAGGGGAGAGAGACCACAGTCCGGTCCATCACGTCGACGGAGATTTTCCCATGGCCTGTTAGCCTGTCCATCCCGCCCCGGGGCTCCATTCAGCGATTCAGCTTTCCCACCCGCCAAGGCCCGGCCAGCCAGCCCCAAGACCTCCCCCCCAAGAGCATGCAGTGCCATGCAGGCCGCAAGGGGTAACACCGCCGCCATGTATCCCCTCTCTGTGCTCTTGTTATCAGCGGGGAGGCCATTGGAGGTTCTGGCTCCGCTGTTAAGATGCTCCGTTGCAGATTGAGAAAAGCCTTAACGGTCGCTCTCTTGGCGCTCTGCAAGTGCTATTGTCAGCCAAGACTCGGAGGACCAGCGTCGGCATACACGGGCGCGTGTTAGGAGCTCTGAGTGGTCTGCGTGAGGCCGAAGACCTGTTTCCAGAAGTTCACGACTGGATTAGTTCAAGTATCAGCGCGATATCTCACAACGATCCCATCTTAGAGCCTAGAGGCTTCATGAAAGGCTACATTGAGATCATCTAGGGGTGTGTTGTCGACTTTTACGTGGCGCGTCCCCAAGGACAACGGAGACGGGATTTTCTTTAAAGTGGCTTCGGTATTTCCAGTTTTCTGAAGAACAGGCAAGACATTGTCTCGGTATGTAGCGCAGAATGTCAGGTTACTTGTTCTGCCACGTTGCCCGCGCTCTGCCCTGGCACGCGTCTCCTCATTAAGTTCAAGAACTCACCGCATTCTTGGTGCTGTAGCCGCTTGATGTGCTTGCAGTGATTCAGCCCTGTAAGCCCGAGGCTGCCAGTCCTACCATAACGCTCCGGAAAACGGGTATCTGTGAAGCCCATAATCTCTCAGATATGAAGCAATGGTAGATGGTTTTTGTCTCAATGTGTTTTTATTCCGGCCAAACCCTCCTGGCTGTGCTGCTCTCGATGTATATAACTAAGTTCGAGCGAGAGCGCCCTTCACCTCCTGCGGAGACCACCAGGCTACCTCGGCGTGCTTTCTCGAAAACGCCCCTGGGATCAGACTAAGATCAGTGTGTCTTCCATACACAGAGTCCACCACTCCTGGGCAATCATTGTCTTGATCTTGTCCCAGCAAAAAATAAAACAATTAAACCTGAAACCCCGAGCCTCCTGGGCTTCCGCCATATCATCTCTCCCCGCAGCCATAAAAAAAAAAAATAACGGACGTCTGTGCTCTCTTTTCATAAATCAAACTACATCCCCGAAGACAGTGATATGTCTCCACATGTACTCGACAATAGATATTAGGCGCCTTCGGGCCCAGTACGAGGACCCAGAGCATATGGACAGCAATAAGACATCACCGCCCAATTGAGATGTGAACAGCGGATAGGAAAACAGAAAAGAACCGCAAATATACGATCGCTGTGCCAGACACGCATGATCGAGATCCATACGAAGGTATCGTCATGCAAATTCGTGGCTGTTAAGGAGGAAATGGAATAGATAGAAAGGGTAGATGAGAAGTGCGAGCAACAAGGGGTCGAAGGTATAGCGCGGACAAACAAAACAATGACGAGCCATCAGAGCTATCAACACAAGCCATGCCTAAACGCCAGCTTTTCGACAAATCGCACGCCGTTTCCTGAGCGCGATCACGGGTATATACGTCGTTTCCAGTCTAAGCCTCGGTACCTGGCATGTATACTATGCCAGGAGGGTATGATGGAGATGTTCACAGACCAGCCTGGGAGCCCCAGCTCATTGGGCGTGTTGAATGCTTTCAGGAGAAAGACTGGCGGGATCCACAGTGTCAAAAGACACCAGCTGGTTCATATCCAGGTCAGCCTGGTTGGGGTCCATATACGCCGGAGAATGAGGATGCATAGGCAAGTTGATTGTGTGTTTGGAATACATCTCGTTCAGACTTGTACCATCGTCGGATATAGCCGAGGACTCGTGAACTGGATATAGATCCGCTGAAGAGGGCCGTCCCATCATGGACAGGGGCGGCGACTGATCAACGATGGCTGGGTCTCCGTGGCCACCATTGAAGGACAACGGTGAGACTGAAGGGGGCACCAAGTTCGACGGGTTCACCATCGGGGACAAGAAGGTGCTGCTGTATGGTGTATTATAGCTGGATGCTGGCAACGGCGTGTTTTCAGGGGCCTGTGAGAAGAAGTTCGGGCTCGAGTAGTCGGACGGCGACGGGGCGGTTGTGGCAGAAAGTGGATACTGACGCATGTCCAAACCGAAGCCAGCCTGGGTATCAATCCGTAGATTGGGCCCAATCGGTCCAAGAGAGTTTGGCTGCTGAGGGATTGGCGCGTAGATGTTCGGACTGTGCGGTTGCGGCTGTGTCTCTCCCGGATGCTGAATGTAAAATGAGGGCATCGGAGTTTGGAGCATAGAGAAGTCCACCGCCATGGGAACAGATCTGCTACGCTGTCTCTTGTGACCGGGACCGCGCATGCCAGGATGCATTGGTCCGATACCCCATTGCGTCTCTTGAAACATGCCGACATGCGGCTGGGAAAAGTTGGGCTGGGACGCAGGTCGACCAGTCGGCGAAACTGGAGCAGAAACCGAGAGGCTGTGCATGGCATCGAATGGGTTGGGATTATGGCGGTTCATGAAGGACTCGAGAGAGATGAGCTTAGCCAGTTGGCCGCTCAGCACCTTGGGGTTGCCACCAAGGTGGTGAACAAGGCAATGAGATGCCTGCTGATCCTCGGTGAAATCACCGCACTGGAAGAAGCCATTGGTGGTCGGAGAGGAATCCATGAAGAAATTGGGCGCCCGAGTGAGTTCAATAACGATACCCCCGAGCTTATTCGGGTCGCCGTCGTTGTTCTCCAGGAAAATGCTCTTAATGTAGGCAAAAGGATACTCGATCTTGTACCCTGCCTGCTCGTTGTTGATGTAGTATGTCATGGTGCACTTATCAGGAGAGTAGAAGATGATCAAATCCATCGTGTTCTGCCCGACTCGTGTCCATTTGCCAATGCTCAGGGATCGACAAGTCAAGTGGTGAATCACTAGCAATTGTCAGGAAATGAATCTCTCGCCGCAGTGATGCGGTTAGACTTACAAACTTTGCCCTGACCACCTTGCTCGCCGCCGAGGAGCATACCACCATGGCCATAAGGCATGAGTCCGCGGCCAAGGAAGCCGCCTCCTAGACCCTTGCCGGATTCCATGGCCTGCATGGCAAGGTAGGTACGCATCGACTCCGGGATAGCATCAAAATCCTCACCGGTTTCCAGGCTCTTCTTCGCCATCAGCTTTATCTTGGCGCGTCTGTACTTGTGTTAGAAGCCATGTGGATCAGAAACATCTGTCAGGATCACAAAATTGAACTCACCGATTCTGGAACCAGATCTGAACAGACCTTTCGGTCATGTTGATTTCTTCAGCTATCCTCTCTCGGACGGTTGCGGTCGGAGTAGGATTCTTGTTAAACTCCACTTCCAAGGTAGTCAGCTGGTCCTGAGTAGCTCTTTGTCTCTTCTGGTTCTTCTGCTGCTGGGTCAAGGTGCTCTTCCGAGGCGGGCGTCGAGACGCCGAGTTCTGGCCATTGGACGCGGGCGTGGAGGGTGATGGCGTCTGACTGGCTTTTGTGGGCGCAGCAGAGACAGGTGTGGGCATCTGGGCAGGAGTGGCACCAGGCTCAACCTTGAGAGCGGCCGGGGTCGTAGCAGTTGGGGCTACGACACCCGAGTCGTCCACATGAGTGGTCATGATTGGGCTATTGTCGTTCGTGACAGTCGTTGATATATCCAAGAATGGCGTGCCGAACTGCTGTCTCAACACACAGGGTTTTCTTTCGAGCTCTATGTCTAGATTGCTAGCTTCGTGTACGCGTCGAGGCGACTTGGGCTGACGGGTAGCCGGGGGAATGATGTCGATCTCGTACGGAGCGCGGAAGGCGAGTACTGGCTGAAGGCCGCGGTTGCGAATGAATGTTTTGAAATTGTAGAAAATGTGTTTGTCTGGTAAGGAGCGTCGTCCTGGTCCAAGCTGTCGGACAGGAGGTTTTGGTTGTTAGTTATTGGTGATATCGATAGACTGTGGTGGGTAGACCAAGTAAGTAGTCGTGCCAAAAAAGCGGTCGAGATGCGAAGCCGAAAGAATGTAAGTGGAATACCCGGAAGGATTGAACGGGCTCCGTGGAGGCTTTGAAGTTATTAAGTCTAAGGGAGTGACTATGGTGAGAACATAAGAAGAAGCGGGGGAAGGAAGAGGAAGAGAGAAAGGGGAGGAAGTGATTGTCGATGAACGACGGCGGTGGTGAGCGATCACAGGTGGGCGAGTAGGGGGAAAAAGAGGAGGAGGGAGATGGACGGCGGGCGGGTTGGGGAGCGGCACCGTAGAAAAGGGAAAAGCGAAATCCTGTGGGAAGGCACGACCGCCGGGCGAGTGGGCCGTCTGGCCTTGCCTACCTACCTTCTGTGGGTGACTGAATGACTGACTGACTGAGTGGCCCAGTGGGTGGTGGCCTGTGCCTTCCTACCTACCTACCTAGGTACTCACTTACGCAGTAACGCAGCTAATGCGGTAGGCAGTTGAAGGGAAAGGGCGGCTCCCACGCTCACGCCCACTCCTTTTAGCCTCCCACCAAATGCGTTGGATCCCACAGCCCGCATCGCATCGCACCGCGCCAGCACGACGCAGGTACAAGACGGTCCGCGCCTCAGGTACCTGGGCTTACCTGGCTAGAGACGCCCCATCCAGTAACGTTGAAGTAGGGTAAGCCCACCTTTACCGTATGCTAGGGCGGTGTATGCACAGTACAGCCAGGCACATAGGAGATAGGCTCAGGTCCAGGCACGGTGAGCAGCAGCTAGGACAGGCCAGGGGGAGGCAGGTCTGCACCACATCGAGCGCTCACGAGCTTCTGCACTATTCACGGCCTCATCCACTCACGCCACAGCATCGGCAGGCCAGTTCCCACACTCGTGATAGTCGGCACCCACCCACAGCCCACTCCCCTATGCCCCTATACCAGTTCGCTGACTGCTATGCCCACCTGGGTCAGCTTGGGAAGATCCCTAGCTTGCAAGTGGTGCCTCGAGTAGCGTAGCCAAGGCCAAACGGCCCCAGGCCCCAACAAGGAGCTTGTGCCAGCATGCACGAGTATGGGGTATCTCTGACAGACCAGGCAATGCAGAGAAAGACTTGCTCGTCTTCGCACGGTATCCTTCAGCATTCAGGCATCTCAGATAAGGTAACGACGACGTGTCTCGCTCTATTTTTTGGTGCACTGTGTTGCGAAGCACAGTACTGTATGATATTATGCCGTGTAGCTAGCGGTGGACGGGCTCTGAAAGCGCGACGACGCGCCTCACTCGCATATCAGGGTCGGCGAGAAGTGCTTCCATGGCGCTGCCAGCTTGTCGACTCAAGGCGGGTAGCCTGGCCTGTGTGTCGTGTTGCGATGCTGAGCCGTGTTACGCTTCGCTGGCCAATTCCAAGCCCTCCTCAGACAAGGCCCGACCTGTCTGGGATAACAGTCATTCGTCCAGTGGAAGAGGGCGGGCGACAGGCGGATTGGCCGCTGGGTTGGTGTGGCTTTCTGACGGCGTGAATGCCGTACGAGTGCGTACTGCATACCTACGCAGTAGGTAGGTAGTAAAAAGTATCCTGCGACTCTTGTGGAGCGAACGAGCAAGGGGAGGAAGAGGCTGGCTAGCATCTTTCTGCACCCTTGAGTACCTAGGCACCTAGGCAGGTCGATACCGTGAATGAAAATCCGTGCTGGGTGGTCCGGAAAAGAGACGAGGACACGACCATGTCAGTACCGGGTGATACATGGAGGCCAGGGGTTTGCTGTCACGCCAGAGCATTGCGAAACACCTGAGCCGCCTGCAAGAGAGGCGGTGCTAGACAGCATAGCGTAGCATGCTCGTTCGCATGGGTGTGTTTCTCCAAGTTCCTCAGATGTACCGAGACCATCCCGACAGTTCCAATGCAGGTACGCACCGGCTAAAAGACACAACTTGAGGCGGCCCTTGGAAGGTGCAGGTGCTGACCCGCCGCTCTGCAGTTGCCTTCCCCGGTGCAGCACAACCCCTGCTACGTGTGAGGTGAGTGCAGCTCTACCGTGCGACTAGAGTTAAATTCTTGCTGAGGACGCCCCTTAGCACTGTGCTCTTCCAGGTCGTGCCTTCTTTCTCAGTCCAGGTTGCCGCCACGATGGCATCCCGCATTTGGCCGTGCCTGCCTTCCATGTCTTAATCGATCTCCCGTCTCGCCAGTGGAGGGCAGACGGAATCATCCATCCAAAGACATAACAGCGTTCAAAAGAATGAGCACTGGCTGACATCGCTGGCTTGCCTCATACTGCATCAAAATCTACGCGTACTCGTATGGGCGGGCTATCTGTCCTCCGACAAATGCAAGCTTCCGACTTTTTGGGGTCTGCAAAACCTGATGCCTTCACCCCTCGAGTCCTGCTGACAACTCTGCATGCATGAAGCCGGCGATGAAGCTAACAATAGAGTGAGCTACGAACGAGCAAGCCCTTTTGGTCTTTCTGCTAAGCCGTTCTCCGGCGGCCATGTACTATGCAGTAGGCCTCACGTCGGGTTTCTCACACCACGCGCTATTAGATACACTGAGAAGTGTGCCCACTGGTCCGAGACTTTGCTCTCGATCTTTCGCGCATGACCAACACTTCCCTGCAAGCGCATCAGCTTCAGTAGCGGATCGTCCATCGCATCATCCCCTCCCCCTTTCCTGTTTGCAAGACGTTGCCGCTTTGAGAGCATGTCGGTCACTCACAACTTTCAAGGCTCTCAAGCCTCTTCTCCTCAATCATGGTGCTCGGCCCATATAGCAATTGCGATATCGATATGTCCTTTTCATTATGCGGTTCGCGATATCAAGGCAGGTCAAAATATTTCCACGGTCCTCACGATGTGCGGTTTGCCTATACCGTGGCGACCCTTTCTTTTCTTACAGCTTCATATGCAAACGCATTCAATCGGCAACCCAGCTTTCACTCGCATTATACTATTATCTTTTGCTCATGGTGTTCACTCCACCAGTTCAAGAATGTGTTCTGGAACCAATCGTCTGTCTACTAGCCTCCATCCCACGGATTGGAAGGAAAGGGGCCCACGGCTGCCAAGGAAGCCACAGCGCCCTGTTATAGTAGTACAGAGACGTTCTGAAGTCGTGCGATTCACACAGACTGAGACAAAGCGCCACTGAGCGAAGAGTGTACTTTCGACTACCCGGGGGCTTTTTTTTTTAAGGTCATTTGCATCGACCAACTGTCAGTTGTCAAGATCATGAACATGTTCCGGAGACTAGTATGAGCATATCGGCTGTGAGATGCAGCACAGCTGCAGAGACCGTCAACCCAGAGCTGTGCATACAATACACAACGTAATTCTGGTGGTTGGAAAGCTACGTTCAAGGTACGCCTGTTACGCAGAGGACTCAGCTATGTTCCGGCAGAAAGCTCGGAGCACGACCTCCACATCTCCGCTGATAGTATGGGTGCACCACCGCTCGCCAAACGTTCCGTCTTTCCTTTTCAAGAATTTGTGCACCTGCCGTGTGAGGTGTCATCCCTGATCACTGGATGACTCTCTTTTACAGAGGCTACATTAGACCGTGCTGTGTTGCGGCCGGCTAGCGCGGGAATCTGGTGAGTACATTTCGCGCCCATCATTGCTGCTTACAGGCGGCTGCTGACACTGGACCTTATGCCAGGTAATAGTGCTTTGAACACCAGAGTCTCCTATTGAGGATACCTCCAAAGCATAGCTTGTCTGCCATCATGCCTTCGCTGGTTCATTTACCCATTGATCAATACATTCTCGGTCTCCATACATATCACGTTCATACAGGATCAATCCGGCAAACGAGTATATATCGCTGTAGACACCCGCGAGAGTATTTCTTGGTAAAGGCCTGCCGCCTGGTCTGGGCCGTTCTCGGTCTGCTATCTGCGACCAGGCGAAGGTAGCCCAGAAGCACCCAAGAATAGTATCTCACTGCAGCAGCCAGAAAATCACGCCGCAAACCGCCAACAGCGCTTCTGGATTGCCTGCCTGAGGTTCCATCGGCGCTGTCTACGCCCGAGGGAAGTCTTGTCAAGCGGTTGCTGCGAATACTCACTAGATATACACGAGCGGCAAAACTAGTCATCCAACAGAAATTCAAGATCATGGCAACTGGAAACGTCCATGATGAAGCCTCAAAAACGCGGCTAAGGAAGCCCGGTCCTTCGCAAAGCGGCTCCTCGTCGGTCCATGTCCGACATTCAGCGATGTTTTGGGCATCATCATGGCCTCGGTCTAACAGTCGCACTGTGCACAGTGTGCATGACAAGGTTGGAGGTTGGAGGTGTCATGGCCCCTGACGAGAGGAAAGATTCTCAATGGCTGGTGCTGTAAGAGCCCCACTTTACCCCTGGAAAGGTGGGTCCTCAGGGATGATGGGTCTTTCGAGCAATGGCCAGAGTTGCAGGCGACTTTTTTTGGCTCCATCGACAACGTCTTCGAATCGCGCTTTCCATTGGGTGGAGATGTTTTACATGTCCCAGCACGGCGTAGCGCCTCGATCGCTCTCTACCAGGTCTCAAAACCTCCCGTCCGATGTGTGGATTCTATGGGTGGGGAGGTATGTCTTCGGCAGAAGTGCTGCAAATCCTCAATGCAAACCCCGGTTCTAGCTGTGGCTGAAGTGGTCCTCTGATCGTGTTTGCATAAAGGAGGGAAAGTCCTCTTCCCATTTTGAACGGACAAGCAGAAACGCGGTGAGAGAGGCAGGGCCCACGGGCGTCTACGATTATCTTCTTGGGTAGCCAGATTCGAGCCAGGGCGGATGGGAATGTCTCGATGAGAGACGAAATGCGTCAGTGGTGGAAACGGCGTGGAGGTGGCCATTCCTTGGCCGGTGGAGCACATCGTGGAAGCGCACGAGCGAGTTTACTCTACTCGAAAATGGCTGTTTCGCGTGTTGTGCCCTCCATTGCTTACTTGAGTCTAAGCTGCGTGTTCTCCTTGACTGAAAGCCGCTCAGCTCGACAGTTGAGGTTGCAAGCCCTTATCGCTGGCAGCCTTGAACCTGTGTCACAATAGCCAGCTGGCCCCTTTTCTCGAGCTGACCTGAGAAAGGAGAGCCATGCTTGTCAGGAGCCCGCCTCTGGACGAGTCGGATGACCTGGGTGGCTTCTCTTAGCGCCCCCGACCGAACGTGTACCGCTTCTTGGCTCGCTGTGTATCGGTCTTTGATGCACAGAGAGAGACATGCGATGTCCACCACGGCGCCACCGTCTTCATCCTCCATTCTCAGATCCCACATGGTTAACAACCCCTCCCTCCTCAGCATCTGTGAAGACGGGCTTCAGATTGGGTAGTTCTTCACTGTAGTAATTCACGTAGAGCCCATTCTAACATATAGGAATAGCGCAAACAGGTTACATTCGAAGGGTTCGACGGAAGCATACCACCCTCCCCGAATGACGCACCTTAGTCAACATGGCACCCTGAATGATGAATGGCTGCTCTGATAGTCACGAACGCCATTCGGTGCGCCTCCGCTCCTACCTCAACAAGCTTTGCAGGCATCGTTGGTGTTCTCGAACCGTAGACTGGTCGTATTGCCAGCAATCCCAGCCGCGCATAAATCTGGACAATCTTCAGCCAATGACTTCAATGATGTGCTTAAGCCCCCCGATGCACGCATTGAATTGATCTCCAGTAACGTCAGGGCAAAATAATTTTCTACGACGCGTTTTGGCGCGTGAATTGGCTTTTCCGAAGATACCACAAACGTGCATTCTACGATAGGGAGGTTAGATATGATCTGATGCATCTTTCGGACGGCGCGGCATGCAAATGCGGCTCGAGAACCATTGAGTAATGAGGCATCTCGCCTCACTGCGCACCTTTCTCGTTTCTCAGGGTTCAGTTAGGCACACTCTTCGTCTCACCATTGATACTATCTCTAATGGGGACAAAGTGAATGTCTGCCACGTCAAAATAACTAGACGATGGAGGGGTAGAGATTGATTTTACGAGTCGTATCTCAAGGACCGTATTCCCAACCTGGGCGAGCGAGCCGATCGTGACTTCAGAGTTCCAGATTGGCTTTTCATGAACAGGTCAACGAAGCCGAGGATGAGGCTGTGCTCTATTGAAACAGAATCTGAGGCTCTGGGTCTGAAGAAGACCCATCCGTCTCGCTCGGCAAAAGACTGCCTCGAAACTAACAGGCACATGGCACCCCTCTCCTTAACTCAGGATATCGACAGGGACATGTTTCTATGTGTCCAGGTTAGCCGACCAAAGTTTTCGAATGCCATCAGCCACCATGTAAATTTATGCATCCTCCTTCACCACGCGCTCTCTAGACTCCAGAGCCACTAATACCTACACACGTACTGTACACTCTGTACACGTAGATCCATCACACCGTACAGTCAGAGCGCCAGGCTCCACAATAGAGAACACGACTCGCAAGAATGCCATCCGAAAATCCAAAGGACTGAGAGCCTCGCAGGAAAGGCAAAAATGAACGAATAGTTCCGGGTAAGAGTTCATGTGCCAATCATGGCCGAGGAATCAATCCTCTGCCGTCCCGTTCATCCCACCTCCCGTGCCGTTGATCGCCGCCCCAAGTCTTTTCGTCTGATGTCGATGACATGTGGCTGCGCCCTCGTCGATCCCCCTGAGTGCCCTCTAAATGCATTTCCCAATCGGGCGCGGACGCGGCATGAATACGCCTTTGCGCCTACCTCCCCTTCCTTTGTCCTTCTCGAAACTCGCATGACCTGCGTCAGATCACGATTGCTTGCATCATCAACTCCCGCTCCATCCCCTATTCTTGTGTGTTATTTTTAGGATGATAAAGTCTGGGGATCACGGTTGTCTTATCCCTGTCTGGCATAGAGCAGGACCCATGGTGCGATCTCACGTGGGGATAGACGTCGTAGGTTTCAATACGTCTCGGCACTATAAGCCCTCACCATTGTTTCGTGGAGTCGTGCCGCAACTATGAAGCTGCCCTTGACTCGACTACGTAAGCATGTTCCTGGGGTTCTGTATTGTTGCGTGCCATAAACATTTGATCTGGGGTCAGGAGTGTTCCAGTCCACATTCTTGACCTCGCCCTTTCTAAATGTTCGAGTCAGGGGTGCATATTCTTAACATATCCGACGATGTTTAGTCATCTATCTTATTCTACACGAGCAATCGCGAGACCTCATGCGTGGCTTATGACCATTTATAATCTGATATGTTAATCTAGGACGGACTACCAGCGTTCAACTTGTCCCTGATCTTGGGACGGATGAGGGTTCTGTGTTATCTCTTTGATCACCTCCCTCGTCCTCGGATTATCCTCAAAGCTAAGATTAATCAGGTCCACAACCTCGTCCTTTGTGAAGTACAGACTCAGTTCGCTCTCCATCCACAAATACCTGATATCTCTCAGATTCGACTGCAGCACTTCGCTGAGGTACTTCAGTCGCAGCCAAGAACCCGCATACTGCGCGGTCATAGGGACCTCATCCGGCTGTCCTTGGCCAGACACGCGGCTTGGAAGGAATAAATCGTCTAGCTCTGCCACGTGGGCGATCAACTTGGCGACGTTGTATGCCTGGTCCTGTGAGATGGAAGAAGCATCCATCACGTCCGTGATGATTTTGCTAGAGAGGGCCTCTACGAGAGATCCCACGGCTTGATACCACGCTGAACGCGCGAGAATAACCTCCCATGTTACGGCCATGGACCGTATCCGTGACACAGCTGCCTCGACATAATTTTCTGGATCATCTTGATGCAAGAGACTTTGTTCACCTATGTCATACTTAGTTCAGGGTTCTATGGATGAACAGCGCGTGTCTTACCTCCCAGAAGATCTCGAAGCACTGTCTTCTGTATATTCATCTCATTACCGTAAGCTCTTGCAGCGAAATTTTGGAGTGTTTTCACGTCATTGTCAAGCCGGAGCATATTCTGTGCTCGTGAGGTAATATCCTCACGCGTTTTCCAAGCTATTGCGAAATCCGCAAGCTTTTCTGCGAGGTAGGTAGCATCATTGTACAGGAACCTACATCTAGTTAGTGCTGTCATTATGCATATTTGAAGCTGTCTTACATGTTGCCGCCGTTGTCCAGAGCGTAATAGTACGGAGACACAGCTCGAAACATCGCCAACGCGAGGGTTGGTAAACTGAACAGGCCGGCCGCCGCTGTGGCGACTGGACTCTCACTAACCCATTGTTAGATGGACATAGGTTAGGGAAAGGAAAACATACCCGCTCTGCGTCAAGGTTGCGCCGTCTTCTAGAATGGCAAATATGAGCTGAAGAACAGGTTCAGGCATCGAAGAAATGTTATAAGTTTCCTTGAGAGTCATTTCGCGTGTCTGTTGTGTAGCCGGAGCGGAGCTCTTGACAGTGGGCCCCGTAGATTCAGGCTCCGTCTCCTTCGGTTCTTCATCTCCCCAGCCCCATGCGTCTTCTCCAGCATCATCTTCCTCGGCCGGTTTAGATTCAACCTCCTTTGTTGACGGTGCTACTTGCGTGTCATCATCTTCGCCCCAACCCCATGCATCGGTACCATCATCTTCAGCCGGGCCAGTAGATTTCTGAGGGTCGCGGTAGGAGGGAATGCCAGACTCCGTTGGTTGCTGATCTCCATCGTCATCCCATGCCGCCCAGTCCTGGTTGTCATCTGCAGTCGTGCCTGTCGCTGCTAGCTCCTTTCCTTCTGATCGTGAAACCATCTGTTTTTCAACTCGCTCGACTTGCTTTGGTGCCCCGAGGCCGCCTGAGAGCCTTGTACGTACTGCGTCAAGTGCAGTCTCTCTGCATTTTGAAAGCCACACCCTTGGGGCATTTTCTACCCACTCTTGCAGCTCGTTGAACCCCGAGAAACGAAGGTTTTCTAGCTTTGAGCAGAATTCTTTCGCCGCAGCGATGACTTCCTCGAATGCGTCCATCTCCTTGAGGGATGGAGGCACGGCGGAGTCGAGCCACACATTTATGATTCTTGTCATGAGCTCGGGCATCATAACAGCTGACATTGAATCGACGAGATCAGTAGGTAGGTGATCAGCAAAAAAGGCAAATATCTGCTGGAGGTCTGTAAAAAGTGATTTGATGCTGTTGTCGACGGTGCCTGTTACCAGGAGAATCCCGTCAATGACTTGAATGCCAGGAAGATTTTCGCTTCCTATAGTTGTTCGAGGGCCGATGACTGCTCGATCAATGTCATGCCATAGCTGCACCATGCGTTCATCCACCTCCTTGTACGCTTTTAAGCCAATGACGGCATCTGACAGGCTCATAGCCTCGCCATCTCGGGTTTCACTGATGGAGATCTGCTGTTTGTCCACGTCCACTTCGACAAGCGACTTCCATACATGATCAAACACATCATGCACGTCTGACTTGAGTTCGAAGGCGCGTAGGTCCAGAAGCTTCATGACTCGGCAACTCTTGCCCACGGGTATCTCGTCGAGGGCGGTCCAAGACTTCTCGAGGAGCCGCAAGGCATCCAAGATGCGTCGCTCATCCCGTGCCTGCTCTACCTGATCAAGGATTTGGTTGACCCTTCGAATGCCCTTTAATGCTTCTTGGACTTGTTGGTTATAATGGAGCTCTTTCTTAAGGAAGGCAACCTTGTCTTCCGCCTCCTTTGTCGACTTTCCCGATACGACAGGTTCTTCGGATTGCCGCAGAATGTCGTTGGCCAAGCTCTTAGATCGGTTGATGTCATCTTGTAGGGACTTCGCATTGCTCACCCAGGAGCTTACGTCCTCGGCGGTTTCTTGGTTGATCGTATGAATATCGGCCTGGATAGACATGTCAGTCGAGGGCCACTTGAGTATGGCAGTCGAGCATCCTACCTGGAGCTTGGTCCTGGCCCCATCGACGGCTTCGATGGCAGCAGGCAGCTGGTCCGGGCTGAGCTTGAGCGACGAGACATCCTCCTCGGGGAACAATCCGTTCACGGAGAAGTCCACGAGAGCGCTGCCAATGCCACTAGATACTCCGCCGTCCGCAATTGTCGCCATGTCGCTATTTTGGTGATCTCCGGGGTGTCGATTGTGCGTGTTCTGGCCGGGGTGGAAGACGCCAGATTGGCAGGAATGCGCACCTTGTTGGGTTCACACATGCAGTCTCGGCACCTCCTTCTTAGGTCTATGGGTACAGCAGCATTCGCCGGGATGTTAGTCAAGACGAGGCGGCTATTGCAACAGCAAAACAACCAAGAAATGCCCGCGTATTGTAACTTGCGACAAGCCAGAGCAGTGGGCAGTGTCATGAGCTCGGATGGCGAAGCTTACAGTTGGCCTAATTTCCAAGCTTGGACCATGCTGTCATCGCTGTTGCAGCATGGGGCCTATAGAGAGCCCTAGCACAAAGGCGCTTAGCGCTTGTTACACGCGATAACGCTGCCCTGATACATCCCAGTCAGCGGGGCACGGGAGCACTTCATGACTCTGATCAGCAATGGTTGCTGAGATGTACCTAATCTAGTAGGTAGTCAGTCAACCCAAGTAACTAGTATACGGGGAAAGAGCTCTCGACCGACCTATTGCTACCCTACCTAGGTGCCTACCCTAGTAGAAGGGGCAAATGCAGGCAGGTGCGAGGAAAGTGCAGGAGCTACCCAGGCTCGGGCAGTCTAGTTACCTAAATAACTGAGAGGGCGAATAAGATATTTCCTTCGCACTCACACCGACAAATTGCAAATCGCCTTCGGACTCTCTCTTCTTACTCTTCTTTGTCACTGGACTTCAAGAATCTGACTTCTCCGGCTTGCTTGCTTACCTACATACTGACTTACTTACATGCCTCTTGACCAATCTCCGTTTCGAGACTATAAAAAGGCTACCGGTGCCCCTCATTGACACCAGGAAAATCTTCGCATCTCAAGAAGAAGGCGGGGTACGGCCGATTTTGGCCTGTCGTTTCTCTTCAGCTCTCGTCCCTCACAACGGCCCAGAGAGCGCACAAAGCTAAAAAAGAAAAAGGGCGACGAGACGCCTCATTGGTGTTCACCGAGCAAAGACGGAAGAGGCTGCTAGGTAGCAGGCAACCTGCCTACCCTACGCTACGCTACGGACTTGGGATCCAATCTGCAGCTGCAAAGACGTTGTTGGTATGTAAGCGCCAGGCATGACAGTGTCAGGGATGGAGACCTGCCTCTATTCTGTTCGGTCCAGTTCAGTTCTGCATTTACTCTGCCTACCTATCCTATCTTCCTGCGTGTGCCCCTCTGTCCTGCCTGCCTACCAACCATGCCTGACTTAGCCTTCCCGTCTATCTACAATCTGCATACACTCGTTCAAGCCTCTTCCTTATCAGCCGCCGTCGTTTTCTGTTGAGCCAACAATCTTGGCCCTAGCGGGTCCTGGAGATACGTGATCGGGCATTAGCAACGCGTAACCTCCTGCTTCGCTTCTCCTCCGACTCTCTTGACTTGCTTCCGATGCTCTCTCTTCACCGCTGCCGCTTCCGTTCCAGACTCCCCGAGGTTTACGGGTGACTGCCTTCATAATGTTCAGGCAGACGATCCTATCAAGCACGCTGCTTTATGCCGCTGTTGCTGGCCTGCTTGCTGTTGCTTTGTATCGTTCCGAGCCTGAGAACTGGTACGACTGTCTGCACCGTTTCAGCTCACTTACATGATACATGATGCATGCACAAGTTTGCAACTTGGCCCTGCCCCAGCATGTATCTGTTCTCGTTCGGCCTCTTTGCTAGTCTTACTCATATGCTATAGTTGGCATGCTATACCAGGAGTTGCTTCTTATGAGATATCCCCATGCACCCTTCATTTTCTCCTTCAATCACCATGCCCTGCTTCCTTCCTTAAATGATGGTAACTCAACAATGTGTATGATAGACCGAGCTAACGAGGTGTTTAGGAACGCTTGGGGGTTTGTTCGTACTGCTTTCCAATCTACAATGGGATCCACGTATGGGCCGCGGTTTCGAAAGATCCAGGATTTTCAGACCAGCTATGCCCCTACGACAATCACTCAATATGTGTCCGAAAGGAGTGGCATGCAGGTGATTGTGGCCGATCGGAAGGGGCCCAAGGTCAATGGCTATTTCACCCTTGCCACGGAGATATTCGATGACTCTGGGGCTCCTCACACCCTAGAGCACCTGGTATTTATGGGCTCCAAAAGCTATCATTATAAAGGTCTCCTAGACAAACTAGCATCACGGGCGTATTCCGGTACAAACGCGTGGACAGCTGTTGACCATACCGCATACACCCTCGAGACAGCTGGCTGGGATGGTTTTGCCCAAATTCTCCCTGTCTACCTTGAGCATGTCATCCTACCAACCATCACAGACGAAGCGTGCATGACAGAAGTCCACCATGTTGATGGTGAGGGCAATGATGCTGGCGTCGTCTACTCCGAGATGCAGGCTTTGCAGTACAGCAGCACCGAGTTGATGGATATGAGGGCACGAAGATTACTCTATCCCGAGAACATTGGTTTTCGATACGAGACCGGTGGCATGATGGAGGCCCTTCGAGTCTTGACTCCAAAGCGTATACGCGAGTTCCACAGAGCCATGTATCAACCCCGCAACCTTGCTATCATTATTGTTGGCGAGACGGACCACCAGAATCTCCTACAGATTCTGGATGAATTTGAAGAGAGCATCAAGGACGACATCCCTCCCCTAGATGCTCCATTTCAACGGTATTTCTACATCTAATTGATGTCCGATCCAATTCTAACTATCTCATTGTAGACCGTGGATTGATTCGCCCCAGCCGCCTCCCCTGAAGGAAACCATTGTTGAGACGGTGGAATTCCCAGAGGAAGACGAGTCAACCGGTGAAATTATCGTGGCTTTCTTTGGCCCCAACTGCACTGACTTGGTAGAAACGTCGGCATTGAACGTATTATTGACATATCTATGTGGATCATCCGTTTCGGTACTCGAGAATGTCATTGTTGAAAAAGAGGAGCTTGCAAGTTCAGTGTCCTATTGGTGGGACAGCCGACCGAACTCTGTTATTTGGCTTCAACCTACGGGCGTGGCTACTGAGAAGCTGGCTTTTGTCGAACAGCGTCTAATATCACTGATAAAAGAAGTTGCTTCAAAGCCGCTTGATATGAGTTACATGAAGGAGTGTATCAGTCGAGAACGGAGACAGGTTAAATTTCAAGCAGAGAGCTCACAGGAGTTCTATTCAAGCAACATCATTACCGACTATTTGTTCGGCAAGCGAGACGGCTCAACGCTTCGAGAGTTTGAGTTTCTGAGAGAATACGACGTCCTGGACACGTGGACGGATGAGCAATGGCGTGAATTCCTCCGGAAGTGGTTTTCAGAGGCGCCTCATATCTCAATACTTGGTAAACCTTCGATGGCACTGGCAGATAAGCTGAAAAAGGCCGAGGAAGCTAGGCTAGCGAAGAGGAGGGAGGAGCTCGGCGAAGAAGGCTTGAAGAAATTAGCCGAGAAGGTAGATGAAGCGAAAGCAAAGAACGAGCAGAAGATTCCCGAATCTGTTCTCGACAAGTGGCCTGTCCCTGGAACAGAGTCTATTCACTTCATCGAGTCGACCACGGCAAGGTCCGGGAAAGCAAAGGCTCTAGGCACACCTTCGAATCCCGCGCAAACAGCGATTGACAAAGCCAAGCCGGGACTCCCACTATTCGTCCAATTTGAAGATGTCCCAAGCAACTTCGTACACATCACCCTTCACGTGGGCACTTCAGAGGTGCCGGTCAAGCTAAAGCCTCTGCTGTCTCTGTTCAGTGATAACTTCTTCAACACACCAATCATGCGCAATGGGACGCGCATAGAATTTGAGGATGTTGTGATGGAACTTGAAAAAGATACAATCAGCTACCAACTCAGTGGAGGCGGCAAAGTTGGTGACCCGGAGAGCATGGTAATACAATTCCAAATCGAGCCTCAAAAGTATGCCACGATCATCCGCTGGATTCGTACGATGATGTACGACAGCATATTCGATCCACAGAGGCTAAAGACTGCCGTTTCCAAAGCTCTTGCAGACATTCCTGAAGCCAAGCGAGACGGTAGAATCATGTCTGTGGAAGTTGACATGGCCATCCACACAGTCAAGGAGTCGTTCCCTGTTGCCAAGCGCACACTCGTTAAGGCGATATATCTCAGACGGTTGAAGAAGCTGCTGGAGAATGATCCAGACACTGTCGTAGGCTGGTTCGAGGAACTTCGTAAGAGCTTGTTTACCTTCCAAAACATGCGTGCTTTAGTCACCGCAGATATTTCAAAGCTGGAAAACCCTGTACAGACGTGGGATATCCTTACTTCCGGACTTGATACCGAGAAAGAGGTCCTTCCCATCATCAAGCAGTACACAATGCTGAACGAGGAGGGTAAATCCCCCGGCAAGTACGGCGCCGTACTCGTGCCTATGACCACGCTCGACAGCTCTTACAGCGTGAGCACGGCTGTCGGGCTCAGCTCATTCGCCGATCCTCGCCTGCCTGCCATGCTGGTGGCTATAGGATACCTCGAGGCGGTCGAGGGTCCTTTGTGGAACGCTGTTCGCGGCAACGGCCTCGCATACGGCACCTCTTTCTCACGGGAAGTCGACGGTGGTTATCTGCAGTATCGCGTGTACCGTAGCCCAGACGCTAGCAAGGCGATCGACGCCTCACGGGCCGCGGTGGAAGCCATTGCAACGGGACAGGTACTCCTAGATAGGCACTTGGTGGAGGGTGCAGTCAGCGGCATCGTGATGGCGTTCGCCGACGACCAGGCGACCATGGCGGCAGCCGCGCAGCAGAACTTCGTTCTAAGCGTCATCCGCGGCCTCGAGCACGATTGGAATCAAAAGATCCTGGCGCAGATCCGCAACGTCACCGACGACGACATCAGGACTGTCATGAAGGAGCTGATCCTGCCCGTGTTTGTGGCGGGCAAGAGCAATGTCGTCGTTACGTGTGCGCCGATCATGGAAGAGGTGAGAGAACCCCTTGTGCGGACTAGGTACTGAATTGCTGACTGACTAACGCTGCTATAGAACATGACGAAAGCTTTCAAGGCCGTGGGCTATAGCGTCCAGACCCAGCCGTTGACTCACTTTTACGATGACTACGGGCTGAAGGGTGAAGACGATGAGGAAATGGAGGAGGAAGACGATGAAGACGAGGAGGAGGAGGAGGACGACGACGACGACGAAGATGAAGGCTCAGAGATGGACGAATCATAGACGAGCGATTGTTTTCAGAGGCGAAATGTTCCTGAATAGGACGTTTTCCCATGTGGTAGACCAAGATAAGAAAGACACCATGATATCTAGAAGCGAAGGATTTGTAACTCCCAGATTCCTAGATCTCTCAAAGTCTCTCGTAGCAATATCATTTGAGTCACTGGCAATAAAAGAGGAACACTGACATGGCGGCCAAATCATTCATTATATTAGCAACTCTTCTCTCAGCTTGGTGGACCGGAATGACCTCCAAGTCGCTGTTGAATATTTGTCTATGGCCTGTCGAGACAGCTTTTCCACATTTGATAGAGAAAAAAGTCGAGACTCAAAAAGAAACAAAATGTCTATCAACAACTCTGTAATGCTCGCCTTCTCCCGTACCACATTCTCAGAAGAAGGGCCGTTTTCTGACCAAGCTCTCTATGATAATAGGCCCATCATGATGATGGGAAGAATGAAAAGTAGTTTTTTTTCTTTTCTTTGTTAGGCCAAAACGCACAAGCCCCCCTTTTTTCCACCTCGAGTTGGGACGTCGCAAACACCACCGTACAGAACACTTCATGTCAAGCAGCCAGCTGAGCGGATCGCGATATCGAAAGCTCAGAGCACGCTCATGCCCATCAGGGCGAGCGCACCGGGCTCGCTGCACACGTAGATGACGTCGTGGCTGTCGCTGAAGCCGTTGAACTTGGTCGCGCTGCACTTGGTGTAGGCGCCCATGTCCTCAAAGTACAGCCAGTCGCCGACGTCGAGCGTCTGCTCGAAGCGGATGCTCTCGGTGATGCGGTCGATGCCGTCGCACGTCGGGCCCCAGATGCTGTATTCGACGGTGCCGTCGTTGCCGCCGCTACCGCTGCTGCCCGCGGCGGGGCCGGCGGCCTCGGTGTTGTAGTACGTGCGGTTGCCCGCGCGCAGCACCTTGGCCACGGGGTGCTGGTGGTCGAACATGATGCTGCTGAAGTTGCCGTACAGCCCGTCGTTGACGTACACCATGTAGCTGGACTCGGCGGCCGAGCCGTTGGTGCCGGTCGGGTCCTCGATGGTGCGGCGCGCAATGATGTTGCAGGCGATGGTGAAGGCCGATGAGACGTAGTAGCGTCCGGGCTCGGCAATCAGGTTGACGCCGCTGTGCGCGGGGAAGTAATCGTCCAGGGCGGAGCGGAGCACGCCAGCCATGTCCTCGAAGCTAGCGTCGGGGCAGAAACCGCCGCCGACATCGAGGGTCTTGAGGTCGAAGCCATGGACGGCAGCCTGCTGGAAGACAAAGTGCGCATCCTGGACGGCCTTCAGGAAAGCCATGGGGTCGGAAGCCCCTGATCCAACGTGAAAGCTCACTCCCACGACATTGAGTCCCAACTCGCGAGCAGTAGCCAAGAGGCTATCGGTGGTGTCGAGAGAAGCGCCAAACTTCAAGCTCAGACGGCATAAGCTGGATGAATCGTCGGTGAGGATGCGGAGGAAAAGTTCCGCATCAGGGAAGAGCTTTGCAATCTTGCGAAGCTCGTCGGCGTTGTCGAAGGTCATCTGACGGACGCCGTTGTTCGCCACATAGCGGACATAAGAGTTCGTCTTGCATGGCTGTGCGTAGATGATGCGCTCAGGGTCGACGCCCATGTCCAAAACCTGCTCGATCTCCGACTTGGAGGCGCAGTCAAAGCCAGTGCCAAGCTCCGCGAGGAGGCGCAGGACCTTCGGGTCCGGGTTGCACTTGACGGCTATAGAAGAATTAGCATTTGTTGTCTTGCCGAAGTGAGTCAGAGGCGGTGGTTTTCTTTTGCTGCTTACCATAGAAAGGCTTGACGCGGGGCAGGTTCAACTTCCATCGCAGATGCTGCCGATAGACCTCGCCTAGATCGGCCACGAAGAATGTATCCTCGTCTCCCGGCTCGCAATATTCATGGTCAATGTTCTCCACGCGGTGGCGCAGAGCATCTCCAATCAGTTGCTTTGGGGAAATATGCCCATGTTGGTTCTTTTCGAAGTGCCCGCCATGGTGATGGGCTTTCTTCAAGAATATATGACTATTTGTAAATTCTACTGGGGCAAAGCGATCGATGAGAGCTGTTGCCATAACCATATCCCAGGGATGAATGGGGGGGTTCGAGGAGAGAGGTGTGTTCGTGGCGGTAGAGGGGATAGGGAGAGATCGATCGATTGATCAGGTGTCGAAAAACCTAGAAGGTTTTGAGGATTGAGAAACTTGGTTGTTCCGAAAGGGGTGTTAGGGGGGTCGGAATCGATAGCAGACTGATCCCGAAGCGATCTGACGAGGCCTCCTCGACTCTTCCTCGATTAGAGGAAGAACCTCAGAACTCGTCCTATGCGGCAGCTGGTTGTCGGGGGTGAACTTTGGGTTCTGGTTGTAGGATGAGTCGAACAAAAAGGACTCGAGTAGTTGCTTAGGCGGCCTCAGCAGTAGCAGGTGGGGGGCGGGAGTTGATGATGTGAAAGGTCTTTCGATGGGAGAAATCTTGATCAGAGACGAGCTCTACGGCCGGAGAAGCCGTGATGAGGGTTTGCCTTTGATGGAGACCAAAGGCAGTCCAGGACTGGAGAGTTTGATGATGCTGGAAGAGGCTGTTAGCGTCTGTTCTCTTGCGTCTCAAGACGAAGCAAGTGATGGACTGGGCGATTGCAGAGACGAAAAGGCGGAAACACTATGTTGTGAAGAAAAAAGTGAAGTGTCGGTGACGGTCTGGCTATGGCCGGCATGTGATGTGTGTTTGGAAGAGAGGCGCGACAGATGCGATGGAAGCTTTGATTGCGCTTACCGGAGAGACGAAGAGTCTGTGATTGTTGTTGTTTCGAGAAAGCGATGACTTTCGGAGTCTGATGTCAGTGAGGAGAGGGAGCCTGAAGAGCGTTTTTGACAATGTTGTCGAGGAGAGAAAGTTCCCAGAGTGAAGAAAGCATGCAGTGGATATGGCTAGTTGCGGTGGTGGTGATTCGGTCTCGTGTGTGGCGGGGCAGATTTTGTGGATTTTGTGGTTGCGCGTAGTGGGGAGGGCTGAGTTGCCTTGAGGAGAGAGGAGCGAAGAGAGGGGGAAGTACCTAAGGAGAGTACCCAACAATGTGTGTGTGTGCCTTGGTTTTCCACACTTACATACATACATACACACACTCGCACACAACAAACTTTGAGTAACGTACCGAGCCTACCCTACTGCTGAGAGAAGCAGACACACACACAGAGAGAGACGGAGGCGGGGCCAGATTTGTTAAAATTTTGCGCTTGGAAGATCCCAGAGCTTGACCAAGAACTTTCTAGCGCGGCGGGACGGTCGAGATGCTGCGTAGCATCTTCTCCACCGCACAAGAGAGGCCGGCTCGATCCCGGCCTCCCGTTGGATGGAATCGAATACCGGTAAGGAGTAGCAATGGAGGGAAGGGATCGAATCGAAGCTTTGTGTGCCTTCATCCCAGACCGCAACTTTCCTCCCATCCATCATCCATCACTCACATCAGTCAGTCATCTATCATCCGCCCGCCGGGTTTCCAAGTATAGTAGTGGTGCTTAGCTTAAATCGAGCTGCTGCATGTGGCAGGGAGTCACCCCGAATATAGAGGCCATGGATGGATGGATTGAGGGAGGGAGGGAGGCAGCCACCAGCTCCGCTACCAACCGCCGCCAGCTCTCTCGCTTTCTCTCACCTACCGCCCTCTCACGATTCCAGCCGAGGATGCATGACCGAGCTACCATGCAGTATGCCCTACTGTAGAGCTCTTTAAGGTCCTCTGACACTGTACTATGTAGACGGGCAAGAGATCCAGGGGCTGCAGCCATACGGAGACGTTACCTAACCATGCTGACACGGCGTTTGTCAACGAAAATGAAAAGGGAGGCCGACTAGGCCATGGCCACTAAAATCGCGCACCTCGACACCTGCAGACATTAGCCTGTATGCCATTGCCATGTATGACGATAATGAACGGTTCTGCTCTCGTCTGCACTGCAGCACAGTAAAGCAGCAGCAAGTTGCAGCTCCTCTGCAGTAAGCCCACATCTTGACCGACTGCACTTGATCAGTTGGCAGGCAAGCCCGTGATGGTTGCGACCTGCAGGTGTCTTATCTCCGACCAGGAATACAGTAGAAGTGAAATGTCGGGCCCCCTGATGCGTTGGCCATCTCGATCCCGTTCCGGGATCTCCCCGACAATTTCGCCATGACCCCTGCCGACACCGCACTTGAAATGGGAGATGAGAGATAGAGTCTGCAATTGTGCGCAAGGGCATTGGCTGCGGTAGAGAGAAAAAACATGCACTGCACATCAGGTACAGCAGATCTGTCTGGCTTGTCATCGGCCCAAAGAGCCGCAGTAACCGGGATGACGTATGCGGGGCTGCAACATTTCGCGATAGGGGAATTTTCCTTCTCCCTCTCGAATACAGTTGCACAGCCGCCTGCATAACACTTGTTGCAGGCAATGTAGCACCAGCATGGCCCAGACGGCTTTGGAGCTTCCCTGGGAAAGTACGTGAACATGTCAAATAAAAGCGTGCACGAGTTTGCATGTACTCTGTTGTTTAGTCCGAGGTTCCAAAGCTGAGGAAGACGGTTCTGAGAAACGAGCGCGGGTTCGCGATGGTTCGCAGACCCAGCATAGGTCTTGCTCTTGCGTCTTTTTGTGGTCTCAGAGCCATGATTGTCCAAAGGACTGGCAGAAAGACGTATCGTATCTGAACGCTTGATCTATGTATGCAATATCTGGGATTGAGGCATTGGAATGCTAAGTTGTAAAGCGGAGTGTCCGTTGGAGAAGGGTATCATTTGTTCTTTTTATACAGCTTGTGATACATGTCGAGACCAATCCATTGGTCCTTTATTTACGAGTCGATCCGTTCTCACGCGGGTCCGGATCCGTTGACATTCATGTCGTTGACGGTCCACGACCCATCCACCCAGCCTTGCTTCTCGCCCAGGAAGGCGATGCTGCCGGCATCCTTTGACAGGGGCTCGACGACGTACTTCTGGGCGACTTCGCGGACCTGGTCCTTGGTGACGTCCAGGAGCTGCTCGCGGCGCTTCTGTCTCATCTCCTCGGTAATGCCATAGAGGAACTTGCTCATGCCCTCTTCGTTGACCGACCGCGGCGCGTCGACGCCTTGGAAGACGGAGATCTTGGCATCCTCTAGGTCACGATCGGTCCAGGCCTTGTCTACAGCCCATTGCCCGGCATTGTGCATGATGTTCATCGTGTTCAGGGGATTCGGGTCTCGGTAGGAGTAGAACCCAAAGACACCCTCTAGAGCACGAGAGTAGGCGCCTCCACCATATGCACCGCCCTTTTCGCGAATCTCGTGGTGCAGGTGCTTATGAGTGAGCAGCTGCGCAAGTATCTGAAGAGGCGCGCCATCTGGGGATGTGTATGATGTTGTAGGCAATGCTAACGCGCCGTAGTAAACCTGGTAAGGCAAGGGGAAGAACGACTTGATGTTTCGCTCAATTTTCTGTGTCTTGCTTGGCGGGAACTTCGTTGCCACAGGAGCAAAGGAGCTGATAAAGTTCGACAAGGCACTCGAGTTCTCCTGGACGCTCTCTGTGCCGCAAGTCAGGGCTGCGCGAAGGTTGCCACCGCACAACGCAAGTAGTTGTATCTGCTTGAGTTTGGCGATAACATCCTCAAGTTGGTCCGTCTCAGGGCGGCTGGCAAGCGATGTGGTCAATTTCACTTGACTCAAGCCGCTCACCTGCTCCCTAAGATAACCATCAAATGACAATCCAGCTTCGGCACAGCGGCGTGCATAGGCATGGCCAGACGATGCGATGTCGTTAACAACGCCATCCGCGGACGCCTGCAGGAGTTGTCGAATCTGCTGAACAGCCTCTGGGCTGTCAAAGTTGGTCTCGGCCACCACTTTGCGAATCAGGTCGTACATGGCCGGGACATTTCGATCCAGAGCCATGCCGGTGAAAATGAGACCTTCAGTGGCCTTCCCATAATCAGTCGGAGACGAGGCAGAGTGATAGCCTACTGATATGCCACCGGTCTTCAGCTTGATCAGATCCTCGAGCTGCTCCATGGTCATATCCTTTGTACCGAGACGCATGATAGAATCAGTGAAGAGGGGGATCAGTGACCTAAGCTCTTGTGGAAGATTTTCAAGGGTATTGATAGCCCTGAAATAAGTGAGGCCATTCGTCGGTGCTTCTCTCCACTGAACCTTGGTGTTGGCTGTAATATCGTCACGTACCACTACCGACTCTTTCTGTCTAGGAATATCTCGGACATGGACGCTAGGCAGGCAGCTAAGATCTTCGGTGTTAGTCTTGCCCTGCTCGGCGAGCAGGAGAAGTTCTCTCTCTTCAAGCTGCTTCTGAGCTTCATCCTTGCCACCTGCCTGCTTCGTCGCTTCCTCGATCTTGGTAGCCAGCCTCTCAGCTTCTTCCTGAACAAGCTCTTGGCCATAGCCGGAGGACGGAGCCATGGTGAAGGTCAAGGTATTGTCATTCAGCAGGTATTTGTCCACAAGACCCTCGAGGTAACCACCTTTGGCAAGTTCTGCCTCGAATGCCGCAATCGTGTCATTCCAGGCTAGTGAGTCGAAGGGATCTACGCCAGTAAACCACTTGGGTTTCAGTCTCTGCAGCAAGGACATGCCAAAGTTGGCTGTTTTATGCTTAAGACTAAGCTCGAGCTGCTGCAGATAGCCATCAATCTTCGACCTTTCGAATCCTTTGTCCCGCACATCCCGCAGGATAGCCTGCAACTCATTCTTGACTTTTGGAACATCTGCTTCTTGAACTCCTGTCAGGCCAACAGAGAAGATGCCGGCTTTACCAGAATTGTCGTAACCGGTATTAGGGCTCCAATCTATCCCGAGCCCAGTTTCGATCAATCCCTTATAAAGGGGGGATCCGTATCCGTCCATGAGAAGCGCGGACACCAAGGCCAGTGAGAAGGATTCGACCACATCCGAGGTGTCACCCAAGATCCACGAGACTGAAGTCTTGAATTGTCGGTTCGCGTCAACCAGGGGGTCGACCGGCCCAGGCAGCGTAACTTCTTTTGGACCGCTGCTCAGATCGATCGGGCGATGGACCTTCAAGTCGCCTTGAATTTGCTGGAAGGCACCTAGCTGGGCATTGATCTCCTGCAGATGGTCCGCCAAGGGCATATCTCCATATGTGAAGAGCTTAGCATTGCTTGGGTGATAATGCTCATCGTGAAACTGCTTCAGTTGCTGGTAGGTCAGGTCCGTAATCTTCTGAGGATCGCCTCCCGAGTTGTTGATATCTGGGAATATGTGATCCTGGAATCGAATGTAAAATAAATAGCCCGCATCAGACATCTGGCCCTTCATCTCATTGTAGACGACGCCCTTGAAGACAAGCCTGCGATCCTCGGGCTTTGCCTCCTGGCCGCTAGCAAGAGCCTGCGGGTTCTCCGGCCCTATGCGCCATCCCTCTTGCGTGAAATCGGTCTCCTTAAGGAGTGGGTGCAGCGTCGCATCCAGATACACAGACATTAGATTCTTGAAGTCTTGCGCGTTGGTGGTGGCAAAGGGATAGAAGGTATGGTCTGATGCGGTAAATGCATTCATGAAGTTCGACAGCGTACGAGGCAGCATCTTGAAGAAGGGATCCCGAATGGGGTACCTGGTCACCTAATTAGCTTTTCTATGGTCAATCCCAAGATGTGTATCCCAACTCACTTCTCGCTGCCGCACAGCGTGGTGTGCTCCAGGATATGGGGCACACCGGTGTCGTCTGGTGGGTTTGTCTTGAAGCCGATGGAGAAGACATTGTTGCTATCGTCGCGGGCGATGTGCAAGTGCTCGGCGCCGGTCTTGTCATGCTGCAGATGCAGCGCCGTCAGCTCGAGCTCGGGGACATGCTTGGTCCGCAGCAGGGTGAAGCCGTGGAGCTTGTCGCCGGGCTTGGGATACTGCGAGAGCTCGGTCACAGCTCTGCGAGCGCCCTTGGCAGCATTGCGAAGCATGGTTCGAGAAGGCGAACGCAAGCTCTAACAGAAGGCGGTCCTGATGTGTTCGGCAGGCAGGCAGGCAGGCAGAGTGTTGGCTAATGGCTGCTGGCTGCTGGCTGTTGGCTGTTGGCTGCCAGGTCGTCTGAGTATCGAGGCTTTCCCGAAACCTTGAGCCACCACTGCACCTGTTAGAACAACAACGTTTTAGCCCCGAGTCTGTCCTGGTGGAGGTTGTCGTGTCATTGATGATGACTTATTCGTAGGGAAGTAGTACTGTAGGTACATGGAGAGCGGCTCCGGGACTAGAAAACTTCTTCCAGAACAGTGGCGCTGGTGCTCCGGCCGGCACTGCAAGTCAGTCAGTCAGTTGCAGGGTGCAGGCAGCGGAGCAATCGGAGGCAATCAATCTCGTCAAAACAGTGGAGGCGATTGTGTTAACAGGCTCGATGCCAGTACATGACCACAGCATATGAAGATATGCCAATGGCCATGTAGCTCTCTAACAGGCGAATGGCCCACGCTAACACATGAATCACCATGTACGTGGACGTCAGCATGCCTTTTCCGCCCGTAATTAGGTCCCTTGATAACTGCGGATAGCGAGTGCCAGCGCTAACTCTCGCGTGATAGCGTGGCACCAAACATGCTGAGGCAAGCCCTGCATCCTGCTGCCGTGTCCTGCGAGTCCCCGGACCCATGAGAAGTACCTGCTGAACATCTGGATACCGGTATTTGAAGATGGGGGAGTTGCGCTCGTTCGAGAGGTGCAATCCGGGTGGTGAATGGAGAGGAGAGGAGAGACAGCCCCCAGTTACAGTACGTGCGAGCAGCGACAATGGATCATGGATCATGGATCGCCTCGTGATCATCTTGGAGACTCGCCCGGCCATCGACCACAATCCGTTGTCCATTTGCCCATTCCCACTCTGGATCCAATTGGCCAGGAATAGCTTCATTCTCGATGTTCCTTGGGCATGCATTGATTGCTTAGGCATCTTGGTCCCAATCCACGGTCAGGAGCATTTGCGTATGCAGACTGTCTGGTAATCATCTCCCAAGAGGAGGACAGACAGAGAGAGAGAGAGAGAGAGAGAGAGCCCAGCAAGGTGTGTCCGTGCTCCGCAATGAAGCATTTGATAGGTAGTGTATCCAGTGAAGCAGCATGTAGTATGTAGTGCGTAGTGCAGGCTAGGTAGTGCTGTACTTACTCGCAATTTGCGGTTCCGTCTGATCAAATAACCGACCAAAACGAACGCCAACTTGCATCGATGCTGGTGCTCGTGCTCGTGCTGGTGCTGGTACCAACTGGTGCACCACCTATTACCTACGCTAATTAGGTAGTCCACCTCCTGTCTCCAAACCACCAAAAGTCTTCACCAAACTAGACCAGACTACCGCCCACGATCGCTCCCTACAGTGCACTCGCCTTGCTCGCAGACTTCATCCTTTCGATAAGCTGCGCAGATGAACGACTGAGCCGAGGACGACGACATTCATTGCGAGCGAATTGCTGACCCAGAAAGAGGAGACCGGGACACGGACATTGCCCATCTCGCTCTGTCTCGGCCCTCTTGCAAAATGGCCACGGCCGCACCTCCGCCCGTGACTCCCACGACAACCGGGTCCAGGCCGCCCACAATGGCCAACGGCGTCTCAAATCAGCATCAACATCCCCACGACGACGCAGTCCTCACCAACGGCAACCACGTCCATCACCACCAAGAAACTCGACCCGCTCCGGCCCCTCCTGCGGCGGCGGCAACGGCGACGACGACGAACAACTCCGCCGGCAAGAAGGACAGGAAACAGAAGAAGGCCATGGACTCCAACGAGGCCTCCAAGCTGGTGGCCCAGCGCATCTCCCAGCTGGAGCTCGACGCCGCCGGGGAGAAGGACCAAGAGGCTGAGATTGGTGGGTGCTTTCCCCCGGTGATTTCCACATCCATGACCCAGGAGGAGCAGGGTTGTGCTGGCGCGACGATGGTGGGGGATGTCTCGGCTGCGTGAGCAGTATCGATATAGACCATTCGGCGTCGCAGTCCCCATGCCTCTGCTTCCACTGGCGAGCAGAGGGTGCCCAATACATCAAGATGGTCGCAGCTCCGGAGGCGGCCAGGCGATTGGGAAATTGCGTCAAGGTTATTGCGCAAACTCATCCTGAGACAAAGCTGACAGTTTTCTGAACAGAGCGCGAAGTTAAGAAGGCGAACCGAGAATTGCACAACCAGACCTCGAGGATGGACAACTTGCAGAAAATCGAGCATCTCTCGAAACGATGCTCCGATTTGCTGGCCGAGATGAAGCGCCACGAGCGGGAGAGCATCAAGAACAAGAAGCGGGGTGACCAACTCCAGAAGGAGAAGGACCAGAGCCGCACCGAGCTGAGCAAGACCGTTGGCCTGAAGGAGAAGCTTGAGAAGCTTTGCCGAGAGCTGCAGAAGGAAAACAACAAGCTTAAGGTACATCTCATTTGCCCGCGTCGGCCTATATTGGAACATTGGAACACATGCTGATGAATATTGGGATAGAACGAGAACAAGACGCTACAGGACAACCAGACTAGGAATCAAAGCTCTTGGGACGAGAAATACGCGACGTTGCTGCAGAAGCTTGACGACTACCAAGAAGAGAAAGACAATCCGCGAAAACAGGTTGTCGATATGGACCTAGAAGAATTGTATGCTGATACACGATCTCTCACGTTAAATGATTAATATCTAATCGCATCCAGATTTCGATCGCGATTCAAGTCACTCATCGACCAGTATGAGCTACGGGAGCTTCACTTTCACTCGCTCATGCGGACCAAGGAGCTGGAGGTCCAGTACAACCTGGCACGATTCGAGCGCGAGAAGAAGAGTGCTGAGGCGGAGATGGCGAGGTCACGACAGCTTAACCAGCAGGTTCAGACGTTTTCCAAGACCGAGACCGAACTACGCACGCAGCTTAATGTGTACGTGGATAAGTTCAAGCAGGTCGAGGATACTCTGAACAACAGCAATGATCTGTTCTTGACGTTTAGGAAGGAGATGGAAGACATGTCCAAGAAGACCAAGCGGCTGGAGAAGGAAAACGAGACTTTGAAGCGCAAACACGAGACGATGAACACCAACGTCCTGAAGATGGCTGACGAGAGGAATCGAATCATGAAGGAGATCGAGGATCAGAAGAAGAGCAACGAGAAGCTGAAGAGCATCATCACGCAGATGCAGCAGCAGGGCAGAGGGATCCCCCAAGGTATGGCCGGCACAGTGACGAACGGCTACGACGTGGAGGGTGAGGTGGACGGCGAGGAGAGCGAGTACGAGGACGAGGACTATGAAGGCGATGAAGTCAGCGAGGACGGCGAGGAGTACGAGGACGATGAGGAGACAGAAGATGAGATCCACACTGCCGAGCCGCAACCATACGGCCCGGAACGGCCACCGCCAGTGACTACCAACGGCAACCATTAGCAAATTGCCTTGGGGGATTCTACTGACAAGACGGCCGACTACCTGTGGTAGGGTCTTCGTGGTTTGAGCAGATGAGCTATCGCCAGTCTATCTGCACAATACCGAGGCTGACCGTGCAACTAGTAGTGGAGTCAAGGGTGTTCTCTGTGTGCTCGTACGGATCCAGCGCTATATGGCGTTGTTCCTTGTTGATTTTGTCACATTTTGTACAAGCAACTGGAGTTCTCGTACATAGCCGCTCTACAATGCAAATGCTGTTCATCAAGAGTATATTTGTGTTGGTCATGTGTGTCTCATCTACCTAATAAGACGTGATATGCTGTAGCAAGAGCAGGACAGTCTTGATATCGAAACTTCACCAGCTTTCATCTTGAAGTGCCTATATGATACTGACGAAAAGGAATCCAGGGGATTATCTGCAATGCGATGACGGAAGGTTGGGAGAGATATGCTACCCATTGTGAGACGAGCCTCATTCCAGCCACATATATAGAGGACAGTGCCGGATCCGATGGGGTTCTCAGCCCCACATCTTCTACCAGTCCTCTGCCCGTCCCACTGTGGCTGCCACCGTGCTGGAATTCCAGGGCGGGCAGCCGTGTTTCCCGTAACGGGCGCAGATCTACACTGTCCGCGGTAAGGTAAAACGCTGGGACACGGCGCAAACATCCATATTAATGTTGAGTCTGCATTACTTGGTCAATTCCCACGATCCTCACAAGATCCAAATCCACCTCTCATCCGAAACTCCTCCAGATCAGACGCTTCACACGGACTCACACCTTCAGCAATCTGCGCCTCTGCCGGCACTAATTCTCCAATGCCTACCGCCTCGGCATCGCTATAATTAGGCGGGCTGCTACGTCACACCAACAAGCCGCATCCCGAATGCATTGATTGCTTGGCCAGCCTTCCGCCGTCAGCGAGGCTCTTTCTCGTCAGACAATCCGATCCGACCACATAACGAACAGAGAGAGCAACACCGGCCGTTGCTTAGCCGTCGCCGAGGCGACAGCAGCAGCACAAACCCCAAACCAACCTCCCCCATAATGGCCTTCCTCGAGGACCCGCGTCTGCGGCAGCGCTGGAACCAGATCAGCCACAATGCCGAGGCCGTCACCGAGAACGCGGCCGCTGGAATCTGGACCTTCCAGCACCGCTACATCAACCCGTGCCTGGCGTCCGTCGCGCAGAGCCTCGACAGCTGCACGGCGCCGTGCTTCGGCGATCGCGAGGAGCGCGCGCGGAGGGCGAGGGAGCGGGAGCGTGGCGCCAGAGGCAGCCGCGCCGAGTTCAACTTCGACTTCTACGATGACTGGGACGACGACGACGAGCTGCTCGCGTCCGGTGGGTTCGGTGGTGGCTCCGGCGGGATCCTGGGCACGTGGGGAGGCGCGAGGAGCGAGGACTGGGACCGCCTGCTCGCTGGGACGGGCAGCTCGAGGAGTCGGCATACCGCAGGCGGCGAGGTCGCAGATCAGCCAAAGAGGAAGAGGGGGATGAGTTATGGCACGAGAGGTGCGCGGCGGAAGTCAACTGAGCAGGACCCAACCATCATCCCAAGCACAGCGCCCCTAGGTTTCCTCGGCAAGCTGCCGTGGAAGATTGGAGGCACATTGCGCTACAAGCCCAGCGCGGCAAATCTACAAGACAACCCCGGAGGAGCAACGCAAGCAGAATCAGCAGAGCACGAGCCATTGCTCGGCTCAGAAGACGATGACGATTTTCGACACTACGGAATCAAAACGCATTCGCGGAAACGGAGCGGCACGACAGGCTCTGGGGAGACGTCAGACTCGTTCAGGTCGAGAAACGACCTCTTCCCGAGTGACGGCGAAGGCGAAGAGGACGCTGTGCCATTGGATGATGAGTTTGCGGTCGCTCTAGATAAAGTGGATGACCGCGGCAGCAACAAAACACGAAGCATAAGCGGAGCGAGCGGGAAGGGCAAGAAAATCATGTCTAGATCAGCCTCCAGGGGAACATTATCGTCGAATCCGTCACGATCATCACTGAACATACGAAAAAGTTCAGCATCGCTGGCCAATCTGGAAGATTCTATCCATGCTCCGTCTCTAGAAGAACTTCAAAGAGAGGAAGAGGAGATGAGAATCGAAGAAGACCAAGAGGTTGAGCGAAAGCGGCACGCAGCGGCTCAACTAGCGCTCGAGAGGGGACTGAAGAAGGATGAGGTCGTCTCGGAATCTGTCACGGAGACGAAACCTGAGATTGTCCACGTCGATGACATACCAGAGCCAGAAGAGCCTGAGCAGGTCGTCGTAGATGAGGCTCATGGAGATACACCTGGAGTGGATGAGACTCCCACGCAGTCAGGGAGAGAGTCTTCATCTCAGGCCGCAGGTCCGAGTGAAGACTTTGTGCCCGCGCGGTTACCACATTTCAGGTAGCACTAATTACGGAGTTTGGTCATCTTGAATTATGGGTAGGGATTGGTGTGCATGAAGACTGGCGCGTGGAGGAGCCTTGTGAATTCATTTTAGCTATGACATGATATCCGGAGTTGTCAACCTACCTCATTACATTCAAAGCTTGATCTGTGTAAAGCTATATATTAGCAACTGGTATATTGCCAGCTAATAGAACATTGTAGCTTGTGTCATGCAGTCTTTTCTTATCAAACAGACCTTCCCAAATTGCATGTTGCTAGTTTTCATGAGAGACTTTCGACCCAGATATTGAAATGTTTCGATGTCTCTCACCCAGGTCCGACCACTTTTCCCTACCAGAGACGCAGATACATTTAACAAACACATAGCAAAAGATATTCCACACGTCATCTCACGGAAATAACAATCGAACGGACATGCAGCTCGTCTAGGCGGGGCGGGTAGTCCCAACGACACCGTTGCTACTGTCTTACCCCGGCCGATCACAGAGTTGCCTCGGTAGTGTCACCCCGCATTTTCAACAGCTTCCCCCAGCTCAAGCTCGCTTTGGGGCGGACTCGGTAGCATTAAGACCCCTGAGCTCCGTTCTCCTGATATATGAAGATGAGAGCGAAGTCTCTTCAATTCAAAACGCATTCTCCGTCGTGTAATGTATTGTTTCATTCAAACAAATGCTGATCTAGCTTTCGAAATATTACATCATTTATTTCGTACCGTTAAACGTCTGAAGCCATTGGCTACCTAGGTAATCCATCTTAATCCACTTACACGGCTTCAAGATGGCGCCCACAGGCCCCATCACCACTCCCCTCACCTCCCTGCTGGGAATCCAGCACCCCATCCTGCTGGCCGGCATGGCGCGGACATCAGGGGGTCCTCTCGCAGCAGCCGTATCCAACGCCGGTGGGCTCGGCGTCATCGGCGGCTTCCAGTACACCCCGGACCAGCTGCGGGAGATCGTGGCCGAGATGAAGGAGAAGTTCGTGCGGCCAGACCTCCCCTTCGGCGTCGATCTGGCCCTTCCGCAGATCGGTGGCAATGCTCGCAAGACCAATCACGACTACACGGGCGGAAAGCTGGATGAGCTCATCGACATCACCATCGAGAGCGGTGCCCGCCTCTTCGTGTCAGCTGTCGGTGTCCCACCCAAGTATGTGATCGAGAAGCTGCACAAGGCCGGCATCCTGGTCATGAACATGGTTGGTCACCCCAAGCACGCTGTCAAGGCACTCGACCTTGGTGTGGACATTATCTGCGCCCAGGGCGGCGAGGGCGGCGGCCATACTGGCGACATCGCCAACAGCGTGTTGATACCGGCAGTTGTGGATGTAGCGCGCAACTACCGTCCGCCGATGCTCAAGGGGCAGCCGGCGCTGGTCGTCGCCGCCGGTGGAATCTCCAACGGGCGGTCACTAGCAAGTAGTCTGATGCAAGGCGCTGTAGGCGTGTGGGTTGGCACACGATTTGTTGCCAGCGTCGAAGCCGGATGCAGTGAGGAGCACAAAGAGGAGGTTGTGAGCTGTGGCTTTGACCAGACTCAGCGCACACTGGTGCTAAGCGGCCGGCCGCTACGCATGAAAACCAACGAATATATCAGTCGGTGGCACGCACAGCCCGACAAGATCAAGGAGCTATGTGATCAAGGAGTGGTTCCCATCGAGTGGGATCTGGACCAGGGGAACGACATAGACATGCCGCACCTCATGGGTCAGGTTGCCGGCAGTATCCAGAAAATCCAGCCAGCTGGGGAGATTGTTGCCGAGATGGTGGAGGAAGCGGTAGGAATGTTAAAGCTAGGAAACGCGTACCTGAGCGAGAAAAGCAGACTGTAAAATCCGCCGCGATGAAGGAAGAAGATGAAGCAGTTTATTTCTCAGGAATCTAGACAGGATATCTGCGTACGGCTTCAATCAAGCAGGGCACCGAGAATTACACATCTTGCAGGACCTCATTGTTAGGAGGATAGCATAACCCAATTCTTCCGGTAAATCTCTGGTGTGATATCTAAGCTCTTCAACTCTGACAGCAGTAATGATATCTCATCTGCCTTGAACGAATGATACCCAGCTACGCACTCGATGAGATGCGGGTGTGGATGACTCTTCCATGGTCCCAACATTTGTTTTTCTCACCGGGCCTGAACGATACACTGCAATTTTAGGTTCTCCGAAAGCTTGTTCAGCATAGCCTTTCTGGCACCCGATAAATTATATTGCTGCTGAGCATCTGGCCTTTCTTTAAGTCATTCATGAAGTTTTCCAGGTTTTGCAAAACTGGCTTCTATTTATGATTGTCGTGTCAAAGTTTGTGTCATACAAAGTACTTTGTCAACAGCATTAGAGAAACGCTCTTCGTACAAGTGATCACTCAAGATCAGCTAAGTACCTAGGTAACGACGATCAGTCGTGTCACTTTTCACTCGCACAGGCTTGCATCTGTCAAACGTGAGTCCTACCCTTGCATCTGCGGCTGTTGGTCTGGCACATCATCAACCATACCTTTTTACATTGTGTATCGTGAACAAGACTTAGCAACTTTGATCTTCTGTCTCAGCAGGTAGACTTTAATCGAGTACGGCCCAACCATCTATATCGTAAATCTAAAATGTCTACTCGTTCTGCGTCCACCGGCGTCAAGAAATGTGTCAACGGTCATCCCCTCTCGCTCTTCTCCCCTGATACCATGACTTCCTACCACACCCTTGAAAAAGGTCCGCCATCATGGCCACGGCTTACACAGAAGAGCACAAGCAGGAGCAATTGTTATCAGCCATCCCAAGCTTCGCTTCTTGGTTCTTTTCGCACTTCATGGACTTCTCTTCTCAGCCAAAGCATTCCCGGGTCTGGCATGCCATTGGGGTACAATTTGAGGAATACAAATCAAAGTCAAAGCTCAGGAAGTCCAAAGCCAAAGATCTAGATCCGGACTGTCAAGTCTCGTTCGATTTCAGTCTCCTGCCCACGGAGATCAGGTTGCAGGTATGGGAGATCATTGCAACAGCCCCCCGAGCCGTGATCCTGCGTTCGCCTTTCACCAAGAGCTGGAAGGAAAAGTTCACCGGTGAGAAAAAGAAGAGGAAGATAACCCGATCCCGTACCTGGTGGACGAACACTCCCGTCCCCTCCGTCCTACATGTCAACCAGGAATCCAGACGAGTGGGCTTAAAATACTATAAGCGCGGTCTCGCAAGCGGCTGGTACAACCCGATAATCTACATCAACTATAGCTCAGACTGGATACTGCTAGGAAAAGATGAGATGAAGGACGACTGCTGCGAGCTGTGGTCCAAAATGCAAGACCTCGAGAAGATCGAGGGCCTCATCGCGTCATACTACGGGATCGAGGGATTCCTCAACCGCCTCAACACGCTGGATGTCACACGCCGATTCAGCAAGCTCGAGGACGTCCTCATCACGCGCTCGCGGCACCTGAAGCGCAGCCGTCTGCCGCGAACCGCAACTGAAGACATGGACGACTGGATCATCCACAAGTTTGAGCACTTTGGCATCGCCTGGCTGCGATTACTGCCGAGGGATATGAGGCTTGAACTTCACTGGTGCAACGCGAAACGCCAGCGCGGCTTGGCCTATTTCGACCTGATACCAAACGGGCAGTTGAACGCTTTTCCGACAGTAATCTACCCCCAGCAGCCCCTTGTCACTCCATGAGCATCCGCAGCGTAGAGAGTAGATACATCATATCGACGATCACCCGCTGGTGATACCCTGGTATCGCCGTAGTCTTCAAAGAGGATAGCTTTACGATCATAGTTCCACGGCGGGACAGGTATTATAAGAACAATGTAATAGGGCCTCTGTTAAAAGAACTTGATTTCATTTGATTAGCAGAAAACAAATGATCAATGTACTTCTTGAGAATTGTCTTTCGTGCAAGCTACAAGTTGTGATACTTGTTTCGGTGAATTTCAAGGGTCAGGTGCTGTGATTGAGCATAATGAAGAAGCTACGAAGTAATTTATTGACAAAGTTATAGGTACAGTAAACTAGGAGTGCTTCCAAGGGCTGGCGGTGCCCTTACCCTCTAGTAATAGTAACATTACAATCATTTTCCTTCGTCTAGAGAGCCTCATAGGCTGATACCTCAGGATATCTCTCATCCGTGAACGCCTTCAGCTATAAATGAACTGATACACCAAGAGTGTGAGTTAGGGCAAAATGCCCCAAGAAAAACTCATCTCAGCTTGACCAAGGTCCATCGGAGATAGTGACTGCCGTCAAAAGAAAAAGAGCAAAATAAGGTTCGTTGCGTATATCATTAACAGGAATACCACAAAAGGGAATAGGTGAAAAATTGCCGGTTCTCGATCCCGCATCTGATACTAGACGACCAAGTGAAGGTGTAGAGTGACTTGTGTTGTTTTGTTCGTGATCAAGTGCCACGGAAGAGGAACTGAAGATCTTCTGGGCTGAGCGAGTCCATTGCTGCATCATCAGAATTGATAGTAGAGTTGATCATGTTAGTCTTTTTCTCCTGCAGGAGAACCATACGACTCTCAACCGAGTCCTCGATGCAGAGGCGCGTGATGGTACAAGGCCGAGTCTGGCCGATTCGATGACAGCGATCGGCCGACTGCCACTCTGCTGCAGGATTCCACCAACTGTGCCAAGTTAGTACCGCTTTCCAGATTCAGATTACACGGGTTAACTTACGGGTCGACGATGAACACTCGTGAAGCTTCTGTGAGATTCAAAGCGACACCACCTGCCTTGAGAGACACCAGGAAACACTCCACTTCTGTGTTCTTCATGAAATGATCAATGGATGCGGCCCTCTGGGCTGGTGTCATGCTACCATCAAGCATGACAGTAGTGATGCCAGCACGACGAAGACGCCACTCAATGAGCTGCAACATTGTGGTGAACTGAGAGAAGATGATGGACTTGTGCGATGCGTTATCTGAGCGAAGTCTATGAAGCTCGTGGACGAGCAGCTCGATCTTCGAGGACGACGTCCAGTTCTCCATCTTGATTCGGTTGATGATAGATGACTTCTTGACCAAAGCCTCATCTTGCTCGATCTCAGGCTGCTCCAGGTCGATCGAAAGGGGAATATGACAATGTGGACAGTCTGGCTGCTCCTGAGAGTGGAGATAACTCTTTGCACAAGATCGGCAGAAGTCATGCTTGCACCTAGATCGAATGGCTTCTTCCGCAGGCTCGTCGCAGATGCAGCAAACAATGATGTTCTGACCGCCTTCGCTGTTCTTCTTCAGGATAAGATCAGGATGGTCTGCGACTTGGCGCATCTGCATGATCAGACCAAAGATATTTGCGTAGTTGTTGAGCAGAACACCTTGTGCGACATATGTGTCGAACTTTCGTTGACCATTCGTCATAATGCTGTTCGCAAAATCATTCTCTTCCTCGCCGAAGAACTGACGATCAACATAAATCTCCTTGACAGGTAGCTCCATGGAATTGGTGTGATCCTTCTTGAGCCGGCGTAGCATGATGCGATCAGTCATAAGGCGGAGCTTCTTAAAAGCTTCTGCGCCAGGACCCTGGTTGCCGTACTTCTGAATGGGGTTGAGTAGCTCCTGATTGAAGACAGAAACGTGCCGCATGCCATTATGCTTGCAAGACTTGCACTTGTTATCCTCATCCATAGTCCACTCCATGGCGCTGCAAGGGCATTCCTTGCACAAATAGCAGGAAAATGGACGAATGTTCAGGAAACGAATCAATGAGAAAAACTCTCCGATTCTATTCTGCAGTGGAGTTCCAGTCAGACACCAACGGTAGTTGACCTTCAGCGCGAAACAAGCCTTCGCAGTCATGGTGCTTCGAGTCTTGATGCTATGAGCCTCATCGAGGATAACTCGGTGGAATTGTGTCTGATGAATGATACTCTTCTGCTTGTGAATGCCGTCCTTCCTGCTGAAGCCCTTCTCTTGGTGGCGGTACATGGACTCCAAGCTGTTATAGGACATGATGATCACATCGTACTTCTTGATATCTTTGGGGGTCAAGTTCTTGGACTTGGAGTTCGTGCCGTGGAAGACCAAAGTCTTCAAAGTTCCATCGGTGTACGAGTCAATCTCAGACACCCATTGCATCAAAGCCACGGGTGGAACGAGGACGAGGGACGGTTGCTTGGCCGGCCAGTCGGACATGATAAGTGAGACGGCCTGGATTGTCTTGCCCAGTCCCATCTCATCACCCAGCAGACCACCTCTCCACTCGGTCTGCTCCATGGCCCTCATCCAAGCCAGCCCTTCGAGTTGGAATGGCTTGAGTTGGCGAGAAATGGAGACTGGCTGCTCCGCCTTGCCAGCCTTGAGCACAGGCATGGCCTTGAGATCATCCCACATGGTCTTGAGAATGGGGTGATGCTCCTCTAGGCGGGTACGATCCTTTTTCTGTCGCTTCTTGCTGGCATATGCTCTGTACGCACGACGCGAGTTGGTCACAGAACGAATAGCAGATCGGGATGGAGCAGCGTCAACACCATCATCATCATCGTCATCATCGTCATCGTCGTCATCAGTAGGGACAGACGACAACATCGAGAAGGCAGCAGATGACTCGCCCTCGCTAGTGGCAGGGTCAGCACCAGGTGTTGTAGGAAGTGATGTGGAAGTTGATGCTGCAGCAGCGGAAGACTTCTTAGGTCTGCCGCGTCCTCTCTTAACAGGAACTGGCATGGTGTCAGTGTTTACTATTCAGTACAGGTTTGGGGAGGATGCCATTCTCACCTGGCTCATCGTCTGAAGAATCTGGATTGGTACGTGCAGCAGGCAGCTCAGGCTTCTTACGCTTTGGAACAGTGCCCTTAGCACTCTTCTTCATGGCAGGCTTGATGAATTCTGGTTCATCCAGCGTCTCGTCCAGGAAATCTCCATCAGAGTCGTCGAGAACCATCTTCTTCACACTGCTGACTCTGGTAGATGTGCGACGAGAAGGCACAGCCTTGGCTTTGCCCTTGCCTTTCAGGCTGGTAGATTTGGCAGCAACAGTAGTGCTGCTATTAAGAAGCTGAAACTCATCATCGTCGTCGTCAGACATTAGAGAAATCTTGCCTCTTCGGTCTTCCTCAGCTTGCAGCTGACGGGCAAGTTTTGCGTCAGGAGACGCATCTGAGTAGACATCATCATCACTGTCATCAATCACATCACGCTTGCGCTTTGCAGCAGGCTTGAGCGAGTACATGCTGTTGCGTGCTGCCTTCTCTTGGGCTGCTTCGGACATCTCCATTTTGGAGGTGGTAGCTTTGGAGGAAGATCGAATAAGAACTTCGATCTTGTTACCACGGGATCGGGTAGATCTACCAGACTGGTTGATCTTGTCTGCCTGAATAGACGGTGCTGGTGTAGTGACGTGGCTGGTTAGGGGAGTCGAGTACTCGCTGGCGGACGAGTAGTTTGAGGGAGTCGCAACAGAAGAGAGTGAGTCTGCGCTGGGCGCAGTTGTCGAAGTACGACTAGGTCGTCCTCTAGGTCGCTTCTCCAGTGCGGTAGTGTCTGGCAGGCTGACGATACTGGGTCGGCCACTGCGGGAGCTGGCTCTGGTTGAGCGTCCTGATGCAGAAGGTTCGTCTATTAAGAAACAGTTAATTTGATTACTGTGAAACCAGGAGATTTAGACTTACCAAGATCCTTCGCCAAGGCGATGCTGCCTCGAGTGCTGCGAACCATGTTGTCGAGTGTTGAGTGATGGACCTGGCAGGATTTTGCAGAGGGTTGACGATGAGGAAGAAAGGAGGATGAATTGAAAGGAAAGATGCCGGCAGGTGGGAAAATATAGGCAACAAGTGGAGACCTTGCTATCACGGCTCAGGTACAAAGTTTGGTGGTGCCTTCCTCAACAGTCTGGGAAAGAGCGTGGGTGAGGCAGGTGAGGCAGGTGCAAAGGAGTGAGGAAGGTACCCCAATAAATTAAGCAGTCGACCTTTCCAGAAGGTTGGCAGCAGCGACGAATAACCTAAGGTGAGACAGATCAAGCCCCCGACTCGACTTCAATTCCTCAATTATTTCGCCTCAAACTGCTTCGATGGGTGAGAGGAATGTGGACAGTGGGCCTGAATGAGGAGGCTCGACAAAGGGTAGAGCTTCAGAGCCAGGGTCGAGGGGGGGAAACGAGGCAACAAGGAGCCCCGGGAGTGGCAATCGCTCCTTTCTTTTTTACAAGTCGCGCCCTCCGCGCGATATCACGTGCGGAGCTAGGCAATCCCTGCAGCAGCCTTAAAGTGCCTGCATCGTGCTAATTCAGGGGGCCCATCGTAATCCCCACGGTGCTGTATCACTACTGCGTAATGACGGGAAGCACCACCAGCACCCATGCAAGCTGCCTCTCTCCCTTGCTCCTCCTATCCTTCTAGCCTCAAATGGCTTTCACTGGATAACACCTAGAGCATCAATTACACCCATGAGGCATTCAATTGGAGTTTGGTAAGACCTAAAAAAAGTTATGTTCATATTTTACTACAATCTCCTGGTGATCTCACTGTTTGCCACGGTGCAAATCGAGTGTCTCTTTTCCTGATCTGGGACAAATGTAAGACACGTACGATCGGGGTGATTTGAGATACTACCTGACTACTATGTACGCAGTGAAGGTGTTGGCTGTGAAAGAGCACCGTGCGCAGGCAGGAGGCCAGTACAGTGGGGCACTCACCTGAGCAGGCGTTTCCTTCGCGAGACACAGGCCCCTTTATCTTAATTGATTTTTGCCCCTCCTCGCGACAGAAGACAAAGACTCGCCCAGCTAACGTGCCTGCCTTTAGGCTTCCCCCTGAGGCTAGCACTGGTCTTTCCCACCACCATTCCGTTTTCACAGGTTTTGCGCCGATTCTCTCCACGGCACTCCTCCATGCAAGGTCCACGGAAATTGCAGTCGCAATACCAGATCCTCTATCCATCCATCCGTTTCTGCCGAAAATAACAAACTTCTCATATCCAGCAGAAAAGAGGACAAGATGTACGTATGCCCGGGTCCTGCTCACCTTCACTGCAGAATTTACTCACAAAATCATGCAGGAGTGGCCGCAATCAGAACAACCGACCCGCCCGGTCTATAAGGGGACCGTAAGTGATGCTCAGATGAACACATCCCTCCTTCGAATAGCTTCCGCTAATAAGATCAATCATAGGCAATCGGCTCTGACAGATTTCCTTGCCTCCCACAACATCTCCGCCAATCAGATCCAGCTTGATCACCAGCGTCGACGAAATCAAGCTCAGACAGCCCAGGACCCAAACAATACCCAGCAAGATGGCGGAGACCCCAGCGCCGCAGTCACTGCAGCGGCCAGTCCAGCTGAGGCTGCTGTCGAGACCACAGCCGATCGCAAAGCTCGAGAGAAGGAAGAGAAACGCAAGAAAGACCAACAGAAGGCTCTGGAGAAGATCAAGGCATCCAAGAAGTTCCAGAAGCGCAAAAAGCTGCTGGATAACTCCGACGAGGAAGAGGAACTCGCTCGCCAGTGGTTGGGCACTATCAATACCCCTGCCCCCGGTCAGATGGAGAACTGTGCAATCTGTGGAAAGCGTTTCACAGTAACTCCCTACTCTCGAGCCGCGCCCCAGGGAGGGCTGCTGTGCAATCCTTGCGGTAAAGATCTCGACAAGGACGATGGCGGCAGCGCCAAGAAGAAGAAGAAGACGACTGCTGGTGGTCCGGTTGGCAGACGCCGAAAGATGCAGAGTAACATTCTCGATGGCACATACCACATTGGTGCGAGAAGCTTGATGAATTTATGCATCGACACCCTTGCCAAGAACATCGCCCTTGCTGAGGACTTGGGCGATCTTCCTGCTCCACTGGTTGACAGAATTGCCAGAATTCTGTCCAAGCGTCGTCTCCTAGACCCCAACACCCTGGAGCTTTTCCTGCAGCCCAAAGCAGAGGACGTGCATATCTACGATGGTGCCAAGCTCAGCTCAGAGAACATCATGCGCATCTTCCAAGTTGTGCCTAAAATCAAGAATCTCAAGATTCGGAATGCCATCCAATTCAAGGATGAAGTCATGGATTACGTTATCTCTCGTGATAACATCAATTTGGAGGGTTTCTATCTACATGGTGCCAATCTTGTGAGCGAGACTCACTTCATCAAGTATCTCAAAGCAAAAGGACAGTCTCTGCGAAGCTTCAAGATCTACTACACCGACAAACATTTTGGTAACGAGGCTGTTACTGCACTCAAGGAACACGCTCCTGCTCTGAATCGCCTGAAGATTTGCCACAACCAAGAAGTCAGCGGCGATGGAGTGCGAGAGATCGCAGAACTCAAACAACTGCAGCATTTAAGCCTTGATCTCCACAAATCAGTCCACTCGGACGTCTATGTCCATGTCTTGAAGAATATCGGTGCAGGTCTCAAGACTTTGTCTCTGAAGATGGTCCCTGAGATCGACAACACGGTACTGGATGCCATCCACGCCAATTGTCGTTCACTCGAGAAGCTGCGCATCACAGACAGCGAGGTCATGACTGATGAAGGCTTCGCGCGACTCTTCAATGACTGGGAGAATCCAGGCTTGATCACTCTCGATCTTCAGAAATGCCGCCAGCTGGATTCCGCCCATCCTCGAGCCAATCCTGATAACCTTGGACTTTGTTCTAACGGCTTCCGTGCATTGATGGAACATTCAGGAAGGACCCTACGCCACCTCAACATTCATGCGTGTCGACATATCTCTCGTGAAGCCTTTGAGGAGGTCTTCAGTGCTCAGAGTGTCTATCCTGACCTTCGGGATCTTGAGATCAGCTTCTGTGAAGAAGTCACCGACTTCATCGTTGGTAGCATCTTCCGCAGCTGTCCCTATCTCCGCGAAATGAATGTCTTTGGGTGCATGAAGGTGAAGGATGTCAGAGTGCCTCGAGGCAAGATCTTGGTTGGCGTGCCCAATGCTGTGGGCATGCAGATTGACGGTGATGCTTGATCTCGGCTCGAGCAAGTAGCTCCATAGGCATACACACGATATGTCTCAGTCTCGATATGGGGGACGGAAGACAAGTCTTTGACTAGGGGCAAATTTTGCTGTATCAAAATTAAGCGGGCTACCACAGATTCATCAGGTCTGAGGCGGCATCGCTGATAGGGATAAATTATAAGGTATGGAAGCATTCTAGACGAAGCTAGGACACCGGTGTTCTTGGGATTATGTACAAATTATGGCTTTAGCAAGGTGTATCAGTTGTTTCACAACCATCGCAGGTAGACACGAATGAAAGTATAATCACTTCTATTAGAGCCTCCACATCGAATGGCATGATAAATGAAATCGTACTACAATACAATGTTCTTCAGTAAATTCACGGCTTGATAAATGTTGTCAAATTGACGTTGCAAGGTGCAGGAGTAGAGGCTAGGTATGTAGAGAAGAGCTTCAGCCTATCACAGTGCTGGGATCGCGGCAGATGGAGCTCCGCCAAAAACTTCGTCCCAAGTGATGCGGCCCGAGCTCTCAACACCAAGAGACATTCATACAGCACACCTCGCCCAACTCGTTCGATCAATTGCTCCCTGGGAGGGAAGTCAGGGTATTCCTAACACGAGAGACAGAGGCGACATCTCACCCACCGCGGCATCGAACTCTCGAAGACCTTCATCGCAATCGCACATCGGTGCCGGCTCCACACAGGATCATGTCGCGCCTCTTCTCCCAGGCCATGCTGCGCACTGCGGTCAGGAGTCTACCGCAGCAGCCTGCTACCGCAAGGTGAGTCTATTTCATCGATCAACTAGTCTTGAGGCTGCTAACAGTGATGAACAATAGGGCTTTCTCCTCGTTACCGAGCCTGCGACCAACTCTTCCTGGCGCGAGTTCCTCCACCATCTTCAGACCATCATGCCCCAGCCTTCTCTCGCGACTACCCACAGCCACATCCACAGCAGCCAGCCCGACAGCTGCAGGAGCGCCGCTAGACCTGGTGCCAAAGACGTCGATCTCGGCGCACCCGGCCTTTGGAGGCATGCAAATCCGATGTGGTCCACGACCGAACATGAACCGGCCCAGCCGACTGATCCAGAAGCGGCGGCACGGCTTCCTGAGCAGGATACGGACGAACAAGGGCACCAAGACGCTGAAGAGGCGGAGGGCGAAGGGCAGGAAGCGGCTATCCTACTAGGATGTGCAGAGGTTGAGACCAAATAAAAAGACGAGAGTGTAACCATACGTGTATCATATTGGGACAGAAGAGTTCAATGGACAGACCGCACAATCTCCCGCATTTTACGAGCAGCATCAAAGTCTGCTGTTATACATAAGAGTCGAGTTGGCGGTTCCTGGGCGCTAACGCTTCGGATCGTTATTCAGAGAAGAGGACTGGTGGCATATAGTAGGCAGCCATGGCACCACATATTGAGATATACTTTGTCTACAAACACTAAGTAATTTGATCCTTTCGAAATACTTTCAAAAAGGAGTGAATTATGCATTATCCTTAGCAACGAGGTCCAGATAGCCCCCGTCTCATATACACGCTATATACAGTCGTCACATCATCAACGGCATCACACACATACTGCACAGTAACAACTCATACACCACAGCATTCTGTTACACGGGACTATCCAGGCCATCCTCGCAGCTCAACTCAGCCGCATCGCACGCCAGGAACAGAGCATCACTCGCTTCGCCGACCCAGATTTTATACGCCCCGTCCACCTCGGGTACTACCCAGTTCTGCAACTCCACGTCCCAGACACTGACATCCTTCCTTGTAAGACTCAGCTCGATCGTGGTGCTCTCGCCCGGCGCCAACGTGGCCGTCTTCTCAAAGTCACGGAGCTGGATGATGGGAGTCTCGTACGGGATGCCATCCGGGAACTGCACGTACGCCTGTGCGACCGCCTTGCCAGAATAATCGGATCCCGTGTTGGTCACCGTTACGCCGACTGTGTAGGCTACGTCCCACAGTGCTGCGTTACCGCCTTGAGCGCCACCGGATGCCGGCCCGGCCTGCTGCTTCGTGCTGTAGCCATCAGGGTAGCTGTACGTATTTGTGCCCGCGACCGCAGCTGCGGCGTCGGCGTCTGACTTGCTCAGCCAGCTGTACAGATACCGCCAAACCTTGCTGAAGCCTGTGGGCTCGTAGGCCTCCGAGGCGGCCGGAATTGCGGAGCTGTACGCCGGAGTAGAGCCTCTGGCTGGTCGTGCTGGAGGAACTGTGCTGAGCTGGGTGACTTTGGTGATCTTTGCGTCGGTGTAGCTGAAGTTGGTGTACGACAAGCCATGACCAAAAGCGAAACGCGGCTTGGTGCCTGCTTTATTGAGGGCACGATAATCAATGTAACTGGATGTGTCAGCAACAGGATCAGACAAGCGGTCATTGCAATAGACTCACAGTCCTTCAAGAAACGTATCTTGCGGCTGACCGAACGCAAACCCAGTCAGCTGTGTACTATCAGGGTAGTCGTCTTCGGAAACGGGGATGCTGTAGGGCAAATGGCCACTGGGAGAAACAGTGCCAAAGAGTACATTTGTCAAAGATTCGCCAGCCTCCTGACCTGGCAGATGAGCAAAGACGACTGCCTTGACGGAGGGTAGCTCAATCCACGGCTCAAGTACGAGCGGGCCAACGGTGTGTACAATCACGACGACGTTGCTGTACTTTGCTGCTGCCTGCTGGACCAGCTTGTCGCCACTATGCCATGCAGCTAATCCCGCCGAGTTGCGGTCTCCAGCGTTACCCTCAACGGTATACTGATTCTCGCCGGAGTCCGAAGAGATGAAGACTATGGCGACATCATCAGCCCCTGGAGTAGGGACAGACGGGAATGAGTCGGTATTATAGTACGTAACATCGGCAGCGTTGCGCTTGAGGGCATCGATCGGAGCATCAAAGTATGGGTAATTAGCTGTTCCACTACCCCAGCCCATACCGAGCGTTCCCTTGTTGCAGTTTCGGTCGGCACAAGCATTTGCTCCATCAGGATTGACCGCAGCATCCGTGCCAAAGACTTTTAAGGGAGCAGAAGTAGACAGTGGTAGCAAATTGCCATCATTCTTCAGTAGAGTGATTGCATCTTGCGCAACTTGTCTAGCAACTTTGTAGTGATCTGACTGAACGTTGACGTACTGGTTGACAACACCATATGGAGAGAAAAGAGCAGCCGGGTGGAGTGGGCCAGTGGCATCAGCCGTATTTGAGGAAAAGTTAGGAGGCGGATAATCCTGATCCTGGCCCATCTGGTACCAAGCTGCGACAATTCTCGTTGCCATGTCATTGATCCTGTCCATGGGTACTGAGCCATTCAGGGCTGACCGGGTCAGCTCGTACATCCAGTAGCTGTACCCAAATAGGGGAATCATCGTATCTCCTGGCATAGCCATGTCAAGTCCAGCTAGTGCAGAGGGCACACCAGAAATCTGGGCGAGCCAGTCGGACATCACGAACCCCTGGAATCCCAACTCCTCTTTCAGAAGATAATTCTGCACGTAGCTATTCTGACTAGCGGCAGAGCCATTGATCTAGAGGGTTTAGCACTGTAGGTATTCATAGGCATACTTGCACACTTACAGCGTTGTATGAGGACATACACGCGCCCACGCCAGCTCGAACAGCTTCCGCAAAGGGCCAGAGATACAATTCATGCATTGTTCGGTCATCTAGCAAATCAGTATCGTGCCTCGGTTAGGACAGGAGATTAGGTACCAATGTTAGCGCTGTAGGCCGGTTGGAGAATGTTATACATTCGCCACATCTCTTGCTCGTTGCCAACCAGGTGCTTGATCGTTGCAATGACACCCTGCTCCTGAACTCCCTTGACAGTAATAGAGCCTCCAACGCCTTGCAGAACTGGGTCGGCTCCGAATCCCTCCCAATTTCTGCCACCACGGGGTTTTCTGCCCAGGGGCCCGACAGTTGGACCCAAGTAGATGTTCGCACCCTTCCCCCTGAACTCTTTGCCCATCGCAACAGCCCTTTCATACATCAAAGACTTATCCCAAGTCGCACCAGTGGTGATGCCAGCGGGGAATGCAGTCACATTATCTGTAGACCGCACACCAAGCGCGGAGTCCTGGAGGCAAAGTTGAGGAAAGCCTACCCGAGGCGCACCGCCCGTATTGCCAACACATGCGTCCATGAACAGACCTGTACCAGCTGTGATGTTTGTCTTCTCAGCCAGCGTCATAGACTCGACTAGGGCCTTCGCCTTCTCATAGCTCTCGCTCCAGTCCGGAGTCCACCCGCCATGCGGCGTTGGGTAGTATGGTTTGGCAACGAATCCAGCGGGGACGGCATCACGGCGATGAATGCTACCGGCCAAAGAGACAGTAAACAGGCAACTAACTAGTAGGGCTAGCCGGCAGATATTAAGGATAGGAGCCATTGTATACATTATAAATTAGAAACGGGACACTGCCCTGTCCAAATCACAAGGAACAGCACGCAGCAAGACACATCAATCAGGAGATGGAAACATCTGGATACCTACCTGTTTAAGTAAATCTACGCTCGTTACGCGGAGAGATCTCCGTCATGATGCCCGTATCAAACGGTTGGTAAATAGCCGCATAGTGGTCGCCAAGTATGGGCGCATTGCTCTGGGCCCCGTCCGCGAGATTGTGAATGTCCATCGTTAGTGGGCGATCAGCTTGGTCGTCCCAAAGTGTGGGCAACTGCCACTGGGCAGTTGTAGGCCCGTCCGCCACCCTCATTCGACGCTTACCTCGGGAAGGGAAATGACTAAACCAGAGAGATAGTGTGGGGATATCTTTGTTGTATCATCAAGTGTTGACTTTCAGAGTACAAGCCGGAAGAGGGGTCATTACGTGATAAGAAGAGAGCGAAGCCGCAAGGCAGTCTTGACTTGCCGAATTAGTGTTTTTTGTCCTATCTTGACAAGTCGCCTGATAACTCAATTCTCGACTTCACTGGCCATCTTCGGCGCCTTGATAGAGGTTGTAAGGCGGGGAAGATCGCAGTCCAAGATCGCAGAGTTGCAGTCGGTCCGTCTCGGGGACAGATTCAGCGATAGACCAGGAAGCCCTTCGGAACTTGTGAAGATCTCGAAGTCTCGCTTCGCTGTGCGTCGCTTTAGATGCTGTCACAAGGATGAAGAGTCGCGTAGAGAAGGTGGAGGAAGCTCCCTTGGCCGAGGCTTGCAACTCGAGATGGGGTCCACGGAGCCCGAGCGAACGGTCGCTAAGAGAGGTCGCCGGCAAGCTTGACCGCAAGGTATGATCGGATGTTGGGTCTTGACGCGTTGCTACTGTGGGCCGGGAAGGATCTTGGCTCTTGATGCTTCCTTGATCTGCCCTGATCTAGGCAAATAAGTAGATCTTGAGTCCCGAGATGGTAGCCCTAAACGGGTGAGCTGCCGAAGAACGCAACGCTTCGACCCGCCGTTGAGCCGGGGTCACTTTCCCTTTCTGATATAACAGAGGTGAAAATGGGCGGTCTTGGCCTCGAGTTTGAAAGGTATAGCGGATGAATTAAGGCTTAACTGTGGCATATATGTGTCATTAAACCTCTCAAGTTCGACAGGAACGGGTCGCGCTATTGAAATCGGTAATAGGGCTGTCACAATTTTTATATTTGAAGGCGCGTAAGGAATGTCTCAAGCAGTTCATCTGAGTCTACTCCAACTAACTAGTCACATATCACTACATTTAACTATACTTCTTATCGAGTTGAATCATACGAACTGACTTCGAGTCCATACAATCTTCTCAGCAGCAGAATCATAAGCAAGCACCAGCCCGAAATGTTGAGAGAAGTGAAGTGGTGACTTCACCGACAACCTCCACGGGCAGTAAAGACTCAGTGGGGGTGTGGCCGGGGTCTCATATCCACACCCACTTCAATGCTCCAATTTCTCCAGGTAATGCAACCCCAGTTCTTAACTGCCGACCATGTTGACGAAGATTTCGATCCACGTGGCTTGGCTTTCCACCACCTCCGAGCTCGCGTGCTGCTTTCTGCTCTGTCGTAATCCTGCTTTTTTCGTGTGCGCGTTCCGCTCACTAGAGTACTCACGGAGCCGAGAGACTCTAGCTCCAATATCCAAAAGACACGAGGTTGAGCCAAAGCGCCTATATTCCAGTTTGGGAAACAGACCCGGCCACCCTTTTGATCGGCTGTGGGCGATGCGGCTTAATATATTGACCGGGCGGGCTTAAGTGCCATCCCACCACTTTGTTTTGGAAAGACGGTCTGCTGGCCAGTCGTCGGTAGGCCGGACTTCGTCACTCTGTTTCGCAACCGCAGATCGCATGGCGAGAGGCGATGGCGAGCATGTCTATCACCAGGCACAAGCGTGTCTGTAGACTGCCGCAGCTGCAGGTCAGCTACACAATGTAAGTAGAAGAGAGGGGGAGTTCCCCTTCATCGGGTCGCAGTGGATGCGATGTGACCTGCAAGACATCGCCGGACCCGCCAGTTGAGACTCCAGCTCCGAACCCCAGCTTTCTCGACAAGGACTTTCCGAGCTATTGGATTGCGGGGAAATGAGACAGACCGTTATTGCGAATGCATACAGATCTCGCTAGGCGAGGTTGGCGCCTGCAGTTGCAGTACTCGTTGAGTTGACCTGGAAGAGGAAGGCGGTTGTTGTTCTAGTTATAAGACCTCGTCCGTTGCATTCTCGCACAGGAAATCTCCTTGAACGAAGTCCATCATCTTCTCTTTGGTCCGGAACTGCAGTCTTCGTATAGTAGCCATTCATCTCCTTTGCCAAACAAGATGAAGTCACTTAGTTGGGTACTGGTTCTCGTTGGTTCCGTCCTCGTGACGGGATCACCTATCGAGAAGCGAGATATTGAAGGGCGAGGTAAGAAGCTTGTCGCCCTGTTGGAGGACGACTAGCTGACCGATCCCGGATAGCTACAACAGTTACAGCAGCACAATTGTCCCTTTTCGACTTCTATGCGCAATGGGCTGGTTCCGCCTACTGCAATAGCGACGCCAGTCCAGGGACGAAGGTCACTTGTTCGGATGATGTCTGCCCGGACGTTGAAGCCGATGGGCCTACTATTGTTGGCACGTTGCAGTACGCTCGGCCTCTGCCCATTCTTTCTTCCTCGAGACTAATGTGAGAAGTAGCAATAATACAGCCACGAACATTGAAGGTTTCGTTGCTGTTGACTCTGTCAAGGAGCAAATCGTGCTGTCCTTCAGGGGCTCAGACTCGATTCGCAACTGGATCGCGAACTTCATCTTTGCTCAGGTTGCATGTGACATTGTGGCTGGCTGTCTGGTGCATGCTGGATTTTGGACAGCATGGAACGAGGTCAAGGCAGATGTAGTCACCCTTGTATCGGCCGCAACAGCTGCAAATCCGTCATACAGCCTTGTGATAACAGGCCATTCGCTGGGAGGCGCAGTTGGCACTATCGCCGCTGCGTCCCTGCGCGCGGCAGGCTATGCCTGTGATTTGTACACATATGGCAGCCCGCGTGTGGGCAACGCCGAGTTCGTGAATTTCGTGATCGCGCAGTCCGGCGGCGAGTATCGTGTTACACACGCAGATGATCCTGTACCCCGGCTGCCGCCCATCCTGCTCAACTACCGACACACATCGCCGGAATACTGGGTAAAGACAGAGTCGACAGACAATGTCAGCACGGCAGATGTTCAAGTGTGCGAGGGCACGGCCAATGTGCAGTGTAACGCTGGTACCCTGGGCTTGGATATCGACGCGCACAGAAGTTACTTCACTAATATATCCGCGTGCGGTTCGGATGTCACACAATTCAGGCGGAGAGATGGCGAGATCAGCGATGAGGAGCTTGAGGAGCGCTTGAACATGTTCGCCCGTCTAGATGTTGGCTATGCGGCAGCATTGGCGGAAGCCAGTGCTACGGCTTAAGGAGAGCGCCGAGGGAAAAGGGGGATCGTACATTTAAGTGGCGTCTTTGAGCACGGGCAGGTTTGCATTTGGAAGGAGTATCAACTTGGGCGTTATGAAACATTTTGTGATTTTGCTTTTTATAGTACACGAATAACGACCAAATCCAGGAGCCACCCTTCTAAGGTCTCAGGATGGATTCCCACTTTGCCCATACAGGTCTTCCAAAGTCTAAGAACAGATCTATAGTATTGACCTATAGCTCATCTCTGCCGGTGACTTTCGCAACTCCATCCTCTGACTCCTCCCCCTTAACATCAGTCTTTCCAACGATCTTCTCCGTTGGCTGCCACTCCAGTGCTTTAAGTCTCTCCGACAAGATAGGGTGGGAGAAGTGGTAGCTCGCGTACAGCGAATCAGCATCCATGGTGCTCAGGTTCTGGATTTGGAGTTTGATCAGTGAGCGTGCCAGGTCGGTCGAATAGCCCAGGTTGCGCGCAAACCCGTCAGCCTGGAATTCGTATTTACGGCTCAGGATGTTCATCAATAGCTTGATGACCATGTCCATTGGCGCAAGAGCATCAGAAAAGAGGATGAAGCCAATGATAATGGGGTGCTCCTTGACAAAGCCGAAGTCCGAGTACAGAGAGTTGTTGTTGATGAATACGGAAAAAAGGAGGAAGATATAGAAGAAGTGAGCCTATGAATGAGTGAGCAGTGGTATCTCCAAGAAGTAGAGGGAGTGAGCTGACCTGAGAGATTCCGAACAGTCTTGTGGTATGACCCAGGCTCCAATGGCCTAACTCGTGAGCGAGGACAGCGACGACCTCCTGTGTCTCGCTCTTTTCAATCAAAGTATCATAGATGACGATGTGCTTCTTCCAGGGCATTCCGAAGAAATAGGCGTTGCTGTGCGCACTCCGCTTACTACCGTCAATGACGTACAACTCGTGGAGCGGGAAGTTCAGCTTCTTAGCCAAGTCCTCAACGCCGGTCTTGAGCTTGCCAGGTTCCAGGGGAGAGAGCTTGTTGAACAGAGGCAGGATAGCAATCGGATAGACAGTGATCATGAAGACTTGAAGGCCAGCACCGAAGAGCCACAGGTAGTAGAAGAACTGGTTACCGGTCTTTTTCACGATGGCAAGGAAACCAGACAGGATAGGCGGAGCGAGAACGAAAGCTAGCATGTTCGACTTGATCATATCCGTCACGAAAACTTTGGGTGTCTGCTTATTGAAACCAAACTTCTCTTCGAGGACAAATGTATGGTAGATAGAGGCCGGAAGGGACAGAATCTGGTGGATGATGATGAAGGATAGCACGAAGACGATCGATTGCGAGATTTCGCCGGTGAAACGAGCAGGCGCCCAGCGAAGAAGCAGGTCGCCTGTCCATGACCATAGCTTTGGGAGGACGTCGAAGTGAATGAACGCGATGTTCTGGATTTGACCGTACAGACCGTTGACGAACTCGAACTTGGCCTTCGCTCGGCCATAAGCCTGGCTCTTGTCGAAGACTTCCTGAGAGACCTCTTGTTCAAGAACCTTGGGCGGCTTGGCCTTTTTCAGCACCTGGTACTGTCGGAGGGACAGAAAGCCCTCAAAGACATATTGCGCGACCGAAAAGCCAATGATGAGCTTCTTCCACGGGAAGAGCGGACGGTCGAGGAATCGCGCAAGGCGCTGAGGGACCAATTGTGATTAGCTTCGAGGTAGCAGGGCTGGAGTAGGGAGACAAACCTGTAGGATATCCATGACGAATGCCTTGGGCGCTGAAATTGAAAATGGATGAAGGAGAAAGGAATGGGAAAGAGAGAGCTCCGATGGCTCCTCGTGTGTAAATTGAGGAGGATGTCAAGGACACGGATTGGCACAGCTTCTGAAATGCTGGCGCGTTTGAACAAGCAAGCTGTCCTTGCGCCCGCCCTCAGCTAAGGTACATTAGCCGGCCTGTCATGCCGCAGCACCCGCTGCAGCCTTACCTAACCCCACACTAACGTCCTGTACTCTGTCGCTCACTACTGGTGCAACCTCCAGAGGTTGTCGCACTTCACTTTCGTCGCAAAAGACCACCACATCTTGCTGGCTCCAACGAGAGCTGCAAAAGTTTGACCATTTGAGTTACTTCATGTTATTTGAGCACTTCAACATTTATTATCATGGATAAGAAATATCTTTCGTTGGGTATCTTATTTTGCCTAATTTACAGAAGTAATTGCTCGTTATCTACCATGTCTCCATTGCCAGTGTTTCCTCATTTGCCAGTACTTGGCCATGTTGTAGTGCCTTTATTTGGGACAGTTTCAGGATGAGGGCTCATTATAGTCCCGTGAGAGTTCTCATCATCTCTCGATTTTTAGAGTTGGTGCACCTTGGGGGCTCTCAGATTCGCTCGAATCCTCTCGAGAAGTTGCTCTCTTGTGTCTTTGTTTTGTGGGTAAAGATTTCTCTATATCTAGAGGTTAGATCTCCACAAGATGCATCGCCTCTCACAGAAGCTACTTACCGCAGCGAGCCACCGTCGCATCTCCTCTTTTGACCAGGTGTCTGGGTCTCCTGTTGGATCAGCCTCCTTTGGGAAAATGTCACCGCCATAGATTGACCATAGTGCTACTCCAGTCACTAGACCAGTAAATGCTATAGTGAATTGGTTAGAATCGCTCATCTAAGTTGTCTAGTGGCAGCGCTGCCTCCAGACTGCCAGAAAGGAAATCCAGAGACTCGATCCCTTACCGAGAAACATATTCTATAAGGTACATTAGTGCATTCATATAGCAACGGCACTTGTGGTGGACGTACTTTAGATCTCATTGCAGTATCCAGTGGAGTCGGCATGATGGGCGAGCCTGGAAACAGAAGGTGTAAGTGAAGCTTGGAGATGATGGCTTAGGTGCTCCAAAGTTGGGTAGAAAAGTCGAAGAAATGACAAGACAGACCTTCTGTGTGATATACTGTCTTAACAATGGCCACGCTGTACTTATGAGCAATACCTAGCCAAAGAACTGAAGAAGATGGTAACTTGGGAGCTTATGACATTCCTGGCCAACGGTGACGTCTCCTAAGCTGTGATAGTTAACGCCACATGTCCGCTTCCATATGTCGCCGCGTCAGCCACACCGAGGACGCAGACTCGATTGATTGCCTATCTGGTGGCCCGAGCTTCTTCCCACCTGGCAAGTGGGTCCCGAACTTTTTACGCCCACAAAACAATTGCCAAAAATTCGTCGAAGACAGCACCTCGAGATCCACGATCGCATACCGAGACACCCAAACGTCAACGCCCGATCACCACCGCCAAAATGCCTCAGGAAGTCAGCGACATCAAGAAGGTTTGTGCTTCTGATTTTAAGGAAGGCTTTCGGGCAATAGCGCTGACAATTGCTCTAGTTCATCGAGATCTGCAGGCGGAAGGATGCCTCTTGTACGTGTGGATGATTAACAAGTCTAGAGACTTGAAGCGCTTTGTATTCTAACGAATTCCCGAACGTATAGCCGCCCGGATCAAGAAGAACAAGAAGGCCTCTTCCATCAAGTTCAAGGTCCGATGCCAGAAGCACCTCTACACTCTGGTCCTCAAGGATGCCGAGAAGGCCGAGAAGCTGAAGCAGTCGCTTCCTCCTAGTACGATTCACCCGTCATCGCGACATTACAGACGAGAATGAGAGAACACGAGACTGACAAATTGGAAACAGGCCTGGCTATCAAGGATGTCACCGGCCGTGAGAAGAAGGCCAAGTCCTCATAAGCGGAGCGGACTGTTGAGCGGGGGCAAGCGGGTGAAGGAAATTCGATGGCATGAAACAAATACATGGCATTATGTCCGGTTAGACGGCTGGACTCATGATGGGGCGTCAGGGATACCTTGCAATTGAACCTCAGGCCAAAATGGCTACCGTCAAGAACGTCTATTGAGTTGCGATCGCATGTGTGGTGCATGTGTACATGGCTGCTATACCGGATTGAACCTTTCCTCCCCTTGGGCTTTGAGCGTCCCCTATTCACTGGATCTTCTGGTAGTGCCAGACATCGAATCCGATCACCAACTCAGAAATCTCGCGATATTTGGAGAAATTGGGGCTCTGCGCAAAGTCCTTGTGGGCTTGAACAGTTGGCCATCCAATGAATAGAAGCCATTCTTCGTTGGCCTCGGCGTCCTTCTCTATCCTCCAACCCCCTTTAACAACATACGGTTTAGCATAGTCCTGCACGACCCATTTGACCTCGTTGAACTTGGCCATGAACGCCTCCTTGTTGTCTGAGGATACAGTATGGCGCCCAACACTGATAACTGGACTATCCGACAGCTGTATCCGGTTCGGCTCTTGCGAACTAGCGAATATCTCGCCCTCCACGTGGAACTTCTCTGCCTTGGGCCTCTGGCCTTCAAGTGCGATATGAGACATGATCTTAACATGTCCACTTCTGCCCTCCTCGCTTGCGCCCCACACCCGTTGCTGGCTTGTCTCTGGCCAGTTCTGAGTTATAAGTAGATGATTTGGCCTTTCAATCTCCTGCCATTTGGTGGCGGCGGTGATCTGCCCTGGAAAGCTCGCCTCAACCCACGCATCTTGTATTGTTTGAGCCTCGTTGAGTACTGAACGAAACTCGTCTGTAATGGTCTCCGCCGTTGACTCTAGGAATACCACCTCTGTAACGGCCATTGTGGTGTCTATCTCTCGGGCATCAACCAGACTATGCTGTTATTGACCTTGCCGTAGAAGAAGATCACAGTGAGTGGTTCCGAAAACTGTGGCAGAGCAAAGGCTATTGCACCTCAGTGATGAGTTATACACAAATTCAAGAGGAAGCTTCAGGGAGGACACTACATGTCAAGCAGCTTCACTATGATATCTACTCAATGAACCACAGACCGCATAGGCTGTCAGACACCATAAGTAGAAACTCCGCCTGGATTTCATCGAGATCGGGACGGAGCGGGTCGCTGCTGACTACGGCGCAGCTGCTGCGTCTTCGGCGTATTACGGGTCATCCTTCACTCGAACAAATCGTGATTCAAAAATTACTAGATCTGGATAATCTTGAAAGAGCATCCGGTAGGACACGGGATGACTCAAAAATAAGGAGTGAAGCGAAAGTGAAGTGTGTCTCTGTACAGATAGCGACTAACATGACTTCCCTCACCCGAGTGCACAGGCTTAGACGCTCATTTAGCAGGTCAGCTCTGGATTGGAGCCGTTGTATACGGAAATAGAGATGACCTTTGAGGAAGAAAATAGCTGTGATATTGGCTCCAGTCAACTTAGGAGTGAAACAGCGCCACTCAACAAATGTCCGCTGTTGAGCTCCATCAGCTGCTGCAGCATGGGAACGAGCTGCACAGGTTGCCAAGCGTTGGTGACGACAGTTCAGCTGGACCAGGGGCGTCCTCGCGGTTCCCGGGCTGAGCCGATTCCTCGCTCTGGAAAACCTGGGGAGCTGCAGGGGACCTACCCAGGTAGGCGAACCGTCTTACACACCGCAAGTTCTGTAGATGTTCTCATAGTTTCCAGTGCAATACCGGTAGGAGGATTGGAAGAGTGTGGTGTCGTGCAGAACGGCTCACCAATTGCAAGTTGAAGACAGCTACCTAGGTAGTTGAACTCTGTCGTGTGCCGCCCCCGGCCACTGCAGTGATTATACCCAGTATCTTCAACAGCCCCTGTTCCACCCCTCAAGACATGCTTATTACGTGCCTTAACTCTACTCCTCCGCTAGGATAATAATTGTTACTTTGGCAAGGGTATTATTACCTCCTCAACACGAGATCACTACCTTTTGTAGAGTTGATAGACTCATAGTAATAAACAGGATATTCAAGAGCTTGGTGAGTATTACGAGTCTCAACATCGAGTATCTTTACCATTCAAGAATTAACATTGATTACCCTAACAGAGGAGTATACGACTAGCGTTGGGACGCTGCAAAAAGAAGCGTCGTAAGCCCTGCTGCACCCTGCAAGTCAAGTCAATTAAAGCCAAACTCACCCAGTCCATAGCTAGGTGCCCAGAGACAACCTCCTCCTGGCCACAGATGAGCAATATCTCATGTATCACAGTCCAACCAAAGCTTCCGTAACCGGCGTTGGGCAAGACTCACCTAGAGTTGCTGGTTGCTGGTTGCTGGTTGCTTTGCTTGCTGACATTGGATGCCGTCCTGCCAATTGCCTGTCAAGCGCACCCGCACACAGTGACGCTGGAAAGTGACACACAGATGACCCACAGGAGGCGTGACCGGCAGGGCCAACCGCTAGTGACGCCCAGCGCCCCCCTGCAGTGTACTGCGTACGGTGCCTGTGTACCAGGATAGCTAGGCTTCCCACATTGCCGGAGCGATGGACGATCGCCGCTTGCACCCTCTTTTTCTCATGTCCTTCTGTACTATGTAAGGTGAAGTGCCCTACTGCACAGTAGCTTGGACCGGAATAGGGGCAACCTCCAATCAAACTGCTGGTAAAAAACATCACGCCCCCCTGTTTGTAGTGTAGCTTTCCAACTCCTCACTACTCGACTCTACCTAGACTCTACCTAGACTTTCCCCAGGCCGGTCGACGTTGTTTTCGGGCTCGCATCCGCGGGAGGGCCCCAACAAAGCGGCAGAAAATCAAATTGCTTCTTCTATTAGTCTACCTAGGCCCGGAGCTACGACCCTTTCCCCGTCTTTGGTTTGTTCTGGACTGGACTGCTCTCTCCCCCTAAAGGAAGGCACGACTCAGCGCGATCAAATATACCATTCCCAATTACCAACCCAAAGCATCATACCACACCCTACCCTACCATGGGAGGAAAGAACGGAGGCCGTGAGCTACCTATTTACAGTTGACCTGCTTCCAACTTGATGTCACCTGGCTTCTCGCCTACTTTCGCAACACCAACTACTCGACATTACTTCACTCCACTCGGCATTTACTTGCGCGACAATCTCAACTGCAGCCTCCCGACTTGAAGAACCCGAGCACCAACCCTCTCCGCTGTCCAGCAATCACTTCACCTACCAGTTCCTCCTGTCTCGTTCTCGTTTCTGCGCTTTGCTTATAAAGGGAGACAACAATCGATCTGCGACCGCAAAGCTTGTCATCTACCCAAACAGTCTGCGTTATAGCATGACTGCTGGTCAGAGACAGTGACTCCATACGCGGACGAATAGCTTCCTCTGGTTCCAAATACCACCACCCAGCCTCTCCGTATCCTACTCAGGGCTACAAAGATGACTAGCGGAGTCAATGGCATACGCAATGGTGTCGAAGGACTCCATGTCAACGGCAATGGCAACGGTGTCGCTCGCAAGAAGATGGATCGCAAACAGTCAAGCCCCATGATGCCCGCCTTCATGGTTTCCGCACCAGGCAAGGTCATTGTCTTTGGCGAGCACTCTGTGGTACACGGAAAGGTAATTGATGTTGCTTTGCAATTCGATTCTTCCTATCTAACCTGAATACCATATATAGCCCGCAATCGCTGCCTCTATCTCGCTTCGATCCTATCTCCTCGTCACAACCCTCTCCAAATCAAAACGAACAGTGTCCTTGATATTCCCCGACATCGAATTGTCCCATACATGGAATATTGATGACCTACCGTGGTCCACGTTCTCGCATCCCTCGAAGAAGAAGTACTACCACGATCTAGTCACGAGTCTCGATCCCGAGCTGGTTGCTGCCATGCAACCACACCTTGTCGGAGTATCGCCCGGCATACCGGAGCCTGAGCGCAAAGTTCACCAAAATGCAGCGGCATCGTTTCTATACATGTTCCTGTCCCTAGCAAACCAGAACTTTCCAGGATGCCTCTACACACTACGCTCGACGATACCAATCGGCGCTGGGTTGGGCAGCAGTGGGTCAATTGCGGTATGTCAGGCGGCGGCGCTTCTCATACAATTGCGGGCCCTTTCAGGCCCTCACCCAGATCAACCGGAGGAGGAGGCACGTCTACAGATTGAACGCATTAACAGATGGGCTTTTGTCGGAGAGATGGCAATACACGGTAACCCGTCGGGGGTTGACAATACTGTATCTACACAGGGCAAGGCAGTAGTCTTTCAACGGACAGACTACAACCGCCCGCCGTCTGTCAAGCCGCTGTGGGACTTCCCCGAGCTGCCACTTCTTTTGGTAGACACGAAGCAAGCCAAGTCGACAGCACACGAGGTGGCCAAGGTGGGTAGGCTCAAGGACGCCCACCCTAAGCTTGTGGGCACCATTCTAGATGCTATGGACAAGGTCTCGAGGAGTGCAGAGGCACTTATCAGTGAAGCCGACTTTGACAGCGAGGAAGTGGAGAGTCTCGAGAGGATGGGTGAGCTGATGACGATCAACCATGGCCTCTTAGTGTCCTTGGGGGTGTCACATCCCCGCTTAGAGCGGATCCGGGAGTTGGTGGATCATCAGGGTATCGGTTGGACAAAGCTGACCGGGGCTGGTGGTGGTGGCTGCTCGATAACATTGCTCAAGCCGGGTACACCTCGTCCAAAGTTGGAGCGCCTGGAGAGGCAACTAGAGGACGAAGGATACGAGAAGTTCGAGACAACACTTGGTGGTGATGGCGTCGGTGTGCTGTTCCCGGCTGTGATCAAAAATGGTATGGAGGAAGACGATGAAGAAGGCGGCATGGAGATTGATCTGGAGAAGTTCCTTGAAGCCGACGGCAACGATGGCGTTGAGCGGTTGGTTGGTGTCCAAGGGGGAGGTGGAGAAAGAGAGGGATGGAAGTTCTGGAGGGTGGAAAGCCACTAAGAACAGTCTTGGGGCATAATCTGGTAATCTGTCTGGAGGTTGGCATACTAATGCTATGGGAATGCGGTAGATGAAAGGGCAAGGACACTTGAAGGACTTTGGTAATCTGTACTATACTGGGAAGGGCTTGACAGCCAGATTATGTCCTGTGTTGTGGTCCAACATCCCACGCTTAGCTCTGTAGATGCGCTACCTTACGGTAACCCGTACCTTAATTACCACGTAATGCAATAATCAATAAGTTAAATGTAATGCGGTAAGAAAACAAAGAAAGTCATCGAGCCCTGGTTAATATTGTCTATTTAGTGTCTTAGTATTGTAGTGACTCCATGTGTTAGCCCCGCACAAGCTTGTGAAAGAGTGTCTCCAACGAGCTACCTTTTTCGTCACCCACGTATGCCCCACCATCATTCGTACAATTATCAGGAGCTTCGCTCTCCCATTGCCTTGTTCAGTCTTCAGGAACATCATGCCCCCCAAGGCAAAGGCCCAAAAGCCCAAAGAGTCTGAAGGTAAGCATTCTTGTTTGGGTTTCTCTAGTTACCTCACACAGGTTTCCCGCTCGCCAAGTCGTTCTGAAGAGCTCCAGGCGCGGCGGACTTGGTCTGGTCTGATACTGGCCTAACTGACCTTTCACCAGCACAAGCACCACCACCTCCTCGCACCGTCAACGAGCGGTCTGCCCAGGTCTTTGCCCACAGCCATCCCTTCGCGGCCAAGCTTCAACAATCCGGGCCCAGCAGCCTCACCCCGGCCGAGCGCTCCGCCTGGGTTGCTAGCCACTACGTGCACGGCGGCGCCGGCCCCGCGGCCTTCTCCAAGAAGCTCGGAACCAAGGCGCAGAAGGACATCTGGAAGGCCGTCAACGAGGCCAGCCTGCCGCTGCGCCCTGTCAAGAAGCAGACGAGCTGGGGCCGCGACCGCTACGGCCGCGACGTCGGCGAGTACACACTCGAGGAGTTCGCCGCTCGTGCGGACAAGCAGACGCGCCTGACGGCGCTGCTGGCTGCGAGTAACCGGTTCGGCGATCGTAGGGCACGGCAAAGGGGCGACGTTGGGAAGTCGGGCTCGGGAGACCCGGGTGCAGCCGTGACTGACGAGGAGGTTGAGGAGGAGCGCGGCAGGAGGAAAGATATTGCTGCTCTCAAGATGGAGCTCTACGGCCAGAGGACCGGCCCATATGCCATGGATCCGGCGTGGGATGATGTTATTCCTATGCCGATTGAAGAGCCGGAGGGCGCTTTGGCGGCGATCGCGTATCCGGAGGACTATGCTGAAGGTACATCTGACGTGAAGTCCCAATATTGCTAGGCTCCTGACTGACAAAATTCCCTAGCCATATCCTACCTTAGAGCGGTCATGACCTCAAAAGAATACTCGCCGCGCTGCCTGCGACTGACCGAGCATGTCATATCAATGAACCCGGCACATTATACCGTGTGGCTATACCGGTTTTCCATCGTCTCAGCGCTCGGCTTGCCTATCGAAGACGAGATCGCCTGGCTGAACGAGGTATCCCTCGAGCACCTCAAGAACTACCAGATCTGGCACCACCGCCGCCTGCTCATGGACTACTACTACCCCACCATCTCGAGCGACCCCGAGAAGCTCGCTCAGCTGGTGCGCTCCGAGCGTCGCTTCATCGCCAGCATGTTCGCCGAGGACGCCAAGAACTACCACGTCTGGAGCTACCGGCAGTACCTGGTGCCGAAGCTGCGCATGTTCGGGCCCGAGGAGCTCGAGTCGACGGAGGCGTTCATCACCGAAGACGTGCGCAACAACTCTGCCTGGTCGCACCGCTTCTTTGTGGTGTTCTCGGACCCGGCGCATGCGACCCCTGAGAGCCACAGCACGGAGCATGACCCCAAGGTGCCCTCTGAGATTATTGACAGGGAGATACAGTACGCGCAGGACAAGACTTTCCTGGCGCCACAGAATCAGAGCGCGTGGAATTACCTGAAGGGCGTATTAGTCAAGGGTGGCAGGCCGCTGAGCAGCGTTGAGGAGTTTGTGACCCAGTTTGTGAAGGATTTGGGTGTAGAAGAGAGTGAGAATGTACAGAGCACTCATGCGCTGGACCTCCTAGCGGAGATATATGCAGAGAAAAATGAAGACGAGAAGGCGGATCTATGTCTGCGCAGGTTAGGAGAGAAGTGGGACAGGATACGGACGGGCTATTGGGAGTGGAGGAGGGCAACGCTCAAGGAGAAAGCGGCTAGCAAGTGAAGGCACTTAGGTGACTTGAGCCATTATATATAGCGATTTCTACGTGAAGCAAATTCCTAAACAAATTAAGCTCTATTCGCTTTTCTGTTGTGGATATTTGGCAAGCTATTTCTGTGTCTCGCTACCTTGCGTGACTTTCAAGCATACCCCAGAGCCAAAGTTCTTCCTGTAGTATCGTAAGCCCACTTAGTAGGGATGAACCGCTCAACCTTTGTCGGGCTGCGATCTGGGAGGCTCCAATCTGTCACTAGTGATCTCCGCGAGTGGCTACAACAATATATGTAGTCGTGTAATTCGATAATTCCATCAAACATAGCCATGGCGAGTCCCTCCCTCTGCGCTTCCCTTGGTAGTCGAGTTCATGCCGCCTCTTCTTGAGTACTAGGGGAACATATTCTCCCACGCTTTGCTGAATCGTGACTCTTTGGCCCAGCGGAATCGTTTTCTACCAGACTTTGGTGAATCCATCACGCATATTGCGCTTTCTCCTTTCTCAGCCGGAACGACATCCTATAGCGTCCGGTAGTTCTGGCTCAGGATCAGCCACTTCTTCAAGTTGCGCGGCGCCCGTGGGCCGGCCGCGTCCCAGTTCGGCACCAGCACGAACACCTCGTTGAACGCCTTCCGCGGCGCGTCGGCGCCGGCCCCCAGGTGCAGAATGCCGCTGACCTGCACGGCCATGCTGATGCGGCCGCCGGACTTGTCGGGGCCCTTGGCGAGAATCTGCTCGGGACAGGCGAGGCCGAAGTTGGGGTTGAGCACCTGCACGTCGAAGCCGTCAACCTCGTACCTGACTCGGATCTTGCTGGCGGCGCCTCCGCGCTGCTCGAGGAGGAGCGCCTCGTAGTCGGTTGCCGAGGCGAGCTGTGCGCCGTTGATGACGATGTCGGCCGTCGCGCCGACACCGGTATATTTGGTAGACGCGTTGACGTAGTAAGATGACAGCGAGCGATGCTCGTTGATATCCTTGTAGTACCAGTCGATGAAGTTCTGAGCGCCGTCACTAGAGACCTTGACTTCTGTCTCCTGGTTTGGACCTGCTGCAGCCATAGTGTCGAGGTGCTCGACGCCTAGCTAGGGAGGTGTACGAGTAACAATCGATGAACAAACCCAGACAAGTGAACTTCAAGCTCAAGCTGAGCGTACGGTACGACTTGCAATTCTTGTGTTAGACCTTAAGAAGCATCAAGGAGTTTGGTAAGCTTACAGAATACAGGGAGTTTCTCTGAAATTCAACGACGACGAGGATGAAGCGGCGATTAGCAAGTAGATGAGTGAAAAGGTTAAAGCTAGGCAGGCACTGAATATAGAGCACAACTTTTTGCAGAATCCAAATTATCGTGCCTAATCCCAAACACCTTCCTCAGGCAAGAAGCCCAACAGTTAAAGAGTCTGTGAGGTGGGTTGGAGCAGCTTAAACTTCGTTCAGATTTGGATTGAAGCTCGACATTCCAAAGTCGTTGAGAAACGGGTAGTCGCACTGTGTAAATTGACTGTGTTTTAGAAGCTTATAGCTAACCCTGGTAGCTGCTGCTGTCGGCACTGACGCTAGGTCGCGTATTATTCTTGTGGATATTCCAGTGACACAGTTATCGCCCAGCTTATTCATACTCGACCTTATCGCATCTCTAAATTTTGGAGCTGTGACAATCACGCGATGCGACAAAGCCAACATCTTTAAGCTCAAAGCCGAAAGCGCGCTCCTGCTTTGCAATCCTCTTAGGAGGCCAAATGGATCGAACATTAAGGGCTTCTGCTCGAAGGTTCCCGAAATTGCAAGCTGTGGCCTTTCGAAGACCGCAATGGGTGTGTCCAGCCTGCCAGCATTATGGCACATCCAGGAGATCGTTATCGAGCCAGGCCGGATTGGAATCGAAGCCCTACTACGTGACGACTCCAATCTTCTACGTCAATGCTGGTATGTGTCAATTGTGTCAAGACATTAGCTTGTCTGCTTGCTAAAAGTCTCTATCCAGCTCCTCACATCGGACACATGTATAGCATGATCCTCGCAGACGTCCTCAAACGATGGCAGGTCCTAAGGGGAAAGAAGGCCTTACTGCTTACCGGCACCGACGAGCATGGAATGAAAGTCCAGCAGGCGGCGGCGCTCAACGATGTTCCTCCAAAGCAGTGGTGTGACATGAATGCCGAGAAGTTCAAGGACCTGGCAGAGAAGTCCCAGATCGACAATGACTTCTTCATGCGAACGACCGACCCCGACCACATTGAGGCCGTGAAGCACTTTTGGTACTTGCTTAGGGAAAAAGGATACATCTACGAGTCAAAACATGAAGGATGGTACTGCGTGAGCGACGAGACCTTCTACCCGGAGAACATGCTGGAAAGGAGGGTTGACCCCCTGACTGGCAAGGTCTTCCTCGCATCTGTAGAGAGCGGCAACGCTGTCGAATGGACAGAGGAGAAAAACTACCATTTCCGCATGACAGCACTGAAGGACAAGCTGCTAGAGTTCTACGAGGCCAATCCCGACTGGATCGTGCCGCAGTCGAGGATGAACGAGGTGGTCAGCTGGGTGAAAAACAACCTCGAAGACTTATCAATATCGCGCCCAGCCACTCGTCTACAGTGGGGTGTACCTGTACCAGATGACCCTTCGCAGACCGTATATGTCTGGGTGGACGCCCTCTTGAACTACATGACCAAGACCGGCTTTCCAAATTGGACCCCAGGGCAGGAATGGGAAGGCGGGTGGCCGGCCGATGTGCATGTTATCGGAAAAGACATCGTGCGCTTCCATGGCATCTACTGGCCAGCATTACTTCTGGCTCTTGATTTCCCTCTGCCCAGGAGGCTGCTCAGTCATGCCCACTGGACAATGGGTGGTAAAAAGATGTCTAAGTCTATCGGCAACGTCGTCAATCCACATTTCGCCATCGACAGATGGAGCATTGACGTGATGCGCTTCTACATGGTTTACGACGGTGGAATCGCCGACGATGCTGACTACGGCAATGATGCTATTGCGGAGAGATACAAGAAGCAGCTTCAGAGCGGTCTGGGCAACTTTTTGAGCCGCATAACTCGGCCGAAGCTGTGGAGTGTCCGGCGAGCAGTCGAAGCCGCCAAAATCGATACTCTGTCGCCAATTGGTGAGCAAGACAAGATATTGCAGAGACAGCGCCTGATTATCGAGAATCTGATCGATAGTACGTACTATCACATGGAAACATTGGATCCCTCGCGTGCATTACAGTCCATCACTAATGCCGCATTGTTGGTAAGTGTCTTGTATTATTAGAACTAATTGACTTTGAAGCACCACTAATCGTTTTGATCAGAGTAACAAGTACATCGATCTCACTATGCCTTGGAATCAGGCGAAGGCAGTGAAAAATGAGGCAGATCGACTAAAACTCGATCGCGACATATATTACGCAGCGGAAACTCTGCGCGTAGTTGGGATACTTCTGCAGCCTTTTATGCCAAACAAGGCAAAGCAGATGCTAGACGTGCTCGGTGTGCCGCAGACTCAAAGAACATACGAATACGCACGGCTTGGTGCTGATTTTGAGTATGGTACACCAATCCAGAGCCCTGGCAAGGGGCCCTCTGAAGGCCTCTTTCCGCCACTTATTGTTGAGGAGTGAGGTTCCCGCCTGCGTAGCGGCTCCTTCCCAAGGACACATGGGTGTAGATTTATGTGTAAATGAACTGTAATATCGCCATGTAGATAGATATTGTAAAAGTACAAAGAAGACAATCCCGATTTATCGTACGGAAATGCCATTGTCCCTTAAATCATGTAAGACAACTCTAGCGCTGCAGATGAGTCGGGTCTGGAAACACCAATTGAATAATTGGGTCCCGAGACCAACCATTTTTCAACTCGCAGCAAGCAGTGACAGATATGAACCCGTGACCCGGCCGGCATGAGATTCAACGAGAATATTGGTGAGAACAGAATAAATATGCTGGGTGCTATCTGGTAGCCCCATTAGAATGTGTGTGGACTAATGAGGAAGCAAACGTGCAGCCGTCTCAACATCCAAGGTCCTCCTTGTACCTTACGACCGACACCATGTCATAACCTACCATGCTTGGATGGAAGACCCAGTGAGTTCTTAAGTGATTAGCTTCACAATTCAAACCTTCTCCCCTTATTTCACAAAGCTAAGTCAATGCGCAGGCCATCCAAGAGGCTACAGCATCAGAGCCTCTCACCCTCGAGGAGGAGTATGAGAACCAGGAGTCGTGGCGCGAGTCGCACGACAAATTGACCTTCGTTCTGTGCCAGCCGATCTCCGATCCTGCCGCGGCGGACTTCGCCTATGTACGCGCCGGCCAGGGAGATGCGCCGGAGAGGATGATTGGCGACATCAACTTCTTCCTGTATCCATTTGATGATGATGAGGAAGGAGCGGCAGCGTCAGACCCGGAGGCTGACTACTGCATCGGCGAGGTAGATATAATGATCGCAGATCAGGCGCATCGGAGTAAGGGTCTTGGACGTGCTTCGGTTTCCGCCTTTATGTACTATATATTCCAGAACTTGCAATCAATATTGCAGGAGTACAGCACGGCCGACAGCAGACCACCTCCCGCAGGAGGCAACCCAAAGGAGCTGAAGCTGAAGATGCTCATGGTGAAGATCAAGGCCGGCAATGCAGGAAGCATAGCACTCTTCAAGAGTCTGGGATTCGTTCAGCAGGGTGAGGTAAATTACTTTGGCGAGATCAAGATGATCCTCGAGAACTTCGACCAGATATCATCAACAGTGCTGGAGGGCTACAAGGAGATAGACTACATCAGGCCATTGAATTAAATCGTGTGTATCATTACGCTACAGCTAGAAATGCATATATCTCCGTAAGCCTGTCTACTATATCCCTTATGAGCGGTCTTCCGTCTAAATACCAGCCATCTTTTCTATTATAACCTCTCAGAGGCAAGTTATACAGCTCCAGGCCCTGGAGATGTTCTATAAGTCCCCCTAAACTTACAATAGCTCAGACGCCGTACTTTGCCTTGTAGTCCTCAAGCATCTTCAGATTGATATTGGAGCCACCACAGACCACGACAACAATATTCTTCTTAGCCCACTCCTCATCCGACAGTCCATTTCCCAGGTTCGTGCGAAGTGAGCCATTGTATACTGATGCGATTGTGGCACCGCAAGCGACTTCGACGAATATGCGCGCGTCATCTAAGAAGCGAGCAGAGCCCATCACGGCGTCTGCATCTGAGAGTACCGAGCAAACAAGGCCATCTCCGGCACGCTGCGTCCACTTAAATGCCTGTTCTGCCACCCGGGTCGCGCCCAGCGACGTCGCGATTGATGTGATCTTTGGAAGCGTCACCATCTCGCCCGCCTGGACGCACGCGTACAGACTGTCGGCGCCAGCGGTCTCGATCGCCAGCACTCGCGGCACCGGCGCCTCGGCCTGCCAGCTGTTTCGGCTCTTGAGGCCTTCCAAACCCTCCATGATGCCGCATAGGAGACCTCCCCCTCCAACATTGCATACGATGCCATCTATGGGCGCATCGACCTGCCGTGTGAGCTCTTCTACCAGCGTGGCCGCACCCTCCCAGATGTCTGGATGGTCAAAGGGTGGGACATAGACTCCCTTGCTCTTGGGATCGTGGTTGACCAGTAACTCTTCGCGCAAGTGGCGGTCGGCGGCTGCCCAGTTCGCGCCGATTTGAATAACGTCGGCGCCCAGGTCCCGGAGCTTGGCGATCATATGCGCCGGTGTGGTCAGCGGTACAACGATAGTCGCCTTTCGACTGAGCGCGATGGCGGAGGTTGCGCATGCGAGGCCTGCATTTCCACCAGAGCTACAGTAGAAGTGTACCTCTGTCCCGGGAGACGCTTCAACGGCACGGAACATGAGATTGCCGATGCCGCGAGACTTGAAGGACCCTGAAGGCTGCAGATTATCAAGTTTGAGAAATATGTTGCTATAATCTCTGTTTCAGCATTCATCTGCAGTAGAAACCTGATAGAGAGTTACTCACCAGCCAGCTGCACGAGAGATGGGGGCTGAATAGATGCATGGAGTCTCGATCCATGGCTTGGGAGGTTCTGACTCTCGAGAACCCATTTTGATAATTGAATCCGCCCTGGGGAACTAAAATTGGGATTCGACGAGAGAGAGGTAGACGAACACTCCGTATATAAGAAGTGAACCGTCGTAAGCCGATCTGCTCGGGTATTAGTAGGGTTTTGATCCTCGTAGATAACGACGGGTTTGAGACAGGCTGAGGAGTCGATGGGGTAACAGAAATTCGTCTTGGGAAGCTGGCGAGCCGGATATTACCTAAAATAGATGACGACCTTCCGTCTCGAGATATGGTATTCGTATGCAGGGATTCAAGGGATTCCTGAAGTATTGTCGGGCGTGCTTGACTTATATTAATTTGAGACAGGTAGTTGAGCCATTCAAGATTGTCCTGGCGGTTTGGATGTGGCGGATCAGAACCTTCCTTAGTTTACAGTAGGGCGATGATAAGAAACCCAGCTTTTGGGAAGGCCACTAAGATCACCCTCAATATATCAAACAATATCTGAAGCTTGGGTTTTGGTTTATATTTGACTTAAGGCACGGAAGGTATTTTTTACCATGTCTGGACATTCCTAGTCATGCCTTGCACATTCATGTGGAGAAGAAGATGACCCATCGACCAAGTTCTGCGAGGTTGCGCATTAACTTACCCCAGACCCACGAGCGGAGTTGACAGTCCACGCTACGATCGTGAGCCTTCCCCCCGGTCTCGCCTCCGTTGGGAGTTTCCAATGTTTGTGCCTCTTGATTGTCAGAATATCTGACCATGATTTAGCCACACGCCTTGCTTCTCCCTTTGTATTAGACGCAATGCCCAATAATCATCTCAATAATTCATCGCCTTCAGCATAAACAGATATCCAAGTGAACCAGTGCCGATTTGAGCCTCACTGACTTGGTAGTAAAGCATTCAAGCTTATACACAGGTGCCACCGGTTCAGCTTTTAAAATGTAGCGCAGTAATATCACGGAAGAAGATCAATCCTCAAAGCGAACATATGTCTCGTTTGAAACACTCTGCAAACAAGTTATATCTATTTAGCCAACAATTTTCACCGCAGTACGGAAGTTGCTCGTCACTTGCCGTAAGACTATCGACCCAACTCAGTGAAGGAGATACTCGAGATATCAGGCAAGAAGCTGACTTCGAAAGTCGTCAATGATATACTGGTTATTGCAGCTGAAAAGGTAAAAGATGTTAACTCTTACTGTATACCTAAAGGATAGTGGGTACTTCGAGAGTGATAGCTCTATAAACACGAAATGAATTTATCTAGTCTCTCTTAGATTTCTCTGACCACAATGTTTTTCGTCTGAACCTATATATCCTTTTCTAAGGAGATAACCCAACGCGACGTGGGCACCATCGTTTTCCTGTCTTCCGACCTCCACAACCCCCATTTTTCATCTTCGGATCTCGGATACCTATTCCGCCAGCATTCTCCTCTTACTTCAGTCTTAAGATGTTCTTCGCATAATCCTCGAAGTCATTCGGATTTTAACAAACCCAAGCTCCCGTTTTCTAGCTTTTCTATCAGCTATAGCCTGATTCTAGTCAATACACTGTGGTTGGTAATCGGAAATTTGGGCAGGAACCTGGTGTTCAATCACAGCTGAGCCTAATAAACATACCCAGCATAATCATATCCCTTGGAGGTTTTGATCAAAAGGAAGATTAAGATGGGGTCATCCAACGATCTCGACGACATACCCATAAAGCTTCGCTTAACGCTTGAGGGATGGTTCCAGCTAATGAGGACACGCAAGCTCCGGACCTTACCTACCTTGCCCCTCGTCGAACACATTCCCGAAGACAAGATTGAATCAAACCTCGGAAACTCAGACACTGGACCGTCAGAATTAGATCACACACAGCTACAAGCTGCTTCTCCCATACTCAGGGAGATTTTGCAGACATTCGGTCCTGGCAACAGACCAGAGCCCGACCCGCTGAAGAAGTTGCGGAGACCACATACTCTCGAACAGGTAGTAATATAGATTGCGAAGCAAAGCAAATGTTCACGTGAATATCACCTTCATGTGGCGGGCCAGCGACGACCAACAGCGGCACTCCACCGCCTCATAGACACAAAGAACAGACCCAAGTCCGCGCGCTTGAAGCACATCGACATTTGGTCTAGGGAAGAGATCACGGGCCTGAGACTTCAGCGAAGCACGGTCAGGCCGCTTCGAGAGCCGGTAGCCGGCCCTCGTGCTAAACCTTGGCCAAACAATAACCAATTGAACGTTAAGAGCTCTTAATAAGGAGGTAAACAGCGAGAATCTCTCATACTGCACAGTGATGAGGTTGTTTGGTGGATTGGATGAGGTTTATAAGGAGCTTACAGTTGCACGAGATTATTAGAGAACTTGTAGGGAGGCTAACATCGGAACTCATCTCAATTAGCTAGCGTCTGGCCTCGTGGACAGCATTATATTGCTCATGGTATCATATTGCCATCATCACAACAAGACAATTTTCCCACCGTGTTTCCCTTTTGCTCCACTCTACACACGTAATGATCATGACACAGATATCTTGACCCGCGAAACATCCAGTGTTTCTGAGTCAATCAGCACGATTTCCTTCGATGCCGAGAATGACGGCACCGATACAAGGCGTACGGCTTGGCCGTCAGGACCTGTGATAGTCTTGGTGCCAAACTCAGGTTGGCAGCCTACAAAATAGAAGTGCGGGCAGTCTCTGATCACGAACGGGTCGTCGTCCTGGAATGGGTAACTCCCTAGAAACCATTAGTTACAAAGATTCGAAAAGGGGGTCGGTGCCAGGCCTTACACAAGGTGTCAGGGGCTGTAGGAGCAGAGCACCTCCACCTGCACATAGCCTCCATCATTCCCAGGCGGTCATCGCTATCAACATATTTGAATATGTCGTCCAAGTTTTGACCGCCCGTACCAAGCATCCTCCACCCGTCCACTTCAGCCTCCCACGGATTTGTTGCGAGGTCGAACCATCCACTCTCCTTTGAGCCAGGGTCAGCCACGTAAGATCTGGATTTGGGAAACATGGCCATATGTATAGGCTGCTGGGGAAAGCTGGAGTTGGCAGGGTCGTGATCGCCAGGAAGAAGTGTCACAGGTATTGTGGGTAGAAGTTCTGAGAGAAAGTCGTCGAGAAGTTGTGAGGGTAGAGGATTGTAGGTACTCGCGTCGTAGCCGTATTTCTTGTGTGACCTTTTCTCAATCTCTTCTTCTTCAACATCTCCGAGCTTGTTGTCCGCCGCTATCGAGTTTCCTGCGATGATCAAACGGCTGATGTGCGACAGCTCTGATTGTGTTGCGGGATCAAGCGCCTCGCCGAGCAGGTACTCTAGGAGCAAGTTGAGCTCCAATGCATACGACGTGTCTGAGCCTGAGAAGTTCAATCCAGAGACAACGGCGATCTTGCCGCCCGAGCCAGAAGAGTGCGTATCTGTCATCTCTACGTCTTCGCTCTTGACCTTGCTTCCTGATTTGACACCATTCGTCGCAGGTGGTTTAGAGAGGGCCCACCGGTCAGGCTGGGGGGCCAAATCTGCAAACTTGAGATCGATGACCTCGAATTCGCCATTGGCATTCTCTGTTCCCATGACTGCAATGATGCATCCAGTCACCAGCATGACCGATCTCAAAACGTCTCCTACTAGCCTGATCCGACCAGAGTCGTCTTCGAGCATGACAGCATCTCTGTTATCCTCGGAGAAGTATTTCAACACAGTCGTCGGGGCAGATATCCAGCGCTGCGCATATCAGGTTATTCACAAGCCCAAGAAATTATAAATGGAAAACTTACGTCCTTAGACACATCGTCGAGAATATTAGGCTTCAGAGGCATATCCATATACACGGTTCCGGCAACCCAGCAGAGCTCGCCCTGGCGGACGTCGAGCACTCGATCGACCTTCTTGGCAGGTTCGTCACCAATGACGGTGCCTTCCCACTCAGCACTGGCAATCTGCTCAACTGCAGGCTTGATCTTAGTAAGCCGCAGAAAGTACATATCGCCATATTGCTGTTGGTAGCTCCGGTCCTTCTCGAGCTTGAAGGTCGAGAGTGGCTTGTAGCTGGAGAGTAGCCGCTCTGCGGCCTCGGGCGCATCCCCACTATCAAAGGTCTCTTGTCAGTCAATTGTGCAATATGAGTTTTTGTTTTGGAATTGATCATCTTACGAGGGCTTCTGCAGAAGGCTGCCTTCGACATCTTCGAGGGTTACCATCGTGACTTCCGAACGCAGAGTTGTCGATTCGTGAGTTGCAGGTTGGACAGCTCTGGACAAGACGCGCCGCACAATGATTGAGTGTGGGACGCGACTTTTGGCGTAAATGGGCAGGCTACAGCTAGTGGGTTCTAGCTATTAGCGCCTTGCCTGCTAATTGGTTGACATCTTCAACGTGGGGTAAGGCTACAACAAGGCTGTAGCTTCAGCAGAAAAAAAATATTCTAGCAGTGTTCTGGATCTCCAAGCGGCCTTGCATCATTTCCCTACTTGACAACTAATCTCGTCAAGATGGCCACCACAACAGAGACCTCGACGGCCTCTGAGACCGACATGGCCCAGGTCAAGGTCATTTTCACCACCACAGATGAGGACATTCAATTGCCGGAGAGCAAAAGGCAATTGCTTGTCCCAGCAGGTTAGACCGGAGCGATGAAATCTGCTATTTGAAAAGTCTAACTTGTAGAACAGATATCCGAAGATATGGCCTCTCTCGCATCCTCAACTCCGAGTCCATGCTCGATACGACCTCCCCCATACCATTTGATTTCCTCGTGAACGGCACATTTCTCCGATCCACCATTGAAGACTACCTGAATGAAAACGGATTGTCGCAAGAAGCAAGCGTGACACTTCAGTACGTTCGCAGTCTGATCCCGCCCGTCTACGAAGCTAGCTTTGAGCATGATGACTGGGTGAGCTCGGTGGACGTCCTTTCGCAGACCTCAGCCGCCGGTCGCTGGTCGGGTGAGAGCTTTGTAGCGGGACAGGACCGGATATTGTCAGGATCCTACGATGGGCTCTTGAGGATATGGAACAGCTCTGGCCAGGTGATCGCAACCTCGCCGTCGGGAAGTCTAGGAGGGCACAGTTCAAGCATCAAGGCTGCCAAGTTCTTGTCTTCGACACAGATCGCCTCTGCCGGTCTGGATAGAACGGTGCGCGTGTGGAAATACACCGAGAGCGATGACTTCTCGGGCGATTTCAAGCCGACTCTCGAGCTCTATGGTCACAAGGGGAGCATTGATTCCGTTGAAGTAGACGGCAGCTCAAAGCGCATCCTTACAGCTTCTGCAGACGGAAGCATTGGCCTCTGGACGACCTCGAAAGCATCAGCGCCGGCCGCCCCGACAGAACTTCTACCGGGTACTCATGCGACCAAGCGCAGGAAGCTCACCAGCTCCGTCTCCACACCCCAGAGGGGTGCGCTCGCCTTGATGCCAGTTCATAATGCGCCTGCCAGCGCTGCGATCTTCGACCCAAGGGACAGGACAGTCGGGTACTCAGTCTCCCAAGACCACACGTTGCGCACCCTCGACCTTACGACCAGTGCCGTCGTCAATACCTTAACCACCTCCAATCCTCTTCTCTCCCTGTGCGCTCTGCCCCGAATTTCTAGCCCGCTTTTAGCAGCCGGGACGTCCGCTCGAAATGTCACAATCGTCGATCCACGGGCATCAGCTACAACGACATCCGTAATGACCCTACGAGGCCACGTCAACAAAGTCGTTAGTTTGGCCCCATCACCCGACAATGACTACTCTTTGGTCTCGGCTTCACACGACGGGACATGCCGGATTTGGGATTTGCGGAGTGTACGGCCGGCCGGAAAGGACGAGGGTGGTGTCGGCAGCGTGAGCGAGGCAGTGTATGCTATTGAGAGGGAGAGCAGGGAAGGGAAGAAGAAGACCGTCGCAGGCGAGGGATGCAAAGTCTTCAGTGTTGTCTGGGACAAGCAGTGGGGAATTGTGAGCGGTGGCGAGGACAAGAGGGTGCAGATAAATAGGGCGCGAGACATCATTGCATCTTGAAGACGTGCTTGCGGTGCTTGAAATGGCGGTAGAGATAGATTATATACCCACAATGGCCACGAAAGATCTCTTAAATCCTATGTATATGACCTGAGTGTTTCTTCCCTCCTGGCTCATGATATGTACGTTTGTACATTTGATGATGCAATACTTGCTATTGCAAGTCTTTTTGAGCAGCCTTCGCCACAGCTGGCTGGTCAGCCCCTTCGCAAGCTTTCACCAAGGTCTTGTACCTCCGTGATAGAATTTCCTTGGGTAATAAATCAAGAACTTCTGTCCGTAATCGTATCTTGTTGAAAGGCAGCTTCTCCAGCTTGATTGCTTCAAGTATATAGCTGACCACAGTAGTGGTCTGCAGTGGTGGATCACGAAGAAGCTTTGCAATGTCAAGCGGGTCGAGATCATCGTTGGCATGCCATATGTAGTAGGCTCGAAGGGAAGCGGGCGTCGCCCTGCTTTTTGCCGTCGATGGATTTGCACGATAATGTTTGAGCCATGTTTCGGCTGCTAAGATTCTGTCGTCTTTTGGCTTCTGTTCGGCAGGTGTTTTGCGAGATTTGGGAGGTTTTGGAACAGCAGGCTTAGGTTCAACCTCATCACCCTCCGCCTCGACCTTGATAGTTTCTCCAGCCGACTTCAAGTACTCTTGAGAAAGCGCAGCAGGGATCTTGGCATCACCCTTGACGTCTGCAGCTTCTGCCGTCTCTCCAGCCTCGTCAGAAGTCGGGATCGACACACCGTCTGCAAGCCGTATCGGCAGATTGAGCTCCGCATGATAAGGTAAAGGTGGCATCGGGTCTAGAGCCTGTCGCTGATGATCAAGGATTGCGTACAACTGCACAGCAGCATAAGCGTCCGATGCAGAGTCTGGCACAGTTAGAGTTAAGCACACAAGGATCAAGAACATGACATACATATGATCTGGTCCATCTTCAATGGCAAGGACCAGTCGCTCGCCCGGACATCTTGCCCCTTGAACATTGGCAGATGCAGAACCTCTTTGACCTGGTTTGCAAGGGACACAAGCTTTTTGTTCACGAGCTCTACCTCGCCACTAGATGAGTATTTGACAAGCTTGTAGAGATTACTGAGCTCGAAAAGTCCACGGGATTCGACGCCCAAGAAGTTCCGCATTCGCGTAGCATCTCCTTTTATGAACACACCGGTCTTGGTGATGTTGGGATCCTCCATGATCTTTTGAAGCGTCGGGGCAAGTAGGCTATCTTTTTTCGGGTACAGCGCAAGATGAAATAACGCGATACGGCTCGGGCTGGCTATCTGCACCAGAGAAATGTTCCTTCTCGGCCCTTGTGCCTTGGTCGCATCGGACGCCCATTCAAGGTCAAAGCCGATAACCTTCTCATCTAAGAAGTATTGGCATACTCTTTCAGTCGTATGCAGACTCTTGCAGTAATGAACCTTGACCTTATTTTCTGTATCTTCATTCTCTTGAGGTCCCCGATATAGGGTATACGACCAAAAAGACTCGGGAGTGCCCGGCTCCGCAAAGCTAGCATCACGGAATGCCTCGCTGGGTATTTTGAACTCCAGAGGTGTGAACGGTGGTTCGATTGGCCCATCATCTTCCTCAGATGTTGCATCTTCCACCTTCTCGTCATTGTCTTTTACTTCATCTTGAACTGCAGCAGCTGTTGTCGCCGTGGCCGACGTCTCGGGCTTGCCATGAATAGCTATCGTTTCGGTGAATACAGTTCTCTGTTGAAAAATGCCTGCTTTGGAACTCCCCGAGACCTCTCGAGCCACTGAGACATTTTCTGTGCATTCGGTCGCTTCGGTCAGACTGGTGAAGAAACGAGCATGGTTGAGCTTGGGGTATAACGACTCGGGTTGCTGGCCAGCAGCGAACACGACACCTTGATTTGGGTGCCAGAGCTTCCACTTCGAAGACCGTGTGCAATCGCCCATTCTAGTTATATAGCGGGAGTTTCTGAGCAAACGGAATATGTTAGTCTTCATCAGAACCGAATGATTCTTTGAA